GTGAATGGGAGAGAGAGGAAGAGCAAGAAAATGGTACAGATTTACTATCGCCATTGCTTGCCAATTTTAATCGGGCGACGAGATTGCGAACAAACAAAATATGCACAAATGCTCAACTCATTTTACGGTCGATAGCGAATTTTGCACGGAATATATGGAAAATGCTTCTGCAATTTTGCTACTATTTTGTGCCACATTTCATTCATTTGCAAGTTGGGCGAGGAAATGTATTTGCACAACAGCATTGTGCTATACATCTGACACATTTGATGACCCATTTTTCAATCTACATATCTGATATCTGGGTGCAGAGTGTTAATACGTAGCTCGGTGGTCGAGAGCAAATTCAATAGTTTTTCACATAATCACAGCCACAACCGTACGGTTTTTGTGGCATCGATTCCAATTATTTTCGATTTCGATCCATCGTATTCACATGTCAAAATGATTTAAAGAGACTCGGGGAAAAAAGTGCTTAACCAAGCCCCAAGTTTATACGGATAACCGAGATGGGTTTTTATTGAAATCAAATCACATGAACGTGAGAGCTTGGTTTATCTCGGTGTATGTATATTGGTGGGTGCCAATGGGGATCCACCATTTTGACACTACACATTCGAGAAACATTGAATGTGAATGAAATATTTTTGCGTGCATTTTGAATTTGAACAAATGGATATATTTGGGTTTTATCTCTCATACTCTTCAGCAAAGTAAATCTGTCACAGATACAAGTGACATCCGAGAGGATACTGTTCATTTTCCACATGAAAATGGCACATATCAGCATCAAAATTGTGAAACACTCTGTGACAATACTGAACCACCTACAAATCGAAAAATGTGAAACGGGCGTGCGTCTCATATCGTGCTTAGCATAAATGGAGATAACCGATAAAGCTTTGGATAGCACATCCACCCGCTCACACTCTTCCTCGCTCTTTCTCTTTCTTTCGCTCTACATTTCTCTCTCACTCGTTCTCCATCACTCATTCACTCTGAGTGAATCACTCATTCACTCGCATCCATTCCGAATGCATGAATGTAGACATTGAACAAACAATTCACTGCTCGCTTAAGATATAAGATACCGCTTGCCTTTGATAATGTTATTAAATGTGATGCTGATGTTTACCGTTTTCTCCAACTGTCGAAACATTACATGTCGATTCAGCGTTGTCGACATCCGAATACACATAATTCTTCTATATATTTTTGCACATAATTTCCACCATTTTTTGTTTGTTCGATTTTCAACTCTGATTGATTGCCAAGGTTCATCTACTCGATTATCGCAGCATCTGTACGCATTCACAGTGAACACAACTGTTGACAACAGTTATAGTTACTTTCATTTCATAGCGACAATTTATTTGTCTACTTCATCATCATCAATACTATTGAGTGAGTCAATCAATGGTATTGATTATGAAAAAAAGCGCATAGGCTCACTTTTATACCAATGAATACCATCCAATTGATCATTTTGTATAATACGATACGTTGTAATCGCTCATTGAAAATGAAAATGTGACATTGAATAAATACAAAGATACGTGTTCCATTTCATAAAGATGAACGAACAAAAGATTAATACTGCTCATACAATTTTTCAAAACTCTGCGAATTTTATGTGATGTGGAAAGAAAATTCACACGTTCCAACCGCAAAAGTGAAGCAAAAATCGTCAAGCAAAAAACTCAAAATGAAACAAAATCATAAATGAGTAAAAGCCATAAGCATCGGAGTTTAAAGCCGGAATTCTCGAAAGAAACAAAAAGTTCATTTAGTTCTACTCCGGTGAGGTGTGAATGGACGCGCTGTATAAAGTTTAGTGTTATTTTCAGTTGAAATTCGATCCTTGTCAATGTGTTAATCAAAACATAAGCTTTTAAAATACGATACCTAATGTTTATTTTATCAGCACACCCAACCGTTTACATGGAAATAATGCTGCGCACACAAATGGGGTTCATTCAAACACTTTTAAAATGAGTTAATGATGGCCGGGCGTTTCTATTCATACGAATTACATTTATTCAAGAAATAAAGAAGTATGAAAACGAAAAGACTCCATTTATTTTGATACAAAGATCTTTGTGATAAATTCTCTTAGTGCCTCCCACTCGAGCCAGGCCAGCTCGCTTCAATTTAGAAAGTCGGCAATAAAAATAACGTAATAAAAAACCACTGTAGGCTACACTGAAAAAGACTCACCTTTTTAGCACTACATGAAATGTAGAGCTACTAATCTGCTTTTTTTTCTCGGTCAACTCAAACAAATGTTGGTGAATTTGAATTATATGCTCATATTCTTTATTTGATTTAAAACCGGTGCACTAATGAAGATTTAATATATAACACTTCATATATACATAAAAGATTGACATACAATTTTTTTTATTTTTCCAAACTATATTTTATCATACATTAGTATCATACATTTTATTTGTTTCTTATATATTACTTCAAAGTTACTTTGATGAAATACATTTCATTAGTGCGCCAAAAAATAGTTTGTTGTGAAACTCAAGAACGCAGAGCGGAGCGAAGCGAAGCTCTGCGGTCTTGTTTTCTGCTCGTTCGTCGTTTTGTTTCGTTTTGTAATCATTTCCCAACCCTCTAACATATATTTTGCCAGTTTTGAATGCACCAAATTGAAATTGGATTATGGCATGGAACGCGCGGGTGCGCGCACAAGTTGCAATTTTCATTCGTTGCACGAACCAAGGCAAAAGTAGAAAAAAAAACAACCGACCAATTCGAGAACAAAATCGTAAAAGGATTGTTGTGAGAATAAATTCACAACTTTAAAAGAATTTTCAGTGCGACAGGGCGCTTTTTTTCTGTCAATTTTTATTGCATTATCACTCACGAGCACATCGCGAAACACGCAACGCAAACAAATGCGCCAATATTATATTATGTTTTGTGTGTGTGTGAGAGGAAAATACGTGTGTGTTTTTCATATAAAAATAATGTTTTTCTTTCACATTCATGTCGGTTTAAATTTGTTTGCTATTTTTGTTGTGTCAAAGTTTTTGCCATTATCGTCGTCATCGTCGTCTTCGGCGCCACCGACATTTATGAAGAGAATGAAATACTTCAGTGCAAGGGGAAAAATTATTAGAAAAATAAACACAAAGAGAAGGAACAAATTTTCAAGAAGAAATAGAAGAAAAAGAATTTTGCAGAAACAGCTCAAAAGTGAATGAATTTTAAAGGAAAAAAACGGAAAAGAGGAAACGAAAAAGTATGAAAAGAAATTAGTCATCACGAAATGGGTAGATGAAGCCCGTTGATAAGGAACCCATTATATGAAAAGGCATCGATACAACTCCTAATGGATGGTAATTGCATGCAATCTACTTTCCATTAGCTTTTTATTTTTGGCATTAACGTTTCGTTTCGATGGTGGTTTTTTCTACTCGTTCGTTCTCGAAAAACTTTCGTTGTGTAAATCATCGTTTCGATTCCATTGAGTGAATGAAGTTCAAACTTATCTAATGGAATTTCGTTCAATACCAGTTCTAGTTTTAATGTTATTGGTGCCCTAATTTGTGATTCCTCCAATTATTTCCACAAAGTGTTTGATGTATCTTAAAACTTTGTCACTCCATAATTCATCATTTTGTCAGAGCGAGAGTTTGGTTTACTTAATGTGAATTTAGGTTACTTAAAGTACCATGGTTGAATCAACCATTGGTTGATGCACGCATTCACATGTGCAAGCGCAAGAAAATGTGTGGTGTAGCTCATTTGTGATTGCGTTGGGCGGTTGTTGTCAAGATGAAAAATATGCATCGGAAAAAAAAATCCAAGCGCACATCATCCATTTAATACCCCCGTTAATGTGAATTTATTCAAATTGCATTGCAAAAACACGGTTCACTTCAAACAGGATACTCGCCCGTGGGCTGTTTGAACATTGTTTCATGCTCAGTTTGCAACGTAAACGACACACATCGACAAGTAGATTCCTAAAAATAACCTATAAATTCGCTTACTTTAATGGATTTTTTTTTGGATATATACATTTCTTGGTATAATTGAATTTCTGATTCGTCTCAAACATTAAAATTGTGATTTGCACAAATAAGCGAGAGCGAGCGCTGAGCTTGAGTGATGAATGCGCCCAACCTATATAGCTGGGTTCGCATACCAGCGAGCATGGAGGAAATCAGTGCTTAAAATTGTGGCAAACGAATTTCAATTACGTTGAGTGCTTTGGCAAAATGTGCAAAATTGATCCGGGGCACAAAACTCAATTTAATCACTGAATGTGTTTGTAATTGACAAATAATTGCAATTTAAGCGCACACAGTCTGAGAAACATTCTGTATCCCGCGAGATGAAGCAATGCGTGTGTTGCCTGTCTTAATTGCTATTCAAATTATTATCGTCTGATTGTGTAACTCTTGAATTTAATTCCATAATGATAATCATCGTCTATATTATTCATTATTTTACAGCCTACGGACTCGATTCAATTGATTCCGACAAGAAAGTGTTTCCAAATGTCAAATGCATGATGAAATAAATCCTTTTCAGCTGGAAAATACAGTGTTTATTATACACCCTCACCAATGTAAATACAAAAAGCAATTTTGATAGAAAGTTTGCATGAATTAGTGCCCATAGAGCATAATAGTTTGAGGCAATAACTTTCATACAAAGCTCAATCAAAGTTGCATTGATTCAATTTTCCAAGTTTTCATCTTTGGGTGGCGGCAGAGCTTCGGCTGAAATAGATTTCATTCTGATAATGAAGTTAGTTTGACGCAGAGATTTTCGATGTGATCATCGCATCGCATATTTCATGATGTGCTCACAAAATTCTGACATTTATGAATAAAATGGAATGAGATATCCAGAATTCAACTGATGCGATTTTATGAAGAAGAACCAGAAATGGCAACTCTTGCAATTTAATTATGATTCCATTTAAATAATCATTTGATTTTCCCTTTTCCCTTTTCTCTTTTATGTCTTCTAAATAGGAAGGGCTACCTTTGCTTCATTAAATGCGAAAAGGTCAGTGAAACAGAAGCCGGAGCGGGCAACCGAACACCATTTTTACCATTGAGATCGGGTTATTTGTTGAGGATACATTGTTTCCGTTGAATGGGTCGTGCAGTCGGCGCACAAAGTAAGACAGCGAGAGACGAAGGTAGATAGAAAAAAAATAATAAGGTTACCGATTTAGGCGAAAAAGTGTGGATAACGGGATACAATTTCAAGTACATAATAAAGTCAATAAAGGCAAGAAGAAATAAAGGAAAACCACATACACACACACACACCAAGACAAGGAAGTGCAGAGACTTTGAGAGCAATAAAACGCAAAATGAACGCAGAAAAGACAAATGAAAATGGAAATGGAAATGGTTGTGCTGACGTTAAAGACAGCGTTGATGGTGGTGAAGGCGGCACAGGCAACGAAACAACAAACCCAACAGCCATTTCAACGGACGTATCATTGCCGAATGATGTGCTGGAGCGTCTATTTCAACGATATTCGATAAAACAACGACGAGCCGGTCTAGAATGCTTTCTTGTTACCTCAATTCTGTTCGATTTGTGGGTGATTTTAGCACCAGAGCAAGGAAAAACCTTCTATAATATCGGTATGTGCACAAGCTATTATGTCATATTACTCTCTTTTTTTTCTTCTTCTTCATTTGGCTTCCGGAATGTGAACGCTAGCTGTTGAATCGTAAAATCAACAGAAACAGCAAAAATTCGATTAAAGTTTTATGTTTGCCGTGTTGGAATGTGCAAAAACACGGATGTGGTGATGGGAGAGAGAGAGAGCCAAAAGCGAGAGAGAATAATCCAAAACAAACATCTTCAGGCATTTAAACAATCCATCCTCATTACTGTGTGTATGCATGCTATCTTTCCTAAGGACGTTGCTGTTGTAAAAACATTTCAACGAACAAATAACAGAAAAAAGAAAGCTCTTGATCCTTTTCCACGTTCCTAAGTTGAAATAATATTTTCCTTTTGCCATCCAAAGATGATAACAAAACAATTTACATCGAATTCCAACGGAAAAATCGATACATCAATCAATTGTATTTGACCTTATTGATTTCGTTGTCATTCCCGTTCCTATCCATCTATCGGTCATCCATCGCAAACACAATGATATAGATAATGCAAGCAATAAATAGACATTTACTGAAAGTATCATTGTCTTGGGTCAGTTTTACGGCTTTCCATACAGTGGACAGTGATGTCGATGGCGTGTAAAACAGCAGAAGATGATTCGTTTTGGGTTGATTAACATGTAATACAAGGACTTGTAGCAAGAATCGATTTTTTTCCCAGTTGTCTCGTGTAACTTTTTGGTTGAAATCATGTGGAACGTAAGAGGTTCAATATATCTTGAGTTGTCATTGTGCGATGGCACTCAACGTGACATTCTCTCGTTGTCATATTAAATGAACTTTGTTCTTCATGAACAAGAAAATCAATGAATGAATTAGTTGCTCTCTCTCTCTCTCTCTCTCTCTCTCTCTCTCTCTCTCTCGCTCGAACTTTTTTAATTACATTTTATTTCGAGTTGAGAACCACCCAAGCATTCGATACGTGTTATTTGATTTGATCCAATTCCTCCAATCATTGATTGATACAGCTTTTCAGATTGACAGCGCAATAAAATTTATAAATGTACTTGATACGTTTTGCAATACAATTAATCGTATTATTATTAGTCCAATTTCATTCTACTAATTGAAGATTCATCTATTTTTAATTTCATTGTTTACGTGGAATATGTGTGATTGTGCTCGTGCTACTGCTGCGGCTGTTGGTGTTACTGGTGCTGCTACTACTTTCTCACTAATGGTACAGGTATCTCATGTGTATTTTTAGTGTTAAATTTAGCATTAGCTCTCTTCTTACGATTCTGTGGCAATATCAAGTGGCGCGGAGCAATATGGGAGGCTGCACCGCACTTGGCATGGGTGTTTGCCATCACACAACTGGCACTTCAGCTATTCTACAAAACAATCGTTACAACACGGTGAGTGGAAATGGCAACACTATTTTAATTAAAAATCCACTGAAAACATATTTAATTAAAGCTCTTGAAAAACTTTTTCTATTACCAACTATTCGAAAGTGTCGATTGACGAGGTGTACAATGACTCTTGAACGTGTGCAAACTAAATACGTTTTTGGAATAAACACTCACGTTATTTCTAATGTGTTTTTAGAACAGAGATTACATACAATATTTAGAGTATTATTGTAGAGTAGTTAGAATGTTGTTGTTTCGAATGTAAAAAATCCCATCTAACGACAAACGATTCATTTGAAATGAGTGGACTAAACTTTACCTGGAAATGTATACGTTTTGTTTCTTTGATACTTTATTCGGTAACAAATTCGAGCCATACCTTTCGGTTACGAACCTAACCCCGCAGCCAAATGTAAATTACTGAAAATAATCCACATGTAAAATCCATAAAATCGACATTTGTAAAATCATTATGTTTATAATGCGGTGCCAGTGGTTATTTCATTTTTTACGTGCTTCATTTGTATCGCTCTCGTCGGGTTGTGTCAAAACTGTTATTATTATTTGAATCGCGTGTTGTACAAGCCAAATGGACGACGACAACTGCAGACATATACACAATAAAAGCTTTTGGTTTTAGGTGTCAGGCGGTAAATGTGATATACAAACAAGTACACGTGGCGGAGAATGAAACCTTTTTTTTACTGTGAAAAACAAACAAAACGACCGATTCATATTTCGTGTTTTCATTCAAGTTGATGAATGTTCGACTCTCTCTCTCTCTCTCTCTCTCTCTCTCTCTCTTACTCGCTCCGTATTTATTGCTCTTGTCATGATTTTTATTTATAACTTTTTTTTTGTTTGCAAATAAAATCCTGTTGAAATATAAATCCTGGATCAGTTACATCAACCTAAATTCGTTTTCGTAGGCTGAAAGGGAGAGAGAGAGAGGGAGAAAGAGCGATAGAAAAACAAACGACTGTCACAAGTGTGCGCTCTATCCGGTGTAAAATATCTAATAAACAGGCGGCCACCGACAGCGTGTTTTGTGAAAGAGATTCCAAAGTGAGTGGCGACACAGAGTGAAAATAAAAATAACGAGTGGCCATAATCACCATTCAAGCTTCGTGCATCAATCACGGGCGTGCGAGCCAAAGAGGCAGAGAGAGAGAAAATGATGAAAGCAACAAAACATGAAGCAAAATACAGCAATCATTTAATTATATAATTTCGTCGCGCGTTATGCATCCACGAGCATAACATTTTTTGCTGCAGGCCAACAAGCAACAATCACAACCAAAGCTTTTTTCCATACAGTTTAATTGGGGGAGAGTAGTTTTTCCACAGCGGTTTTGATCGCTGACACGTAATGATTCAAGCAAGTCTCAAATTATATGTAAAACATTTTGCCAAAGCAAAATACCGACTGTGTGTTGGCAAAAGGCTGGCAAAAAAGGATAATTTATTTAAACTTTTTCTATGTTGATTGCCCTGAATACATTACAATACACGCCGCGCGCTTTTTTTCTTCTCTGCCATCGCTCTCTTGCAAACTGCGTCAAACAGTTTATGTCGTGCATCGACATTGATCCGTCACACAACAACGCTTGCTCAATTTTCTTCTCTTGACTCAACCAACTTTGCCGTTTTCATTGCGCGTACCATAACAAAAAATATCGCAATTAATTAGCAAGGGTTGGCTCTTTTCTGTTTTATTGACGATGCTATAGCGAAACGAACCCAAAATAGAAGCATGCATACGCGGAGCGAGTGGAAATGATTCTCAAAGAATGGTTGAGAGCGGGAGGAAGAGAGAGAGAGTGAGAGAGCGAGAGAGAGAGCAAGCGTGATTGCGGAAAAGAAGGAAACGAGGGAACGATAAAGAGTGAGAGATTTTGAGAGAAAAAAATGAGAGCAAAATCAAAAGCGAACGTTAAATGGTTTACGAGCAATTAAATCTGTTCTTCTGTTTTTTTTTGTTGTTTTAACTTGCAGCGATTTCGTTGGATATGCAATTTTGCTGAATTTTCTGGTCTATGTAACGTTGCCGGTTCCACTGTATTTTGCTGGGATATTGTTAGGCATTGGCTCATTTACAATTTACGTTGCTTCCCTTATCGGTTTGGCACGATCAGAGCTGTACTTCTGGCATCAGGTATGTGTCTGTATGGCTGAAACCGCAATTTTCGTATTATCTCACCGAGTTGATTATGTGCTCAGTCGATGAAAATGCCCGACGCGTTGAAATATTAAATCTCACCAGGAGTTCCATTTTTAATGTATAACAATGCGATTAAGAGCATCAAATTTTCTTTTTTGACCCAATCTAAATTTAAAAAAACTAGATCTCGGCGGGGTTTAATATGGCAAACTGGGTACATTCATCGTTCTTCATTCGTCGATTTTTCATATTTTATTTTATCGACCAGCCCTGTGGAAAGATATTCAGGAAAATCTACATTTTATTGGTATTAAACATGTTGATTGTTCTTCATAATCCCATTATTTTTATTTTTTTTATTTTAGCAAATCGCAAATGGCATTTTGATGGCAACGGCAGCTGCGATTGGATTATTGTGCTACTATTTGGGCGAGGCAAAGCAACGTCGAGCATTTTTAGAGGCAAAGAAAAGTCTTGAAGTGAAGATGGTGATTGAAGAGCAATCGGCTGAACAGGTAAAAATGCCAAATCGTTCGTCAACCAGGGAAAGCGAATGCGAGAAAAATCAACAAAACAATTCGCAAATATTGGGTCTGGGAATTAGTTTTGTCGATTTTTTTAAATTTTCAAACATTTATTTGAATACCAAAATGAAATTACATTTCAATCAAAATATTGTCCATCGGAAGCGATGACCTTCTGCCACAATGTGGGCAATTGACGGATGCCTGCCTTAAAAAATTCCTCATCTTTTGGGGCTATAAATGCATCGAGCCAATTTTGGATTTCTTCAACTGAAGAGAACCGCTCTCCGTCCATATGGTTTTGCATCGATCGAAACAAATGGTAGTCGGAAGGAGCCAGGTCTGGGCTATACGGGGCGTGAGCCAAAACTTCCCATCCGCTATTTTCCAAGTAGTTTTTGACCGATTTCTCAATGTGTGGCCGAGCATTGTCATGTAGGAAAATCAATGTCTCTTTTCTGGTCTCCCATTTCGTGCGTTTTTCTTTGATTGCTTGTTTCAAACGTATCAATTGTTGTCGGTAGAAAGGCCCATCGATGGTTTGACCACTTCTCAGCAGCTCATAATACACCACTCCCTCCTCATCCCACCAAATAGACAGCATTACCTTGTCGCCGTGAATTTCTTGTTTTGGCTGTGATGTTGCTGGTTGGCCGGGCTTAACATACGATGCTTTGCGCTTGGGGTTATCGTAATGAATCCATTTTTCGTCACCAGTGACAATTCGATACAGAAAACCTCTTTTTTTGTGCCTTGCGAGCAGCATTTCGCAAGTCACTAAACGCCTTTCAGCTTGCGCTGGCGTCAATTCATGTGGTACCCAATTTGACAACTTGCGAATGAAACCAAGGGCCCTTAAACGATATCCAACAGTGCTTCGGTCAACATTCAATGCTCTGGCAAGCTCATCTTGAGTTTGACTCGAATCTTCATCGAGCAATGCCTCCAATTCCGCATCTTCAAACTTTTTTGGCTGGCCGGGACGTTCCTTGTCTTCCGTGCTAAAATCACCACTTTTGAACCGTGAAAACCACCGTTCACATGTACGTTCCGATGGAGCATGCTCACCATAGGCTTCCACCAACATTCGATGCGCTTCAGCCGCAGTTTTCTTCAAATGAAAGCAAAAAATTAATGCTTGCGGGAAATGTTGCTTTTTCGGTACAAAATTTGACATATTTAAGGCGCAAAAAAAAATGTTTATCCAAACTTCGATGAAATGATAGATGATGATTTTTGTAGTTTGACACTAGACCACTCATGTGAAAAAGAAAAAAGTATTGCCCGATACAACCATGCAAAGTTACGCCATCTTTTGAAAAATCGACACGATTAATTCCCAGACCCAATATATGTGCCAAACGTGAAAAATAATCTTTGCCAATTGCCAATCTTGAGCAAAGGGCTGCTTTCTTTTACTGTTGAATACAGCTTACTGCTATTCACCAAGTTCCAATCATTCCATCGACACGTAAAACAAACACATACATAAATTCTGCACATAACTTCCAGCGCTCTACTATCGATTCGTCTATAAATGCTACGTTTCATATAAAACAAGCTGTATACCCACAAATGAAAGCAACAACAACAAGCGAAACGCATAGCAAACGTATTTTGACGTTCGGGCCATTTATTTGTGTTGTTTAACTGGATGAAAAACTTTATCGGATCTTTTATTTGTCTTGTTTATTTTTATATATTTCGGTTTCTCTTGTATTTCGACAATATAGGAGCGTTTGCTTTTATCCGTGCTGCCGGAACATGTAGCCGTAAAAGTGCGACAAGATTTAGGCTCGAATGATTCGGAACAATTTAAAAAGATTTACATGAGCCGTCACGAAAATGTCAGGTGAGTGGAAATCAATGTTTTTCTTACTTTTTCTCTCGTCTAGTTCGTGGAACCGATTTCAAGCTGTGCCAGACTCAGCTACCGGAGAATTGATCAATTTAACAAATTCTGTAAATTCTTAGGCTCATCACCAGTTTTGGTGGTGTTTTTTTTCATTTCGGCTATATAATTTCGAAATGAAATTACACGCGGTGCGTGCAAGATAGATAATCAAGAGGGCAATTGTAAATAAGCCGAATGCTAATGCAAAAAGATTGAAGTTTCTCCCACGCAAAAGAAAAAAAAATCATTTTTAGAGCCACTTCTTCTGGAGAAGTAATTTATTTTGTGTGCTTTCGTAATTGGTATTTACACCGTCTAGACACACCGCCTTGAAGAAATTTCACTCTGTTATTTTCTTTACTTTGATTTGTCATATTGAAGATGTTTGCGAAAAATCGCAATCCGCATTTATATCTCTGATGCAAATGGATTTTCTCTGTTAATGTTGAAAGATGTTTTCGCTGTACATTGTACAGTGTACAATCACTTGAAATTCATTCAAACAAATTCAGCATAGTACGCGTCCATTTAGTCAAACATATCAGTCAACCTGATATCAGCCACCCTGGGTGAAGCACTCGGATTTCGTCAATGTGGATTTGATTGTAGTTAATGGGATTTCGCCCAGCTATTTATATCCAATGACATATTATTTCACGAATAGCGTTCATCGAGCACAAACGCACACAGTCGACCGTTGATATGAGAAATTTTGCGCCAAATGGCAAGCAACCAACCCGCACCGATCCACGACAAAGAGCAAAATAAACACAAACAAAGTGTGGAAGACATGAACTATCAACAGAGAAGCAGGGCACAGCGTTGCTTCTTTTTTTCGGCTTTATGTCAAAGGATATTATTATTATTTATCCATGCTGCTGCTACCGTTACTGACGCGCTTCAAATACACACAATCACAACATGTGAAGCTTACTTTGTCTATTGGTGGTGTTATACCGTTGCTTTTGTTGGCTTTGTGTGCGCTTTGCTACAACGATTTCGGATCACGCTACTTCAATTCAATGGTACGTCAATGTTTGATTCTATTATAAATTGATTGGTGGTTCTGTGATTTGACGTTGATGATGCTTGCATGAGTGCTAGCGACCGACAACGATGACGGTGTTGACGGAACGAGGAAGTCACTAGCTTAATCAATCGTAAAATATTTTATTATGGGCTTCAATGCAACTAATTTTCCTTCCTTTTGTTATAACCAACATGACAATCACACTAATTGACAATGACAAAGAAATGCAATTTATTATTTATCTCTCATTCTCTTGCTTTGACAGTGTAGGCATAGAGAATGGAACCGTAGCCTTGAAACCACACATACAGTATAGTGTGCTTTCAATCCTATTTCCCGATTCCATCCGCTGATGGAATGTTTAATTATGACTAAACGTATTTTTCTGCACACAACCGAAGATAGAACGATTTCATTTGTGGAGTTCGTTTATTGTCTCGATGAACGAAGGGCAAATACGAATCGTGGCTTTCGCCATTTGCGACATTGATAGATTTCACGTCAAACGTTAATGGATGGCATTTTTCATTTCATTTTTGCTCTCTTTTCTGTTCTCTTTGCAGTATATTGTATGCTGACATCGTAGGCTTCACGGCCATCTCATCGACCTATTCGGCGCAAGATCTTGTCAAAATGTTAAATGAGCTTTTCGCACGGTTCGATCGACTTGCCGAGGTACGTATATTTCATCATGGTTTCTGTTACGCTTTTTTGCTCGTTTTTTCTGTTGCTTTTTCCGCTTTTTTTGCATCCAACAGAAAAAGTACATCATATTTATTACAACCTCTAAGCGAACGATGAAACTTTTCTAATTAGAAATCGTGCACATTTGATAGCTCAAATTAGTCGATTAGAATTTTCATTTTTTCCTTCCGTTGAAAAATTTCGCAAATCTTTTTGTTTTTGCTCGTTTTCAATGGGAACATTTGTTCAAATCTTTTTTTCGACGCTGAATGTTTTGAATTTTTTGTTCATTAAATATTGCAAATCTTTTTGTTTTTGTTCAAGCTGAAAACTTTTCCAAGCTGTGAATAAGTTGAGCCTTTTTACATCGTTGAAATCAAAACAAAACAAAATGAAAATGTTTTTAATCGTTTTGTTTTCGCTTTGTTTTATTCATTATTCACAGAAATACCACCAGCTTCGGATTAAAATCTTAGGCGATTGTTACTACTGTATCAGTGGTGCGAACATCGAGCGGCCGGATCATGCCGTGTTGTGCGTTCACATGGGTCTTTCCATGGTCAAAGCTATCAAGTAAATGAGAATCACGGTTATTTTATCAATTCAATGTGAACAGAACACACACATATATTTTCCACGTATTATAAGTCTATAAATAGTCGTGTTTTTATCCATTTTTCGAGTGTGGGATTAAAGCACAGCACAACACACCATATAAACTATTGATGTTGTTGTTGTCTGTACGAATGCTCTTAGCATTCCGTTCGAACGGATTGGAACAGTACATTTCCCATTCTGAAAATCGATACCAAAGTGTCAAATGTCAATTTGTAATTGTTTCGATTTTTTTCTCTCTCCTATTTCTTTTTGCCTCTTTTTTTCTATTCAATTTTGAATTCAATTGTGCTTTTCAATGTTCAAATATTGAATAGGTATGTGCAACAAAAAACCAATTCACCGGTTGATATGCGCGTCGGAATCCACACTGGCGCAATTCTGGCTGGCATTCTGGGGCAACGACAATGGCAATATGACGTATACTCAAAGGATGTCGAATTAGCAAACAAAATGGAATCGAGCGGTATGGCCGGGTAAGTACCTAACACCAATAACCATCAGCATCCCACCGAATACCCCGTCGCTTTCTCTCTCTCTCTCTCTCGCTCTCTTGTCAGTACAAATTGTTTCATCGATTTTCGACCAATATTCAACATTATGATACTATTTCACCATCCGAATGAATCGTGTGTGGCGCGCTTGCTCGAATTTTGTGACTTCGAAATGGTAATGGCAAATATTGGTTTTTGGCTGGGTTTGCGGTGATGCATATTCTATAAAAAGGGTTCACCTCATGCATTAAAATACTTCGGCAAAATGATTTATTGCGGTCAATAACTCAGAAATGAAAATAAATGCCTATCACACGCTGTGTGCTTACCACGTTTATAAATGGTTTGAGGTTACGAACACATACATGCACACACATACACACACATTCACCATTTCGTGCAGATATATATTTATTCAAATGAATTCATGTTCGATTTTCTATCGAAAATATCGCTTGATATTTTCGTAACGTGTTTCTTTGGTTTAGCTCCCTTCCACCCCGACTCTCTCTCTCTCTCTCTCTTGATATATTTCGTTGTAAGGCTTAATTCGTTCAATGTGTGCGCCTGGATACAGTGCCACGATTTGGCATATGGTTTTAATTCAACAGCGAGCACCAAACGCAGTAATTCCTACTTTCTGTCCAAATTTGACGTTGCTTGATATTAATTTATGACCTTATCACCACCAAGGGATTATTTTCTGTATTTGAATTTCACTGGAAATTTAAGAGCTTAAGTAGGATTCTAGTTGGCAACCCTCTGTTTTTTTTTGTCGCATGACCTTTGAATCATACCGCTTAATGCATACGTACTTGATAGATGTCGGAGTGAATTCCAAAAGCCAACAAAAACATTTGAAATCATTTGTATTGAGAGAAAGAGAGATTTCAAGTATCTGTTCAACAAAAACATGATAAAATTTGTCGCACAGAAAATTTACCGGGTTCTTTTTGTTGTTGTTGTGTATTTGCAGACGTGTTCACATTTCAGAGAAAACATTGCAATGTTTGAGCGGCGAATTCGAGGTTGAACCGGCTTATGGTGAAAAACGTGAGGAATCTTTACGTATAGCCGGCCTCAAAACATATTTCATCAAAAAAGTTCTGATACCGGTGAGTTTTGGCTGAAAATTTCATTTACTTGAATCGAATTTGATGAGAGTTTTTGCTGTATGTGTGTCCGGCCGATTGCAGACAACCCATGTTTTATGCAATTTTTTAATCAAATCTGCATGTCATTTCAGTTTTCCGAAGAGAATGATGTGAAAACGGGCGAGGAAAATTCCAATACGACCGTTCAAATCGAAGAAGATGGACCATCCGAAACGTTTAAAGATGAAGAGTCAAAGGTACAAGGCCCTAGGCTTGACTTTTTTTCCCTTCATATTTTATCATTCGTTTTCCCGAACTTTGTTACTAACTCGATTCCATTTCCATTATGATAAATAATTCAGTGTAATACGCCCGACGACGAAGTTGATGAACCGAGCAAAGAGGAGATTTTCAAGAATCGTCTGCGAAAGGAGCTTGTAAGCCGAGATGGTCATGGGTATGTGTATATTGAATTGAATTTACTATTTTTAGAAATCATTTGATTTTTTCATATTGGTTTGTCGCACAAAATCGAATATTCTCCAATTTTTCGCTTATTTTTTTCCAGTGAACTGTCGAAAGACACCACAATTTTCTTGCGATTCAAAAACAAAGAGCTCGAATCAAGCTATGTAAAACAAAGAGAATCGATGTCATCGGTGCCGTTGATTGCATCGCTGCTAGTTCATATCGTTGCCAGTGTATACTCTTCCTTCATTCTTCCAAGCTCAGCCATTCATTTTCTCGTCATTATCGCACCCATCATCTTGACATTACCCATAGTTTGGATCTCAGTCGCTGAAAGCTTTCCAATGGTAAGACAGTTTTCTTTCTCCTTTTTCTTTTTCTTTCACATGCTATTTTAGCTCAAATTCAATCGATAACTTCCAGAAGAACTTTTTGTATTGCAAAAAAAAGTTGCAAAATCAGCGTTAAGTTCATTATTTCTTATATTTTTCGCTTCATCTCATTTTCAATCAATCAAAGTGTGATTTTGCCATAGAAAGTTGCCCATTGAAACAATCCACTTTTTGTAAATTTTCTTCAACTTTTTTTCTGTTTTCTGTTCAAAATGCAGTACTTCTCGGAGGCGGTAGTCAATATTAGCAAGCGTTTCAATGACATTCACATTTTGCGGCGCACGGCAGCAATTTTGACGATAGCAATACTTGGATGCACCAATTTATTTGATATGCTCATGTGTGCATCGACAATTGATCACCTGCCGAGCACCGACAGTTTCAATAGCACCATAAATGTCAGCTCGCATCAAATCTCAACAACAACCACCACCACACTCAGTCCAAATTATCCGTGGAAAATTATCCATGGATTGCCGACTGATGTTGAATCGTCATCACATTTTGCATCGACCGTTTGTACGCTATTTCCGTCGTACTTCAGTAATTATGCCATTTTGATATTGGTAGCAACGTCGGTGGTGGTGCAATTGACTCATGTGTGCAAATTCATCCTCATGCTCATAATTGCAGGTAAATAAAACAAATGACTGAATCGACTCTATTCTATCTATCTCAGTGCAGCATGCTGAGATACAAATATACACACACTTCTTAACATTGAATACATCCGACACTAATTAGCATATATTGATTTTGATTTTCTATACTCAATGATGCTGCTGCTGCTGCTGCTGTGCTGTTGCCTTTGTTTTGCATCACAAGGATTGCATTGTTATATGAATATATTCCAATTGGACAATCACTTCAGGATCGAAGAAAATGGACATTCGTTGAATGTGTAAGTAGTTTATGATCACATAATTACATTTATACAAATACATGCAGCGTGTGTGTGTGTGTGTGTGTGCTCAAACAATGTTGCTGTGATTGAATAATCCAATTCAATTCCATTTTTGAATTGACAAGCACCGTACAATGCATTCATTCTATTCACGGACACAACCATTGCTCCACACTCTTCTTCTATATCCATGCCATTCGCTTTGTTGCCAATGTAATGGCATTTATTTGTTCCGTTTTGTTTTCCTTTTGTTTTTGTGTGTATCTTCTAAACGAGCGCGTCTCAAAGTCACACAGAACTGTATATGGAAAAAGGGAAAATATGATTGTTTGCACACGGATTCATTAAAAAGTGCACACAAATTAATTACAGATCTGAAGCCTTGATGCCAGCACGATTTTATGATTATTTTAACATGATGGTGTGTATTCATTTCAACCCTAACGCTCTCATTTTTATTGATGCAAATGAGATTTTCGCTGCACAAAAAATAAAATAATGGAGGAGTGTGATGGTGGTGCACTTGAATTGGGTCAATGTTATTGCCAGTAGTGAGAAGGGAAAAAGTAGGGTGAGAAGGAGATAGATGAGTGACAAATTGCATTTATTATTGAAGGCGAGCGAAGCAGCACATTATTTGTCACCCTCGCATTTTTTTGATGACTTTTGCATAATTGCAAAGAATGAAACGCCAATCACGCCATGGTTGCATTCATTTGGTTAATTGTTCCTACATATATATATATGTGTGTGTGTATGTCCGATTCTCTTTTTCTCTGCAGAAATATGTCGTTGCAATACAGTTTGTCAGCTCTGTTGCTACTCATTTCGATCGCACTGGGATTACTGTCAAGACACGTAAGTTATTTACATTAATTTTGCATCACAATTCAATTAATTTTTTGCTCTTTGTTTTCCACACCGTTCTTCGGGTGACCATGCTACAGATGGATAAAGAGGATCGGGTCATATTCAAGTGGAAAAGCGAAGTGGCCGAACAAAAGGAAACGGCCAGCGATATGCGGCACAGAAATGAAAAGCTTGTGAAAAACATATTGCCTATACATGTCGCAGAATATTTTATCAACAACAAATCACGTTCATACGATGAACTGTATTCACAAAGTTACGATGAGGTTGGCGTTCTATTCGCTAGCATGCCAAATTTCTCGGACTTTTATTCAGAGGATGCGGTCAATAATCAAGGGCTCGAATGTTTACGTTTCTTGAACGAGGTCATATCGGATTTCGACGCTGTACGTATCACATTTCCGGTTTTGTTTGGTTTTTGTTGTTGAATGATTTATTGAATTGTTGTTTGCTCATCATCACGAGAGATTGCAGCAAAAACCAAAAAAAAATACATGGAAAATCATTTTCTCACTTTTTGTTCCATTTTTTTTTCACATTCGTTTTGCTATCAGCTGCTTGGCAAGCCACAATTTCAAGATGTTATTAAAATCAAGACAATTGGGTCAACATACATGGCATGTGCCCTTACTGGTTTGAACAATGTGCGCACGGTGAAAGCCGACGATTCGATAGCGGTGCGATGGAATCACTTGGCAACGCTGGTTGAATTTGCACTTGAACTGAAAAAAGCATTGCAATGCATTAATGAGCAGAGTTTCAATCATTTTGTGCTGAAGATGGGCATCAACCATGGGCCAATTACGGCTGGTGTGATTGGCGCACGTAAACCGCACTATGACATCTGGGGAAATACGGTGAATGTGGCATCACGTATGGAGAGTACGGGCAAAGCGGGCGCCATCCAGGTCACACAGGAAACATGTGAAATTCTACAAACATTTGGCTATACATTCGAGCAGAGAGGTTTGGTCGCTGTCAAAGGAAAAGGTCAACTCATGACTTATTATCTGATGGTAAGTGGCTTTTGTTTCGGTATTCAATTTGTTTTCCGCTTTGCCCCTGACTTCGGTATTTAATTGATCAAAAGTGATAAGTTCATTTTTTTTGGTTCATAGTTTTGAACAAAATTATTTGATAGGATAGACTCGATTTGAATGAAAAATCACATTCACATTTTGAAAGAAATTCGCGAAACTACAAATTTTCGAAATTATTGGACTCAACCAAATGTTAACAAACCAAATAATTTTCAATGCATTTTTAAAGGGTAAAACATCCGACGGTGCACAAATAAAAACCACATCATTCTCACCATCACTATCGCACAACATAAAGCGACAAAATGTAAGCAATCCCGCATCACCCAAATCGAATGTCATCTCACAAACGACGACGAAAACCGATCTCAATTCAACAGCATCAACGCCGCAAGCCAACCCAAAATCAGCCACATCACCACTGTCTTCATGCTCAAATAGTCCAAGTAGTGTTAGAATTAATCAAAACTATGATCCGAATAATGTGAAAAAGCAAGAGGCAAACGATGTGAACCACCAAAGTAGTCATGCGGATGGCGGTGATTTTGATTTGGACAATTCGGAGGATGGCGATAATAAACCATTGCTCAATGCCATCAATGAAACTGCAACACAAATTGTTACGAAACGTACAAATAATCGATGCGAAAAAGCCGACCAGGAGTCAGCCACAAAGGCGGATAGCGACAATGAAAGTGATACATTGATTGCAAACAATCACAACTAAACACATATAAGCACACACAAACTTCACATAGACGAATTACATATATATTGAGAACCGTAGCAACATTCTATTTATAGTTCAATTTTTAATCTTTCGTCATTGCCTTTTCGGGAAAGAAGAAGAAGAAGGAAAAATTCAAAAATTGGTTATTTCTGTGACGATAGAAATGAATTTTGGCTGAAAATCGAGTCAATCGAAGCTCAATGTTTGTTTCCTTTGGCGTGACACTAAATTTTCAACCAAAGTGAATACTCTGAAAAATTGTAAAAAAAAAAATTCAAACCTGCCGGTGGATGTAGAAGATTGCAATTTTTCGGAAGCAGATGATGAAGATGAACAGCCTGTTTGCAAGACGTATTCTACTTCCACCACTCAAAATTAGAAATCTCTTCAAGCATTTTTCGTTATATTGACTCATTTCATTTAGACAAACACTTTTTTTCTTAATCGACTGAGTTTTTGATGTGTATACACATAAAATTAGGCTAAATATTTGTATCAGAAAATCAGTTAGAAATTGTGTGTATCTTCTTGTTTTTTTGTGTGCACAAAATCGACTATTCTAGTGATGAGCCACCTAAAAAATGGCCTAAAATTAATACGCTACACCTACTGAGAAGGAAATTAGTTCATTTAGAGCCATTTAGAGAGCATTTAGAGTTAGACCATATTCAATGAATAATAAACAAACAAAATAAATCATCAACAACTATGAAACAAAAAACAAAATATTTTACTTCATAAATGTGATGTAACTGATATATAACACAAAAGAAAATTAGTCAAATTGAGTTACAGTTAGCTGAAATACATGTATATTTGATTGAGTTGAATCGTTCTTGCGTTGAACACTCACCAAATACACAAAAAAACATACACCATGCACAAGAATGCGCTATCTTCAATAAAAATATTGTATCAATTGTCATATACCTCACTCATGTTTCGACATTGGATCTTTTTCACCGCTCATACCAAGGCATTCAAAATGCATACACAGCTATAAACGCAAAACGGACAATTCATATCTCTGTATCTATAGTTCAAAACGTTTTTTTCTCTCTTCTTTTTGTTTCTCTCGTGTACATTTCTTCTAACTAAATAGATGTCGAAATCAGCTAATGACCAAAAAAACCAATTAACTACTTGTAGCGATAGAAATGCTGTGAAATTACGACTTATTTAAAAGATGATAGGCATTTCTTTAATCCAAACCGTTTTCCAATCGATTCAGAATCTGAATTTCGGGTAGGTCAATGGGTCGGATGGCAATTAGTTTAGAATGTGGTAATTTTATGCTCTATTTCAAAAATTTGGAAAAATCTAATCGTTTTACGATTGATTTGGTGTGAGAAACGAAAACTATGATTTTTTTCAAACAGCATTTACTAATTTAACTCACCAGAAGTTAAACTGGTCAGATGAAAAGGTCTATTTCATCTATCCTTCTTAAAAGAATCGCAGTTTGGAAAAAACTCATGGTTTTTCGGAAAATGATAGAAAAATTAATGGCAAATAGAAAGGGATTTTTTCTTTGAAAAAATTAATTGAATATCATCCTGTCAATTGAAGTGAAAAAAATCTGATATTTACGAATTTGCAAACAACAAAATAGGATTCAAGTCGGTCTCTTTGGCCTAATAAATAAATTCGAGGAAGAAATTCTCGCAACAGCAATATTTGTATAGAAAATCTTAACTTCTACACTGTAGCCTCATTTTCATGTTGTTTATTTCTCTCATTTCGTTTTGTTTGTTTTCGTTCAATCTGTCGATTGTTTATAGAGAGTTTATTTATAGTTTAATTTTTTGATTGATTACTTCAAATTGTTAAAGAAAAAAAGTGAAGCTTTTCAGTTGAAGATACTTTTCTCAAAGAAAATACCAAAATTTCTCCAGTCTTAAAGGGAGTACCACTTCTAAAGTCTTGAACGATTTTTAAGCCTGGAATAGAAAAGTCTACAACATAAACTTAAAATTCATTGTGTATTTATTTAAAAGTAAAGCAAGAAAAAAAGTGAAATGAACGTGTTTCATCATGGACCTTTATTCTCTAGCGAATGACCAATTGAAAAAGACATGTATTTAGAAGAAATTCTTTCAGAAGAAAGAACGACTAATTTCAATGGTAAAAATTTTAATTGTGGACAAAATAAAAATAATAAAATAACACATATGAATACCAACATTTTGAACATTTGAATAAATGTATTTAATTGTAAAACAAAAATAAATAACAGAGAAAAATTAAAAACCTTTGAAGAAATGAAACAAAAAATAAACTTAAATCTATGCAAACTATAAATGGAACTGGAATTTTTATTTCTTTTCACTTCTATTGCTTCTGTTGCCCATTTAGGAAAAAGCTATTGCGGCCGGTTTATGAGTTTTGCAATAATTTATTCTACATTATTTGCACAATGACAATAAAATAGTTGATAATATTTGTCGGTTTTGTTTTGGATGATCGTTTTTTTCATTATTATGATTGTGAAATGTTCTTGTATTTTGTTAATCTTTTTTTTTTGCAGAACCATCTCTCTTTACATTGTCATATTTTCTTTTGGATTTGTGTGTTAATTCATTAGTATTTGGCTTCAAACACGTTAGTTCGATTATTCTTGTACCAATAGTTGTCACTACATTAATATATAAATTCATGTGAATGGACAGATTTTTCGGCTTGTTTTCTTGCTTGATTTGGTTCTAAAAATCTCATTTTGTTTGGCTGCAGTAGCCATAATTCCGTATTCAAAAGGAGGAGGAGGGGAGATATTTTTAAATTCAGAAAAAAAAACAGATATTTTATTGAAGACGAAGCTGTCAATTTTGGAAGTCTCCAATTGGGACCTATCGCTTTGGGTTAAGTCGGTGATGTTGGTAATAAACATGACAATTAATATAAGGTTTGTATGAGATAAATATGGGCTTTGTTTCGGATTCTGGCTACACGAATTTTTCATATACTTCTTGCCTAAAAACACGCTAAAATTCCAAAACGGAAAAAACCATCCTCAAATCTTGAACAAATAAAATCATGGTAAATATAATTTGAATAAAATATTTTCATTTTTTCTGTTACTCTTACATTCACTTCTATTCAAATATCATTTATATACACGAAGAAACAAAAGAAAAATCAGTTAATGCTTAAAGATAAATAGTGTCTGCCTTTGTTTAGTTTGTATTAAACTATGATCCATTTTGCTAATCTATTCATTCAATGTTTTTGTCGAATATTGAGATAAATGTACAGTGTGTATTGTAACTTGTTTGTGACGATTTCGAAATAATGGCCTCAAAATACGTGTGATGCAAAAAAAAGGTGCATAAATTGGCTTTTTTTCTCTCTTCCAACGTAAAGAAAAATGATCAACGGAAAGTGAAATCCAGGCTAACATTTGATAGGTATTTCTTTTCTCACAATTTATGCTACTTAGTTTAAAGTAAGTGTTCAGTTTTTCGAACGAGCACCGCCGAAATGAAACAACTTAAACATTTTAAAGATCACCGTGTGTTCGTTCGAACTTTCACTCCTTGCAAAGACACCTTGTCTACTAAAAGTATTCAGATTTCGAGCGAAACTGAGAGAGCGGCGTTGTTTAAAGAGTTTTTTGTTGTTGTTATTGTTCAGTAAAAGTTGGTTCGTGGGGGGAATATTTAGACGAAAATTAGTATAGCCAAAAAACATAACTAGCACGAGCAGTTGTCCTTATTCGCTGCTGTATCATTCGATAGAGTGGTTCGACCCGGTTGCGACGGTTTGTGTTGTACTCCGGATTCAGAGGCATTCAAATCCAAACGACCATCCTGAATATTCTGGTAGATCTTTCGGGCGGTTTCCAAGAATGCATCCTCAACATGCGCTCCACTGTACGGCAACGGAATTGTGATTTAGTTGGAGTTGAAGATGAAGATGTGTACAGAGAGTGAAAGATTGAGAGAGTGGAGAGAGAAAGAGAAGAAAAATGGATTATTCATCAACACCAATCGAACCTATATTTTTCCGATTGTTAAAACTTACGTCATTGCACTTGTTTCAGCAAACATTAACCCATGCTCATCGGCAAATTCTTTTGCCTCTTCGTAGGTTACTTCACGGGTGCTGCTCAAATCGGACTTGTTGCCGATCAGAAATATCACAGTGTTTGGATTTGTTAGATTTTTCGTGTCCGTCAACCAGCTACTCAAGTGATTGTACGTTGAACGTCGTGTGATATCGTACACCATTAATGCACCGGCTGCGCCTCTGTAGTAACTACGTGTGACGGCTCTAAATCGCTCTTGCCCAGCCGTATCCCTATGTATGAGGATGATAAAGATTTTTTCAGTGAAAAATAATGAAATACAATTTTACATGAAATTAACTTAATGACGCGATGAGAAAGGAAATTTGAAAAATTGTGATAACGCTATTTGATAACAAAGCAAACAATTTGTATGTGTAAAAATCTACACTCACCATATCTGTAGCTTGATTTTTTGCCCGGCCACTTCTATAATACGTGTTCCGAATTCCACTCCAATTGTATGTGGACAGTTGGCCATAACTGAAACAAATGAATGGGGACATATTAATGAATTTATTTTTACTAAACCATTTATGGCTCATTCATAAACTCATAAACAAAATGTGCAATAAAAAAAAGCCCCAAATTGAGATACAATACAGAAAAATGACTTACATTTTTTCTCCGTGAAATGGTGTAACAGACACGATTTGCCGACGCCCATATCACCGATAATGATGTATTTAAAAATGTAATTGTAATTATACGGTCCGCCAGACATCGTGAAAGCTATTGGGAGTAAATGAAACGACCGAAATTCATTTCGTTAATTAATTTTTTCTTTGAGTCCTTGCTAGAAAAAAAAACGTCAAAAATATTGTGTTCGTTTCATAATATTTGGAGTATGGACTGCAATTAATTGTATGGGTTGGTCTTATATACCGTCTTCGAAAAAGACTTTCATGTTGAAGCAATTGAAGAGCTCCATAATTTATTAACAAGTGGCTTTGCCAACGAACGGAAATTGACTGCGTTCCAAAAAAGAAAAATTAAAATGAAGAAAAAGCATTTTAGGCAACAAGACAATATGTCTCCACATATCAATTTGGCCAGAAATTTACATTTTTATCACTTTTCCGACGCATTCGATTTTTTCTTTCATTACACTATAAAACACGTTTTTTACAATTGCTTTTCTTTATTTGTGCCAGAGGTGATAGGGAATATCAAAGCATGTGAATTGTGTAATGCACGTAACTCACATTTGGCTGTACTCCAACATGAAATCAGTATTAATGGAGTTTTTTTTAACTCATTAAGCGACAGTCGCACTTTTATGTTCCAGCAATTCGCTTGAGCGAAAATGTGAATAAACTTGAATGGACGCGTTTTAAAGTTTTTGGGACTTTGTGTTGTTATTGTTGTTGTTGTTGTGGCCGATAATTTGACCAAATAAGAGCAATCAATTCAGAATATGCCTTTTTGAGCCTTGGATTCCATATCGATTAGGAACGAAGGAAAAAAAACCCAAACTAAAACAGTTTACTCTCGATTGTTCAACACAAAATACGAACCATATGTACGATTTCTGTTAGTCAATAAGTTAAGTGGGGATTGAAGAGCTTCTGGAAAATTCGATCCATCATGACATTGACATTGACTTTGAATGCTAAAGGTGAAATATGATCGATACTTTTTTGTCCTATTTATTATTGTTACTCATCTATGGTCTCTTTGAAAACCAACGATTCTTTGTTTTAATACAGCAACAATTAAAAGAATAACTTTGTATTTGTTTGAGCTTTGTACAGTAATAAAACGTTGGGCATACATAAAATATAGCCTGTGATGTATTGGAGCTGATTGCCAGGGAACGGTTATACGAGTTTTGGCATCAGAGAATTTAGATCAAGGATTGAATTCACGATGACGCGAACGAATTCAATCGATCCCTTCAGGAGGAACAAATGCACAATTCATACTATGAATTTGATAGTAATCATAGTGTGCAATATTATGAGAGGTATATCAGTACGAACGGATTATTCCACACCAAAATATAATGATTACAACCTTCGCTTTCAAAGCAATCATGAACAGAGTGCGATTAATTGCTCAAACATCATCTGAAATATTCAAAGAATCATGAGGTTACATATACGTGCAAAAATGGTCTGAATGAATCATTTCAACTGAAGCGCTTCACTTGAAAACATTTCAACATCCAGTAACTGTTAGAAAATGAAACTAAATGATCTGTTATAATTTTATAATAATCAAAAAGAAAAGTTTTTGGCAAAAAATCCACGGGAGAAATGGTTAACCGTTCGACGTGTGAATATTTTTTTATTGAAATTCATCGGTTGCCAATTTATGGAATCGGATTATAAATTACATTCTCAGACCTTAATCCCAGCATATTTGATATTGAATTTCTTTACCCTTTTACTTTACACCATATATTAATAATACATTGTATTATTATCGTCACGAACCGTTCAGAGCGCTGCAAGCAACACCTGTTTGTGGTGTCATCATTCCGGTATGATTTTTGCTTTCATTTCAAATCACAAATTTTATTTGAAATAAGAAGTGACTGACGTAGATTCACTAAGAACTGAGCTTTAGTTCATATCAATATCACAAGTTAAGCATATATGCCATTCATTCATGGATGATTCATTCAGATAAGTGTAATCGTGTAAAAAATCGATTCAACGTATTTTTGTGATTTCTTTTTTTCTTTTGTTTCATGTACTAGGCAGCGATATTATTTGTGGTTGTTTTGGTGCCAACAACTCGAAACCAATATCGGCAAATGTCCAATTTTTCGGATGAAGTTATCCGCGCAAACAGCGAATCATTGCCGAGAAATCATGTTGTATGTGATAAAATGGCCATTTATCTCGTTACCAGCACAATGAAAACACTTGTCCTTCTGCTATTTGTCCTTTTTCTCGCCGACTGTATACCATTGTACAATAATATCTTCACAAACCAGAAACAAATGATCATTCCGATCATGGTGCCTTTTGTTGATCCGGATACTGAACTAGGTTACATTTGTAATGCGGCAAACGAAATGGTATTTCTAATATTTGGACCTTTCACAATATTCGGTACAGAAATGATAACGTGTTTACTGAAAAACACCGTAAAAACAGCATCAGCTTTGGTAGAGAATTCACTTGAAGAATTGGCTGATGCGCTGGAGAAAATTAAGACATTTTCCGCCGAACATAGTTGGTACTTCACAAATACAATCGTCAAAGTCATCGATTTTGAAAGGTAATACCCCGAGACAGCTCGGTTTCGTTGTAATGAAATAATTAAGTTAATGTAGTCATGAGTAGCTCGCTATGAAATCGAAGTCGAAAGCGGCGTCATATCCGAAAACAATATTCGATATTTTAGCTTTTTTGAAGAAATTTACAGGGTGGATCACTCATGACTACATTACCTAATATATTCTCAAATCTATGTCACTCTCACTTATTCAACTATCAACCCCATTTCAAATCACCTTAATATTTTGTAGATTCGTTATCAATCTAACCGATTTGTATTATTGGAAATTTTTTCCTCCAACCGGGCATTTTGATATTTTCAGTCGCTGTTGGAATTTTTTTATACTTAGCTGTGAGTGTTGGCCATAGTTTTTCCATCATGAACCAATTCAACTATTTTAACTTTCTCTTTCATTCGAACAAACTTTCATTTTCGAACCAGGATAATTGGAGTTCTGGCATTGGACTAGCACTTTGTGTTTATGTACAAATTTTGATTTTTTGTGATGTTGGAGAAACTGCTGACGATGCCATGAGTTTTTGTTTGTGTTTTTTTATTTTTTCTCATTCGATAAATTGAAACATTCTTCGAAGCTCATATTTTCATGAAAACCATTTCAAATTCTGTAGACCGGCTAATTTTTGGATTCATTGAATAAATTCCCATTCTATTTGGCCATAGGAACAAATCGAATGCAAAATGGAGCCAAAATCCAAATGGGTCCGCTGTCGGAGCTGGATTACGATACGGCATCGAAGGTGGGTAAAGCATAGAGCAGTAAAAATCAAATTCGTCTAATGGAAGTCATAAAACATTTCATTTTAGCCAACGAAAGTCATCTATAATTATTTGATGGTTATGATGCAAACATTCAAGTAGACGCAGCATTGAACAATGATTGAGCATTGACAACAACAAATCAACCAAATTGAATGAGGAGCATTTTGAATATTTTCTTTTCAATTAATCGCAGTGTATATCATTTGATGTCGTACATGAAAATTAGTTTAAAAAATCTTGTAACAAGATAACACCATTTAGTACTGGTTCCAAAATAATAGTACCCAACCAATATTAATATAATTAAAATGAGCTACAGCACGCAACTTGTTGGCAAATCAAATGCCAAACACCATATTAATGGAAATAAAGTTGAATATTTTGAACGTTGCCACCTCTCAATAACAAAGTAAACGAAAAAGTGACAGATGTTTATTCGCACGAAATCATTTCGTCGAAAGTTCCATATTTATTCATTGTACTCAATCGAACCATACGGTTATTTGGTGTGTACTTTCACACAGAGATTGATGTACTGATTATATATTCGGGTTTATTCATGGGATAGATAGCAATGAACAATCAAATATGCAAATATTTGTTAATATATTCGCACCAATATCATTGCGCGCCGCAAGTATTGATTAGACTGTCGACTGAACGGTTCAGAACGAAGTTATTAGTTTACGTAATTTCGTCGTGAATATGCATACGAAGAGAGTACACTCTCTATATGTACGCGATATTGTCGGTTTTGACAGTATTAACATTACATATTTATCAACTACTTTTGCGATGGTTCACGTATATGTCTGTCTTATGCCATCAGCCGCACCGTGCGATGATTCATACAGACCTAACTGCATGGGTTGTAATTGGATTTTGGATTCACTTGCCGGACGTCATGTCGATCATTTAATGGGTACAACAACAACAACACAATTCCGACAAAGATTCAATAAATTTGGGATTGGCACTAAATTCGATTCAAATGAACTGTGGCCCAATCTCAATGCCTATCTCTATCTCTTGAATTAATCAAAGTCCGCTCAATGTGTCACCAACGCCCGTATCTCAAAAAGTCACAGATTTACACACTTTGAAAGCAAAGAAAAAACATCAAAACTAGATTTTGGCTCATTTTTTCGGTTGTTAGGTCACTTATCGTTTTACGTTGTTTGTTTTCATTAATGTGTGTAGCAGACAAAACTTTTTTTGTTATTCTTTATGCGTTGTTTATTAAATTTTTACTTGCAACAGCAAAAATTATCACAAAATCCAAACCATTCATTCGAAATCACTTTTTGTTGAGCGTACCTTGGTTGTGTTGAAGATTTCCGATGCAATTCTATCACTCGAATTGGAATTCGTTTTGTTCGCTCCAAACAGATCTTTTCTGTGCACTTTTTTTATGGTGATGGCGTAGCAAATCTATAGCTCTGACAATGTTTTTGCACTTCTTCTTCTTCTTCCTTTTACTTGACGGAATGGAGCTGCTGTTTTGCGTTCATTTGTTGTTCGCTCTATTCAAATGAAGAAAAAATACACACACTTCACAATCCTATGGTGACGGAGTAAATGCTTTGTTTTCCCCGATTTATCTTTAACTGCGGATGATAATTTGAAATAAATGTGAATTCTTTTCAGCTAGAGTACTTTCGAGAGAGCTAAATACTGACAAAAATAATGATAAAACACACATAAACAACACACACTCTCTCTGCACAATGACTCGTCCGTCACTGCGAAGAAAATAAATCACTTGTTCGGCGCTTGTCTAGTAATAGAATCGCACAGAATGCCACTAGGTGGCGCTACACATCAATTTCGTTTGTTTTGATTGAATTGATACGCATTTCGAATGCAATTTGATTGCAAGGTTAAATTTAAATTGAACATCCGTCTGACAATTCAAAATGCCTACACGCTCATCAGAGAAAAGTAGTTTAAAGTTGGGTGAAATAATAAGCTGTAAATTGTAGCCGAAAATTTTGTATGCATAAGAAAACACCCGGAAATTTGATTTAAAAATATCAAAGTTTAATTTTTATTTTGGGCATTTTTCTCTCTATAAATCGTTGTTTCAACATGTTACATAGTAAAACCTAAAAATTTCGTGCTACTAAACAAAAATCCTTTTTTTTTAAAATAAAAATTGGAATACAGACAAAAAAAAACGAAAAAGAAAAACTTGTTTCCATTTTACACAAAGTCGTCACAAGTCTCGTTGAAAAGGCAATTCACTGTTTTTTGTCGCTTAAATTTAATCTCATTGTCTATCTTTTTTATCAATTTGTTCACAACGGGTTCGCATATGTATTTACATCACAAGAGTCAATGTATAGGAATGGAGTTAGAAAGTTAGTTGATGGAAAAAGAATTGGCGGTTATTTTCAAGGCTCCCACGAGTTACATTTGTTCAAAAATTTCATCTAATTTGTTTTCAATTGTTTTAGCAATTTGCGATTTGTTTTTCTTTGTTTCAGCTATTTTTGTTCATACTTTTAAATGAGATGTGTTTCTAGGAAAATATTGGAATTGATACCCAATTATTTGTTGCAGTATATTTTTCGATTGACCAACTTCCAAATCCCATTATTTTCTTTACATGAATATAGTAGTGTTTTATTTAAATCCTTGTTCCAACTAGATTTCATCTACTTTTCTTTTCTGCGGTGGAAAGTTTGAACTGTCCTTTTCAAATCCCATTTTTTGGAATTGGTCTGAATGCATGCAAAATGATTATCTTGGTCATCTCCCCCATCTCTTCCTTCGAATGTATATTGTATAAGTGTATGTTGTTGTTTCATTGTATTGTGCTGTTTGTGTGTGTTTATTTTTTCATGCGTGAAACATCAGCCAATAAATTGTAAGCACAACCGAGAGCCCATGAGATTTCATGATTGTTTATTTGCTTGTATAGCTGTTGAAAAAGAGAGAAAAAAAATTGATGATGATTAATATACATTTCATCTGATTTTGTTTTTCAAGTAGGTGATTCAAGAGAACCAAAATAAACTTCGATTCACTTACTTTGACTTTAGTCTTTGAGTCCAACCCGTAGCCGTCCTTTAATAATACTGAAATGTACGTTAGATCGAGGCACATGAATGGCTGGTCAGTATTTGCAGTGGCGCATATTTCTTTGGATTTTGAAATAAAGTCACCGACTGTAATTTCACCACCTTCGAATGGATCTGAGGAGCAAACACAAAGAAATTTAGATTTTTTCTCAATTTTCCACAACAAATTCATTTGAGAGATCTTCGAGACTCTCTTTTTCCGTCATTTCCCCATAACTACTCACCAACTAATCCAGTTTCGATGGCCCGTTCAAAGAAGTAACTGAATGCAGCTATTTGATTTTGATTGAGTGTAATTGGTTTTGGATTCACCAAATGCATGGCTTTTTGTTTCACCAATTCAACGCATGCCTCAAAATCGACAATCGGATTCTCTTTGGTCGATTTACTATTACTCTGCCCGCTGAGCTTGTATACTTTTGTACCATATTTAAATGGATTTGATTGGATGATTGGATTCACGCAAATACTTTCCAAATCTTTGCCACCATTGGTGCTATTGTGTGTAAAAACGGCATGGCGAACGGCTTGCAAGCCCAAATTTAAATAACTAGTTGTGAATACATCAATTTTTGCATTTGGTACATTGACCGTGTGCATATATTCTGACAGCAAAGGCGTTTTATGTACATCTTTTGGTGCGAATGTTACTTGTGTGCTACCACCACCCAAATCCAGGGCAGCTACTGTATTTTTACTACCTAAACGACCTGCAATTTGAAAATTAAAATTATTCCTTTGGTTTGATCGTTTATGACCTTCTGTTTCGTTTGATTCGAAAGATAACTGTTTGCGACTAAGAATTTCTTCAAAAACCATTTATTTCAATCCAGACTTACCTAACAAAAAGTTAATGGTAAACCATGAATAGATACCCTCGTCGAGGCCATCCAAAATTTCCACCGAATCATCCTTAACTAAGAAGCCCGAGCGCAAAAAGACGTCACGCACTTCGTTCAGTAGATTTTCAGCTTCAACAGGTAGCAGTAGTCGTAGGCCGGCAGTTGCCTTAAGAACGAGAGGTGTTGTTGCCCAAAATTCTTGTGGGATAAAATCTTTTGCTTTTCCTAAAAGTCCTTGGATTGTTTTGGCTCCCTTTGATGATAGAAAATACAAAAGGTCAAATTGAATGATCATGGAAGGAAAGACAAACGCGTGTGTTTTTGCGCACAGATCAATCATCAATCGATTGAGATAAGATAAATCTGGATTAAGGGAATTTTAATTACCTCGGCAGGTTTGTCATGATAAAATGAAAGACCTGGCTTAACTTGAACGAACAATTCTCTGTCCAAAACCAACCGACCGTCCATGTATCCTAAGTGGAATTCGTATGCAATGACTCGGCTGCCCGTTGATCCGGCGTCAATGACAACGGCATATTGCAGTTGTTTATAGCCCAAAGATACGGCAACCTTATCGACTAGAGGATGAAAAGTATCTGTATAGGAGCCTGTTGGAATCATTCACAATAGTGTAAATATTGAAATGTTCAGCGATAAAGAAGACGCAGATTGTTCAGTAAATGCAGACGTTGTTACATGCAAGCAAAAACAGAGTTCAAAGTTCAAATTATTATTAGTTTCATGTTCATCAATTCAATTCAATTAAGTCGCACCCAAGAGGAATGTGAGGAGAAGTGCGCAAATAATCAAGCATACAAATGATGTTTGCAGCCCACTTTTGCGTGTTGCTGATTTTGGGTGTTTTCCAATTCCATTTGGTTTTAATTTCGATGGATCTCCGCTTTGAGACTGAAAATAGAGTTAAAAGTGTTGATTAGTTGCTATAGAATAAACGATTTCATCAGTTGTTATATGAGAAAATTTCAGATTCGAATAGAAATTTTTTTTTCGTAAGATGCTGTACTCAAAAAAATAGTTTCAGTTGGTTGCTATATCAACAAAAAAACTGGAGATAAGCCCACCATTTGGTGTAACTAAGATTTGAATGTTTATTCGTGTCAAATTCAACACGTGTCAGTAAGAAAGAAAAATCACATTCAGAGGAGTGAAGAGACGATAAGAGTATTTACCAGTCTTCTGTAGTGATATTGTCTCATATTTGACACTTAACTAACTAGATCTTGGATATGTACTCTTTCTTTTCTTATCTTATTGCACTAAATTAACGATATCCGAACCGTGACACCGTTGAATGCTATTTGCATTAGATTTGGTACGACAAGATTCGTTTTTTATCACAGACTACTTAGATTTATAACTTCACAAGCTCGACCAATGTGTGATGAATACGTTGTAATTCAGATCAACCGAATGGTTTAAAGATGATTTACGTTCTGATTCGTGTGTAGAAGACGATGCGACAATCAGCACACATTTCGTATGAGATGCGCTCAATTTAGAAACAGCTTCGGAAAACAATCGCTTTGAAACGGGTCAATTCATTCGGTCTTGTTGATATTATTGAAAACAGCTGTATTTGATCGACACCGAACGTCAATGCGTTTAACAAGTAATTTTAAATGGCAACGCTCATTTGGAAAAACGTCATCAAAATTGTACCGTTCACGTGCGAGAACGTTGGAAGCGAATGGCAATTTTTTTAATGGAATCCGAATGGAAGAAAACGCTGGTAATATCATGACCATATTGTTACAGTAGACATTTGAGTTTAAACTGGCCAACACAATCAAAATAAACTTGTGGCATCATCACGTGAATACACATCACATAAATACAATAGCTTGACTGAGATTAGGTTTATCATTGTGACAAAACGGAACTGTTTTTTTTCTTCAATGTTTGAACATGTTGTTCATTCACACACACAGCGCGCGAGATTCATTTTCGCAGTCAATTTGCGATGACTACAATGTTCAGTTTTTTTTTTCGTTTTGATACCAATTTTACGTAAGTTTTGAACATATAAAATGCACTTTTTAATCGAAAAAAAAATGGATTCAATAGCCGAAAAACAGAGTTCATGACACAAACAAGCTCTTGGGCAAATCCAGCGAAACGTCACACCAACAAATTATTACCATTGACAGTTCACGACGTTCGCACAGCTCGTAGTCCATTGTCATGGTGTGTGCGATATGCTATTTCTGGGTTGTAATACACTCTTGCTCTGTGTATGGGTGCCGATGTGTATGTGTAGCGAAATGCACGGGTTCAGCGGCTGCTTGCAAAATTGGAAATAGAATCGTCCGCGTCAATGTGATGTGACTTTATTATTTGTATACAAAACACCGAACACGAAGAACAAGAAATCCGCTTAGAAAGGCTGTACGGCCATCGCAAAATTTCGCGTCAACGCACAGCAGTGCACTGAAATTTTAGATCGCATGCGGCGTCTTTTTATTAGAGCCCAAAAAATTGTTGCTGTTGCTGCGAATGAGGATTGTCCATATCAGCTGTACTTATCGCATTTTCAGGCTGAAAGTTTCAGCTGTCGACCACAGCCAATTCATACGATTTCGATGCCATCTTTGATTTCCAATTGTGAATGATTGTCAGGGATTTCGATCGGCTCATGTCTTTCTTTGATTTTTCTACCGTGTAAATTTTCATTTCTCTAACTCATGTCTCTTTGTTTCTATCATATCAGTAAATCGTTATTCACCAAAGATTCGCCAATCTTATCTTGTTTGCATGTACAAGTGACAGCACTAGTATTAAATGATAACTAACAACCTCTTCACTTAAACGGCTTGGTTTTTTTCGTTTTGAACGTTGGAGGATTTTGAAGAGGAAGAAAAAAACATATTCCCATTCAACTCGTCTAATTTTGATTTGTCGTTTCTAATGATGACACGGCGCTTTCGCAATTGATATATCAGACCTTGATATTCAGACGAATAGAATGTGTGTCGTTGTTGCCGAGAGACAATGTTTCCCAGTCGAATCATTTTGATGATCGAATACATGATCAAATATGTATATATTCTTGAACGAGTTATTGTTATTTTCGATGATGGTATTGGGACCTCACAGGTTTTGGTTCGTCTCGAATATTTTCAACAAGATAACGAATGTGATGTAAACACTGTGTTTTACTTTTCAATTGGCCTATTGATATTTTGACTGTCATTTTGATGTTTTTCAACATCAATTGCTATTATATTCAGACATATTTTCGTTTTTACTTACTCTGCGATGGCGAACTGAATTTTGTGACGGCATTTCTTTTTTCACGGCTAGTGTTCACACTCACAATTTACTTAATTACACGGCTTGTCGATCGAAACGCACATAAAACAATCAGTGTGAAATAGAATTGTCGAGTGGCTGCACTTAAATCGACAATAACATTGAAAAGTAATGACTCGATTTAGCAGCTAGGCAGCACGTGTTGATTGCACAAAATACCTTCCTCTAACTTTTTTCAAGTCAAACACGAATAAAAATGGTCTATTCTTTACAAAAATTCGAACAATTTTTACTGCGAAACAATTCTCCTCGCGGATGCAATTTGATATTTATTCAATTAACACGGCACTCAGTTGACGAAAAACTAATGGTAGCTGTTGAATGAGCCGTGAAGTCGTTGTCTTGATTGTCCGCTTTCCACGGGAGGTCATGTAAAGTCGTTGATTTATTGATTTTTTTCCCTTTGGAAATGGAATAATTTCTATTCCATTCGGTTACTATTATGAACGATGGTGTGTGATATTTGTTTCGGTAGAAAAATCACACATCGGTGTTAGAAATCGACAATCAAGTCCTTCTCAACAGTGGTTGCACACTGAATTCAATCCGTCGTCGGCATAGAGCAGTCGACCAACCAAACATTGCATGTATTATATTGTGACAGTGTCATACATCGCAACTATCTGTGTGTGTTTTGTTTTTATTGTATATGCTTTTACTATCTTGCCATGATTGCGCGCGTGATGCGAGTGTGTTAAATACCGCGAACATGTTAAGTACGGCGGTTCTATTGGCAATTGTGTGTTTTTGCTTTGTTTTATTCATTTTGAGAGAGTTTTTATCATTTATTTTATTTTAATGAAAGAAAATCTGATGGAATTGACTACATTTCTGCGTTTTCTTACCTAACTCACTGGAATCATTCGCCAGTCAAACATTTTTTATACAAAAAATCTATCCAACAAAACTATTCCACATTTCAAACAAACGTCAAACAATTGACTCAATAGAAAATGTTCACCATACCCATATTCACCTCACCACGAACATACCCCGCCAATATTTTGACACATATCGTATGACAGCACATACACAATTACACGCGCGCACAACGCATGCATGTGAGTCAGCCAATGAATGAAAATTCCGGATTGAATACGAACAGCCGAAGAGCTGACTAAAAAAATCAGCGCGCAAGTGGCGTGATCCTCACAGTTTTGATTAAAACATTGAAGTGTTAACACCCATTTTTTCACTCGATGCGATTTTACGGGTAGGCATCTTAACGATTTGCTTTCAAATCAAATTCAATTGATTTAACATCACAGAAAATATTGTGTTTGTTTCATTTACGGTACATGTTTAGTCATAACAAGTAGAAGAGAGAGAAAGAGAGAGAGAGAGAGAGAGAGAGAGAGAGCTATAAAGCAACTTAGTTAAAGCAATAATTGAATTTTGTGATAAATTTTACGACCGACAAATTAGTCTCGCGCTATAGTAAAAGTTGATTAGAAAACTTGAAAATCTCAGTGGGCAGCTCTAAATCAAATCAATCATTTTGCAATAGAAAAGTTGTCAGAAAAAAATTTATAAAGTCGAATCGATTTTCATTTCCAGTTAAACGTCAGAATCAACCAGAAAAAAGAACGTAAAGTGTAAAGTCCAAAACTGCTGGTGAAACCGTGTGTATTTCGAATAAAATTTGTGGGTGACGATTTTATTTAATCGTTTGGAATTCCAACAAACAACTAACCAAATTTCAACGCAAAACAATCATGTCGGACAACGAAGAAAAGAAAGAAATTCGTGTTTGGTGTGATGGATGGTAAGTGCCCAATTAAGCAAAATCAATAATACCTAGTAATTTTCGAGTGTTTTCGACGGTATTTGAAATCGATTTTGTATATTGGAAAACAGTTATTGTCAGTATATACAGTTTAGAGTTAGCCACAGTGAACAAATCGTATACGTATCCATTTCGATGAATCAGACGTAAACCGTGTTTGTAAATGGGCCGATTTATCTATGTTCCAGACAACCGAATTTATTGGCCTAGCTCAAAAAATTACTCTTTTTTTATTTATGTTATCATATGACGTCGATTCTTATTCATCTGTCATGTGAACAGTCTGAATTCATCACACGGCTTCGCGTCGCTCATTAGCACATTCTATAAGAGCAGTGAGCGAATGATATGTGTCACCATGGTGGGTACGAGTTTTCGGCGTTTTGTGGAGTTTTTATTGCATAATTGACCTTGACGTTGAAGCGTCCCAGTTCACTACGTGTACATGGAAACATTTTAGCGCATTATTGTTGTTGTTGATTTGAATTTTGTCGGAGTTTCGGAACAACGCGCTATATTTATTCGGGTTGCTTCCGTTCTATGCACTCAATCTCGTGGGGTTTTAGAACAAAAAAACCTATTCACACTTGTTTCATATCTCTTTTTTTGCTTCATCATTATTGGCGCTCTTTTTGCACATATTTTAACGCCTCACAACAATATTCAATTCTTATAATTGACTATGCTATGAGCATTACGTGCTCGAGAACATGTTAATTGAGAGCACAGAAAAAAATGCAGGAAACTACGACTGAGACGAAACGATGAGATTATAAAATGAGTTAAATGTTTAATCTCAAACCGTTTTTTTCATTGTTTTTCTCGTCCGTGTTTAGACAAGCATTTAACGGAAGGAAGGCAACGCGCTAATAAACGCTGGCGATAGCAAAATTCGAAAGAAAAAAATCACAAAGCCTGCTCAAATGAAAACAAAGTCCATATAACAAAACATTCAAATAAGACAAAAATAAGCACACACAGAAATGCTCGGAATTAAAGAGACTCTCTATCTCTTCTATGAACAAAAACAGCGAATGAAGTGAATGTGCCATATGTTTCATGCCAAGGACTCATTTGTTAGCACAACAATGTCTATGTTTATGAAAATGTCGAGCAGCAGTAAAATGCGTCAAGAATGAACGACATAGACATACGACGGCAATATTGCAGCATTTTTTTTCTTTCGGTTCGTAATGGGAGAATATCATTTGAATGTGACTGCATTCCATGGGCGATGCGTCAATGGGTATATGTATCTGATTCTGATGAGAATCTATCTCTCTCTCCGACAACATCTTTGACTCAAAACAAACTGTTTTTTTTCTGTTTCCAACCGCCATTCGTCGTTAACACACAAACGAAAATAGAAAAATATGAGCGATCGCGAACCAAATTGTAGAATTATTGACACAATGTGTTGGTTGATGTGTAAAAATAAAAAAAAATTCCACTCGCTGTGACTTTTTTGTTGAATGAACTGTTTGTTCTACGAAGCGCGTTGGTGTTTTGGTTTTATGCCGCGACATCCAAGCGCGACATCGATGACTCAATGATTCGAGGCAATCAATATCTCAGTATAATTGTTTTTGATATTGTCTACGTTGTTGATATACCATGTGTTCATTCGCTAATTTCATAAGCTGACTCATCACACACATCGTTAGCGTCCATTGTAGCCTATCTTCTGAGTGGATTTTTCCGTTTTTGCTTTGCTGTAGACAAAAAAAAATTCGGCAAAAACCGAATGATACGGCATTTTTGAACGCGCATACCTTTTGACCGATGCGGAAGAGCAAGAAACCTTACGAAACGGCAATACTGACATGTGATGTTCAGTGCACACATTCACGAGGGAACAGACGGCGTGCGGTTTTCGCTTTATTTGTACACACCGTGTTTCGCAATACACGTTTCGTATTGGCACTACCGTAGCAATGGCAGCAGCAACAGCAGCAACAGCAGCTGAGCTGGTCTGCGATGGTCAAGGTTATTCACATAGTGATTTGTCAAAAGTGTATATATACGGCTCTCGCGCTATTTTCTTCTTCTTCCTCTTCTCTTTAATACTTGTAGCTCACGAGCTACGTCAATTTACGTATCAATCAAGTCTCTCGATTTGCTCTCGTTTTTTTTTCCGTTTTGCTTTTTTGTACAGACAATTTTTACAACAACATTATCGTATAGTAAAGTGGTTAATCCCACGATATTGCCACCGTTATCATCTTACTTTGTTTTACGTTTCGTTTGAGGTCTTGGCTCTTTTTTCGCTGAGTTGTGCCGCTGAATTGGTTTTCTCTCCTTGTAGCACAGTAGCTTAGTTATGAACGTGAAATGCTTCTTAATGAACGCTATTTTTAGACGGCGGCGTAGATTTTTGTATACGATGAATATAGAGGCCATTTCCACGGGAAGGCAAGGCTTCATTCGATCGCATAACCGATTGAAAATAGCCTGAGCGCTAAAAAAAAGGATTTCATTTGGGATTCGGTTGTTTTGACGTGACCATTTGCAATCAATATTTTCATGAACGCCCATATTGCGCATTGACAAAAGCATAGACTTTTACAACATGCAAACAATATAGGAATCGTGGCTCCAATTCAATGTCTTTCGATGGGGTCTGCATATAATAATCAAAGCGATTGTACACGTTTTTTTTGCATTCAAATTATTATTAGATATGAGAAAATTCTGACGATAATTTCAGGGTAGCCGCCAGGCGATAGCGATAATTCCAGAGATTATCACTTAAATGATAAAACCTGATTCATTTATGGCTGCCTGGCGTTCGTTATTAAGTGTTTTTTTCTCCCATAAATTATTACAATAAGAGCTCATTGAAAAGAACTCAAGTGATATTTTTATTGTCAACAAAATCCTGTGTTACTTAGAAGCGAGTCGAAGACAGACGAATATATTTATATCATTAAGCAGAAGTGGGAATCAAAGCAAACGATTGAAAATCAAAATCAAAATCAAAACGTAGTAATAACATTATCCGACACTTGCGCTGCTTATATTGACTGATAATGATCGAAACATTTCAATCGTATTTGAAATTGTAAATTCTGCACTTTGTGCTTGACTGGCCACATGAACAGATTCAATTTCCTCTTGCCAGCAATTGATAGCAATTGCGACGAGTGTGTTTATTCAATTTCGTGACTCGTTAAAATATTGCTGTCGTCGCCAGCGACGAGCGACTTTTAGTGGGCTACGAGACTCGTAATAAATGGATTTTATGGTTTACATTCAACACTCGTATCGGATGATGTAATATATAATGTGTCGCGTGTTGTGCACGGCATTCGTACTCATGCAATTTCATCTATACAGTGCACTGCACACTGAACTCTGATCGAACGAACTCTCGACACGTCACAAACATACATATAGACTAAAATAACTCTCGTCGTGAATAAACACACGTTTAAAAATTACACGTTGCATTTTACTCGTCGACATTTGTGATAGATTCTAAGGAATGGATTTAAAATAGACTTAAATTACTCACTAATAAATGCATTTAAAAAGTAACTTCGTATTCGATTTAGATTTTTTATGCAATTTTTTAATCGAGAATGTTCCTTTCTATTTTCAGCTATGACATGGTCCATTTTGGTCATGCAAATTCATTGCGTCAAGCAAAGGCGTTAGGACATAAGCTAATTGTGGGTGTGCACACCGACGAGGAAATCAAGAAGCACAAAGGGCCGCCAGTTTTCACTCAAGAAGAACGGTAAGTTGAAGAATAAGTGGAAAATCGCTTTCGGAACAGTTCAAATGGAAAAAGGTCAACACTTTCTTTCGCCTCCAATGACCGATTTGGCAACCAATGAACATTTTAGTTCTGCCGTCTTTTGGCATTGTTCTGATTTCATCGTTTTGTTTCCGTTAGTCTAGTCATATTTTCTAGCATATTTTGTCTCATTTCCAAACTCAGATTTGTGTGTGTCGTTTCCATTTTCACTTTCAATGTTAACAATTTACCGCCGCATTTATCGCCAATTAGAGCTATCTTCAGCTGGGTTATTTTTAATGCTCTGTGAAAAACCCCATTTGGTGTCGTCAAAAACAAAAACATTCCTATCATTCTATCGTTCTATGTCGTCAAACAAACAAACAAAATCGTATTACACGAGTATGGTTCAGCTGATGAATAAATAAAAAGTGAGAGTGTACGCTTTATGTGCCATAGAATATTGATAAGATGTCGAACATGTTTTTTTTTTCTATCGAACGGTTTTCTTCTTCTTCTTCGGTTTCATTCATAATTCACGTTGCCTCTATTCAAGTGTTTTTTTTCCGCTTTGAGAAACAATTTTGCATTGTTTATGGCTAAATATCGATTGTTTTTAATTTGCAGGTACAAAATGGTTCGCGGCATCAAGTGGGTTGATGATGTCGTGGAAGGTGCACCATATGTCACGACATTGGAAACCTTGGACAAATACAATTGTGATTTCTGCGTGCATGGCGGTGAGTGAATTTAACTAATCTATTGTTCGGACCAGGAGTTTGAATTGCGATTGTGATTCCTTGTGTGAATTCTTCGTTTTTTTTTTCTGATGAAAAGCTAATCTAATTCAGACCAGAAACCATTCGTTTCAGATCCCAACTAAATTGATGTTGATAATCTGGGATTTTCTTTGTTCATTCAATATGCGTGTATGGCATCATTATTGTTCTTTTATTTTGTTGTTGTTGCCATCAGAAAATCGAACAAAAACGGTTTATGATTAGTCTATCGCTATCGAACTGTTGACCTCACTATTTATTTCACTATCATTGCTTCTCTTGTCTCTGATCTATCAATGAGAGAGAGCTATGTGTTCTACTTCGTTGTTCTGTGTGCCGATGAAGCGCATTCCGATCAATGTTCATGTTGACGGCTGACTTCTCGGTCCAATGACGTATTTTTTTCGGAAATGATAGGAAAAATCGTACGATTTCACGCCACTGAAGTTTAAAAGTCGAACACAAAATATACATATTACGAATGATTTCGAATTGAATTGAATAATAGTAATAATAATTCAATATCAACGATTCGACATCGATGATTTCACATATTTCAAAGTTCACACAAGATTTCATGTCACAGTTTCAAAATAAACACGAAAAAAAAGAAAAAAATGTTAAATTCTTTTTAAATTTATTTGAAATTAAATAATTTCTTGCTTCATTCTCCAACAGATGATATAACTATGACAGCAGACGGTGTGGATACATACCAAATAGTTAAAGATGCCGACCGATATAAGTAAGATTGCGAATTTTTTATTTGTCAATTTTTTTTTACAAACCAAATTTCCAGTAAAAAAAATTATTTGGATTGTATTAAATTTCTATCCAAATGTTTAACAGGGAGGTGAGCCGAACCGAAGGAATTTCAACAACAGATCTAGTCGGCCGAATGCTCCTGTTAACAAAGAATCATTTTCGTCAAGGCGAAAAGGAATACGCAATCGAAAAAGAAGGTTTGCTTCACACACATATCCTAAAAATAGACAACACATATGGTTTCGTATCACTCTCATACGATTTTCGCAGCATGGGTCGGTCATTGAACCACATTTGTGAATTGATATTGCCGCAGCTATTTGCGTATACTATCCGTTCATTTATAACAAATGCGAAGGCACTCTGTGCAATTGATTGCGGGGGAAATGAAAATTGGCTCGCTCATTCTTTTTTTTTCTACGTTGGGAAATTGACGACACTGTGCAATAGATAACACATAATTAAAAATTAAAAATAACCAATAATGACCGACTTTGACATTTTTTATCATTTAAACAAATAAATTCCGATATGATCACATTTTGGTCGATTTTGCCCGATTTTCGCAGTAATTTTTTCGCTTTAACGAATGCATACTGTTCTAGAAGCGGGTTTTGGTGCATCCTCAGGATCGTTCAGAACTGCTTCCGATTCTGGAAGTGGGTTTTGGTGGATCTTCAGGATGGACCAGACTGGGTTTGACAATGCCCCAGCCCATCCTGAGGATCCACTTCCAGAACCGGGAGCAGTACTGAACGATCCTGAGGATCCACCAAAACCCACTTCCAGCATTTTTTGATCGGTAATGACGTCAGCACATTAAACGTTTATAGTCGATATTTAACGATAAAATTCAATATATACAGATTTTTTTCAATTTTTTACGGATGTCATTAAAATTGGGCGATAAAAACAGATTTTGTCAATAAAAAATCCGTGATTAGCCCCTAGGTTATCCGCTCAATTCAAATTGATTGGCTCCACCAAACTTTTGCACCAAAAATGCTTATCAATGAACGTCATAATGTTGCAAATGAAGCAATTGTCTGCAGTTTTATCGAGTTGTCTGGGTTATTCAATATCGTTATGGTTCAATGAAGTATTTATAGCCAATCACATTCACGGACAAAACTTGTGTGGCTCTACGAGAGCATTTTGTTGTAAATATCGATCGATATGGACGTTCTGTTACCATGCAGCGAAATTCGTACCGAAACAAGAATGAAACCATTTTTTTTCCTTTTTTAATGTCACTTTTCCTCCTTATTTTTGCTTTTGTTTCGTTTTAATCGTTTTTTTTTCGTTTCCTTCAATTTATCAACTTGAGATTTAATTAGCGAATCAATGAAAAATGTACTTTTAGCCTTAATAATCAAACGAATTCAATCATTGTATTACACCAAACGTAAACAAAACTATCCAGGTTCATCAAATCTGGGCCAAGATCATTCGGCACGATCACCATGGACTGGTTGTTCCCAGTTCCTGCCAACAACTCAGAAGATAATTCAGTTCAGCGACGGCAAATCACCAAAGCCGGATGATAAAATTGTAAGTAAACATGGTGATTCATTAGCTTATTGTTGATTGAATGGATTCTTCCATTTCTACAGAAAATCTATTGAACGTGTATTTCTACGAATGAATTGTAGTTCGCAAAATGTTGATGTTTAAATTGAAAAATATATTTTCTGTTTGTCATAAATAGGTTTACGTTGCTGGTGCATTCGATTTGTTCCATGTTGGACACTTGGACTTTTTGGAACAGGCGCGCAAACATGGCGATTACTTAATCGTTGGATTGCATACAGATCCAGTGGTTAATAAGTACAAGGGTTCCAATTACCCGATCATGAACATTCACGAGCGTGTGTTGAGTGTACTCGCATGCAAGGTAAATAGAGATAATCAGCTAATTAATTTGGAACTATTATCGCTCAATTAAATGTTTGTTGTTTTCTTCAATTTTCGAAGTACGTGAACGAAGTGGTAATTGGTGCTCCATACTCGGTCACTGAGGAACTAGTGAGGCACTTCAAAGTGGGCGTCGTGTGCCATGGACAAACTGAATTGCCAATGGAAAATGGCGTACATGACCCATACGCTGTGCCGAAGATGATGGGCAAATTCATTTCGATTGATTCCGGTAAGAATCACTTTTTCGAAGATTTTTTCAATTTTGTTTGTTTTTGCTTCGAGATTTGAATTCAAATCTTTAATTTTGTCATTGTCATTTGGCAAACTTTCGTTGAAAAAATGACAAAAAATGTATTTCGAAATTATTTTCTTTTAAGAAAAACAATTAAAATCATTCCCCTCTCTGTCTCAAACAGGCAACACCATGACCACAGAAAAAATAGTCGAGCGCATCATCAAGCATCGCATCGAGTTCGAGGAGCGAAATTCTAAGAAGGAGAAAAAAGAAATTGAAGCATACGAAGCAATGACAAAGGCTAAACAAAACGAAAAAGCCGGATAATAATAATGGCGATGCGCAGCTAAATCTCGATTTTCATTCAATTCATTCCAATAATAAAACAAAAATTATTTGATTTTGCTTCGTTCCTGTGGAAATACTTTTAACACTTGTGGCCATTACTTTCTTATACTCGTTGTTTTGTTTGTTTCCTTGTATCAAAACAAATGTTTTCATCAATTTTTACCAATTTATCAAATGTATAATTCGTATTCAAGTTAAAACCAGCACCAATTCACATACACAGACACTCAACTTAGGACCTTAGCGAAAATGATGATGATTTGTTTTGAAGATAAGCGATTCGATTTAACGTACTATGTACTGTGACAAATTGGATCGCATGAAATGAATATCTCAAAAGTTGAAGAAAAAAAATAATCGTAACCAAAGCATTTTTTTTAGATTTACATTTCGCTTTTTTTTATTTATGTATAACAATTATCACACGGTTTAATATGTTTAGTTTGTGGCAAAAATGGCATATTTTTCTATTATTCCAAAAGAAATTATTTTTTAGTTTAGGTAACAAATAATAAGCCAAGTGTAATGAATTAATAAAGGAAGTTGTTTAAGAATTATTTTAAGATCAGACACAAAGAAAAAGATAAAGATGTTGAAAGAATGAAGAAAAAGAAGTTAAAAAGGAAGCCTTTGAAATTAAATTAAAAGGAAAACCAATTTGTTACTCTGATTTAACGCTGATAGCAAACTAAATTTATTTTGTATATACGGAGTAATTTGTGTTTATGCATATCGTTCGATTTTGAACAAGATCTGCTTTTCATTAAATTAATTCACAGAGTTTTGTTTGTCGGTATGGAAAAAAAAACCAGAAAATCTCTTCACTCTTTTTCGTTGTACTTTATATTATTTGTTGTTCACAAGAGAAATAAAATGGAAAAAATAATAATGAAATTCACTTGTACTTGTTTGAATTTAATTACATTGCCTTGGGAATTTCCATATAGCGCTTAAGGCTATCTATCTAAAAAAAAAATTGAAAAACTAGCAAAAATTCTTTGAAGGAAATTGCGAAATCGTCGCAATAAAAACTGATGGAAACGCGATCATTTTTCCGGAATGCGTGCATCTCGTCTCACACAATTCCTACTGGCCCAAATCGGAATGTCAATTTCCGTTTTTCTTTGACATTTTCATGGAAAACCCAGTGCGATACACGGATTCCAGATTCATGTGGTATCACATTCACTTCTTTTAGCAGCGCTATTCACGATTTCGACATTAGCCGGAAGTTATTTGATGGACTAGTTTTCAATTGTGTGTGAAAGTGTATTGGCGTATATTAAATACATTGAGCAAATCAGCGTAAAATCCAAAAGTTTTCTCTCTCACTCCCTCTGTCATTCATTGAATCGTCAAGCGCGCACACGCGAAACTAAATCATGCCGATGATCAACGTTGTTCTATTTTCTTTTCATGTCTCATTTTGGTGCTGATGTATGGAGAATTGATGCAGATAAGATTCGACGATGGTTTTTTTTATGGATGAATCGTGGCAAGTGACAGACTATTGACACGCATACGTTAAAACAGTCTTATCTTTCCGCTACCGTTTTCTCGTTTGCCATTTACACGTATCTCAATCTATTCTGCACTATAATTTGATGACTGACAATTTTAAATCGATTTCATAGTTCTCTGAATTCTATGCGATCATTATTATCCAGTGCACACAGACAACACATATTCAATGCTGGCTTATGGGCCGCTTGTACACATTCGTCTGTTTATTCATCATTTATCGTGTATGTGCGTGATTGGTGTCTCTTCTGCTCGCTCTCTGTCTCTTTTCACCATTTTTGGCAAACCCAAACAATAACATGTCATTATCGTGGTTTTATTTAAATCGTTTTTTTTTTATTCAAACCATAACAATTTCCATCTAAATCGTAGACAATATTTTTTGCTGCTGCCTTCCCATCGGCACACGGTCGCGATCATAGTTTAGGTGAAATTGTTTGCATTTCAGTGAGTCAGTCGAAAGTGATAGCTCCGCGGAATCGGTAGGCATTTCGAAGAAGAGCTCTCCACAGTGCCACTCAACCTCACGAACAAACAACATAGTATTATTTAAGCTTAAGCATTTCAATTTTCAATATGCATCTAAGATCAGTGAACGGAATTATTTTCATATTGATTTACAGCTGGAACAGTGTTAATTGTGAAGACTATGGTAAAGTGTTAATTAAGTGTTTAAAATTTGTTGGTTTACGGTAAAAAGAAATGTGAATGAACCAGATCAATCATGTTTATTTTCTTCTTCGTACAAATTATCAGGTGGTTTTGTTGCCAATTCCGATGAGCAACAGCAGCAGCAAATTTTTTTGGAAGGTGGTAACGAAAGGTCGTTAGATGTTGAGCCGCGCTCAAATTACGGAGGTGCATGCCCTGGCGGTCGAATGTGTGTAATATTTATAAATTCATATATGTTCAAGACATTTTTCCAATTTATAAGTGTATAATAATCTGGATATATGAATAATAGGTGTGTACCAATGTCCGAATGTACAGCTATGTATTATGAAGTGGCAAAATCGTGTTACAACGGTGATCGATCGATGTATTGCGGTGGCACACAATACGAACCGTACATATGCTGCCCGAAAAGCCCCATAGAACAGAACAGTGTGTGCGGCAAAACACTAGTGTCGGGTCAATTTTATCGCGGATTAGGTGCCTTTCCATTCGTTGCTCGTATTGGATTTAAAAGTAAGTTTTTTACGCCCTTTTTCATCTTGTTTTCATGAGTTTATTCTCGCAAAAATCTGTCATCAGAAGCAACTTCTGAAAATGCGAAACCACATTCATTCAAAGTGTCCCAAATTATCATTGAATTTCATGTACAAACGGCGAATAAATTAACATTAAAAAGAAATTTGAATAAACAATGAAGAAAAAAAGCATCTGTCATCTGCTTTAACGAGAGAAAACCTGATACCGTGCGCACGACAAATGAATATCAGCAGAGACTGAAGATGAAATGAAAAGTTATTTATACAGTAGAAAAGAAGCAAATAGAAAGAAAAGTAATTTGCAAGCAACGGCTTGTGTCGATAAACATATGAAGAAGGCATTTTATGCTTGAGTTCCCTTTCTTGTCTCAACGACAAACAAAAAATTGTAGCCATTTTTCATGTGTAAACCGTTTAACGCATATATTTTGATGAGAAAAGAAGTGTCTCATTGAAGATTTGTGAACTGTGAATATATATATATATATATATCACGATGAATGAGAGAATCGACTAGAACGATGTGTGTGTGTGTGTGTGTTTTTTTTTCTTGCCAAAAATAAAACGGTTTAAGTCAACACGACTTTCTCGACAATGTAACTAAAACGCACTTTCATAAATCACTCAACAACTAACAATTTGAATGCGTCGAGAACAACTAGCAATTTAAATGCGTCGAATCGATTGGTTTTACGTAATTTGATGATATTCAATTGCGAAAAAACCATCCACCGTGAAAGAAAAAATGATCAAAAACATAGAAAACAAATCAAAAACATTTCCTACCATCTTTTTTTCTCGTTCGTTCGGAAATTATTAGTGTCATATGCAAATTTATGTAATTCGGATCACTATATTCGACCACATCCAAATGATGATTCGCATGTTTTTTTCTCCTTCCTGTTCAAATGGTCGTTGTTGGTGATTAATTTTGGATTTACTTTCAACAAGCGGCGTTCGATACCGTTTTCAATTGAAGCAAATTTTTGTTTCGTATACAGTTTATTTGTTCAAATACGACATTAACAATTCGCGATCGAAGATCAAACTCATGATAGCACTAACTTCCGTCGCAACATCGACAGACATTCTAAAAAAACAACCATTTTTCTGCTGAAATTCACTTGATACGATCAGAAAAACTCATTTAAACTTTTACTCTTTTTCCCTTCGAAAATGAACAGATATTAAACAGAACACAGTAGCTTATCCATGCACGGGTAGCGTCATTTCCAAACGAGTGGTGAGTAATACAGCATGATATCGATATATTCATTAATATTGAAACGTCGTGAAAATGTTTTTTCGCATTTTTAAAGCAACTCTTCTTTTCTATCCATATAATCCATCAAAAGCAATTTCTACCTTAATCGATTTTTTCTGTTTTTTCCATTTTAATTCATTATTTTGATTCACTTTTATTATCTCGATAGATTCTGACGGCCGCACATTGTGCCTTGGCTAAGGCCGAAGGATATAGATTGTAAGTGTTCACCACTTTTTTTCACTAAATTTTTCACATCGAATTAGTCATTGAAATTCAAATCAGAGAGGCTTGATAATCAAGTTAGACAAATCATCAATAACATCAGTTGCATGTCAATAATTTCGCTCGATATAAATTACATTTCGCCATGATATATGAAAATTAATGAATATATTTTTGTTGGTTGTTGTTGTTGTTCGAAACCGTAGAACATCTGTGCGATTAGGTGAATATGATACAAGCAGTGATCCTGATTGTTCGACATCCGGTTTTTGCGCTCCAACGGTAATAAATCATCTGATATCGCATGTTGTGATTCATCCCGATTACAAGCACGGCCACTACCATCATGACATTGCATTAGTTATACTGAAAACACCATTAAATTATACAGGTGAGAATTTTACAGAAATTGCGATGCGAATAAATGAATATGCACAACTTGTAGACACAGCGATAAGATTACAAAGAATTACTCAATTCGTGGAAACATGACGAGATTCAAAGTTTCAAATTCGGTATTTCGAACAAAAAAAAAGTGATAGTAAATAACTAAATATAGATGCCACACGATATTTATACAAAAATAAACAAATTACATCTCTGGCAATTTCGACGCTAATGACAGTGATGTTCGATTGAAATGAAATTGAATGTAAATTTGTGACAATGTGCTTGAATTTTCAGTGGCAACCCAACCGATTTGTCTTCATCCCGATCGAGATAATTTGATAGTCGGCAAACGTGCAACGATTGTTGGCTGGGGAAAGATGTCACATGCACAGCGGCAACCAGTCATGCAATTCCTTGAAGTGCCTTTGACCGCCTGGGACCAATGTGCAAAAATTTACGGTTCAACGGGAGCGCTTGAATCACCGAAATCTGTTGGTATGTACATTTTTTAAGGGAGTGTCACCGTGACGATTAAAATTTGAATAAAAAGTTATCCTTTGAAATATTTTTGTTGGATATGAGTCTTTTGCCCACATATATATATATATTGATGAAATTGTGTACAAATAGCCTTTACTTTTTATATATTTTCCTGAATAAAAACAAAATTCTCTATTCATCAGATGGACAGTGGATGTGTGCCGGCGGCGAAGGTAAATCAAATTGTTTACATTTTGCAAGAAATTTTTTCGTCGTTCAATTCCAATTCACGAAGCTAATCACATTCAATTGAACTCAATTCACAGGTCGAGATGTTTGCGCCGGTTTCGGAGGGGCGCCGCTCGTAATAAAAGAGAACGGCGTACACTTACAGATTGGTATTATGTCATTCGGTTCAGATAATTGTGGTGGCCGGAATATTCCGAGTGTTTACACGTCGATTGCCCACTTCATACAGTGGATACGGGAAAATTCACCGGTCGAGTAAGGGACACTGTTTGTTTTTGCTCTCAAAACTCTCTATCTCTGTCACAACAAGCATTTAGTACAAAACAAAGAATGAAACATAAACTCATCTCATAATAACAAAACAAACTGTTTTATATTTACTTTCAAACCAAAATGCCAATTCAAAATTGGCACCAATCCATAACCATTGATTTGTCTTAATCATTATTAGTAAGGAGACTCGATTGAAATTCAAACCAAATGTTCGGTATGACCCCAATTCATTCCGTGATCCAATTTATTATAGGTATTACTGATGTTGTGACAAAGTAGCATGTAGTGCAGCTATCGCTTATGGATACCATAACAATTTAAATATGTCTGTTACCAGTGTGGATTCACATTTTTTGCTGTCACGCAATGTAAATATTCACTGCAATTGAAAATGTGATCGATATAAAAATAAAATTAATTTTCACGTGTTGACCAAAATAAAAATGTATTTCGTTTTCTTTTTTTTTCTTTTTTTTTTTCAGTTGTTGTTGTCGTTGTTGTTTTTTTCCTAGCAAAAAATGAGAAAAAAAATCCAATAGAAAGCCCTACTAATTTCAAAAGTATAAAATTCACAATAAATAATAAATATAGTGTACAGATGTATGAAAGAAAAAACAAAAAAATTCCTTAAATGGCATAGATTTAAATGACGAGAACAGAACGTAGTTAAAGGCACGAAAGGAATCATTTTCGTTTGTACCCGAAGACGATTATGAACGCGCGCGCGAGCATGAGAACGAATAATAATATAGATTTGAACAAGAGCTAATACAATGGTGCATTTTTCGATGCAATTTGTCATATTTAGAATAGATCGCGATCAGCAGTGTTCGCATGATAGAAAGATGGGATATCTTCATCGTGTGCTGTTTCCGTCTCATCCATTTCCAACAAAATATTCTGCGTACTGGCATTCTGGCTGCGAACACGTAGACGGTGTCTCATATGTCGATAGAAGTATATGACTATGGTGCCAATCAAAAATGCGACCAACACACACAAAAACACAATCCCAATGATAGCCATGGTCGAGAGGCTCTTATCGTATATGGTGACCATTTGATATTCGGTGTAGGCACCATTTAGCGCTAGTGACACCGATCGAACCCTGAAAAGGTACTGACCTTTGTCAAGATGATGAACTGTGTAACTGAAACGGGAGAGAAAATGGGGAAAATTTAGCGTTTATCGAAAATATAGGATCGCTCATCGAAGCTTCTTCCACCTTCCCGATCAGCTTCGAAGCTTCCCTCACAAAAGGGAAAATTCATAAAATATTATGTCATAAATTTCAGTCTAAAATTTGAAGAAAAACAAACCATACCTGTGTCCATTATTATTTTTTCCATTCGCGACATATTGTTTCCACGGCATGCAGAAAGTGGTCACTTTGGAATTGCTCAAATCATGCTTTTCGATATGGAATGCCACGGTTAGTCCGTTCGGTGTTTTTGGTTCGCTAAATTCCAAGTGCACCTGATTTTGATTTTGTGAATCGACGTTGATTGAAAAGCTCGGAACATCGTCGGCGGAAATGGAACTGTCGGTGCGATCATAGTATAAGAAGTATGTGCTGCAATTCATTTCGTTGCAGGAGAAAAATTGATAAATGTACATTGTGTAGGGTAGCAAATCGGTATAGGTTGTATTGCGATGTTGGGCTGGATAAATATGTGTACCGATATGGTATTTGCCCAAATCATGATCCGTATTATCTCGGTTCGTCTCAAAGTCATCGTTCGCGAAAATGCCGTGAATTTGACGTGAAAATCGTGATTTCTCGTTGCATTTTTTTTCATCGGCACAATTGAGTATTTTATGATTTTTAACATATTTTAAAATTTGTGATTGATTTTCTTCTTTTGTGTGACGTGAATTTCGTTCAGAGCATTCAGCTTTTCGATGCATTCTCCATTCATACTCGGGATCGACGGATTCGGGATTGGCAATTTTCCAATTCTCAAATTCCGTGCTGCAATTTTGATAAAGATTTGGCGAAGACACTTCAACACCGACACTCACGTGCGTATCAATACGTGGATTTGTGCAATAATCACGTTGATCCAATAGTTCATGATCGTCCGGCTGAATGAATACATCCACTTTGTACCATTCAATCAACTCGTTGTCATTGGTCGGTGACCAAGCCAGTGTTATGGATGTGTTGGTTTTTGACAATGTTTCCACGTACGGGTAGGTCGGCACATCGGCGAACGTTCGAAAATACTTGATATTACTCAAACCTTGACTTACTCCAATCACGTCGTCTTCATGTTCCTTTGGCACCACCTGAGTTTTCACATAGTATGCATACCTGGAAGGTGAACGATGGTAAAAGAAGAACAAAATCGTTTGATTGAACTTATTCAGAGTAACAAAGTAAAAATATGACGAATTCATTCATAGTATGCATACTGTGTGTTCTGAGTTAAATTATCGATTATCGTTGAATGGGTCGTTCGTTCGGCATCGTCGGTGAAGTTTTGGATGAAATGCGTTTGCCATCCGTATCTGAAAGGTGAACGATGGTAAAAGAAAAACTTAATTGAACTAATTCATGGAAAAAACCAAACTCATTGTCACAAATTCTAATTCAACTAATGAAAACTCTCCATACAAAAAAATACTCACTGCACACAAGTGTCGATGCTGAGTCGGGATACGGTCCGAGTAGGTGCTACAATATAATAAATGATGTACCCGACAATTTTCTCCGTATCCAAAACGGTGATCTTGTCCCAATTGATTTTGACACTTGAACTGGACAAAACATTGTTTGATGTGACAATAACAGTTGCCGTGCAAGTTTGTTCGTATCCATTTGATTCCGGGCTGATAAAATCGGCGGTAGTATTTGTTTTCAGCACTTTCTGTAGTTCTTGGATTTGATTAAGACACAATTTGCTATTGAAATGCACCAGCAAATTTCCGCGAATCAATTGCAATGCGCTTTTCTCATTCCAATTCCATAGTTCCACCAGATTTTCATTCGACGTAACAATGAATGTGTATTTACTATTTTCCGACGAAATGCCACGAATAATGCGTAAACTGCGTAAAAATGACAATGACGTAATGACGGGCGAGCGGTAAATTTTCAAAATGCCTTCAATTTCTTCAATATCACCCAAATTTCGTTCCAATAATTGCATTGTATTGGCCACACCCGACTGCAGCCGTATAAAAATATCACCTTTAACTATTTGACAGCCACGCAATAAATCACTCGTTGCCATTGAATCCACTTCGGTTCCCGGGCATTCTCTTGCACATTGTTCAACATTTTTCACGTTTACATTCTTTTCTATAATGATGAGCGGACACGAATCACGGCATTCACCCAAAAGTGGCTTCTTATTCGCCTTTAAACAATACTCGGTCTCGACACAAAAACTACTGTAGGCATACAAATTGGGCGGACATTGGACAACACATTTTTTATCAATCATATTACGGAAATGACGACACACTTGGCAACCACTCGCTGATGGCTTGGAACATCCACCAATGCACTCCTCGTGACACTTTAAATTCTCTGCAAAGAAGAAGAAAGATTCGAGTTTAAAGCATATTAGTGATTTGGTTCATTACATTGATCATGGGATTGTCTCAATTTCTCGGTCAAAATCGAGGCAGACACTCAATGCGCTTGCTTGACATCTGGGCTCAATAAAGAGCCGATTGAAAATAAAAAATCGTTTCGAGTAAAATAATATATATTTGCAAAACGATTTATGCCGAATGCAAGAAGGACAGAGAGAGAAAGGGAAATAATCCAGCTGACTGTTTTAATAAACATTTTCTGATCGTTCGTTCGTGTCTTTTCCATTATGGCTAGCAAAATTTGCATTCACGATTCTTCATCGCTCTATCTCTTCATTAATGACCACACACAGAAATGAGATCAATAAAATTTTATTACGAAATCGAAAAGAACTCTATGTGCGCTCGTTCGTCCGTCCGTTCGTTCGGTCGATCGGTTGGCTGGTTGGTTGTTTGCTCTGTCTATCTTTGCGTTTTGCCTGTCTATTTCCACCGTCATCGCGGCAAGAGGAAGAATTTTTATTGCAGTAACGTGAGTCTCGTTTGCAGCAGACGCGCGCGTGCGCACACACACCAGTCGCACAGACAACGCCATCGGATTGAATTGAATAGCAAACACAGGAACAACGCAAATGATATTGAAATCCAACAAATATTGGCTTTGTACGGGCATAAATATTGGCAAAGTGCTACATTCATGACGATTCGATTTAAAAAGCCAATTATACGAAATTTATGCGGCCAAAGATATCCATTTTTCTATAAATGCAAAATTATATAGCCACACGGCAGGAAAACAAATGAAGAAGAGGAAGGGGAGAATCAAATAAGCAGCACTCCACAATCGCACTCAATAAATTTCGCTTTGATTGAGTTTAAGTTGTTGCGATGACCGAAACGATTCATCAAACCTAATGAAACCGAATCACAATTTGTATTGGTTCAATCGAATCATGTCAATTGTGCTTCTTTGTGTCTTCATTCATCTGATTCATTTCTTAATTTTTTTTTGTCGCTTTCAATTATCATTATCAAATCACAGTGCTGAACTTTTGGACACTGATCGAATGATTTGACACGAATCTACGATTGATTTATGGGTCGTATCACTTGTCATGATGATCATTAAGTCCAAAGAATTATAAATGAATCATAAATGAATCTATCGATTTTTGAAAGAAAGAAAAAAAAATGATAGTGAATTGCAATCCAGTTCTTATCAAAATAAACTTCACTTGATCGTTAAAAATGAAGCAAAACGAAAATTATATCACCATGATGAAAATGCATATTGCCGCTGGAGCTCATGTATGTGTTTCTGTGTGAATCTCAGTCGATGAGATGTAAATTTCCAACGAAATTTGTCGATTCGATTTACACAGCACGCCTCAGCGTGTAGGTATCGACGAGATTTCTCGCGCGCGCACTTCACTCTAGTTCATTAAATTTTATTTGCTTTTCATACGTACTCAAATCGAATAAACGATTATTTGTTTTATGCAATTGTACGTTTCGAACGATGAAATTAATTGAATACGATTGAGCAGCGAAGAGTGAGCAGCGGGAGAAACACACGATGAATGAATGAAAAAAAAACAACAACACACAGAAATAATAACAAGAAATATCTTTTCTAAATTGATTCCAAATATAACGATCTTCGTGTCATATTTCTGCCACTGCTTGTTGCTCTATCTCCTTCACTCTTCCTGCTGTTCGTTTTCTGTTGCGCTCTGTTCTCTCTTTCCCTCTTGCTCTGCCTGTTGCTATCTCACTCACTAACTCTTGCTCTTTGCACGCGTCTCTTTCTCATGCCAATCATTTATTTTATTCTATTCTGAACAATCAGCACGAATGATATATGAGTTTTGAGTATTATTATAGATCGAAGTGGAATATGCAATGGCAATTTGCTATAAAGAACTGATTATTATTACGGAACAGTAGTAGGAGCAATCGCAATAAACGTTTTTTAAATTAGATCAATTCACAGAATCAAATTAAGAAGAGAGCGAGGGGAAAAAATGGGCCCGCGAGAGTGGGAGAGCGAGAGACACACGAACACTGGGTGATAGGAACGCAAAGAGAGGCAAAAAAAAGAATGAGCTAATACCAAAAAAAACTGCGCTGCCACACAAAATAAATAAATAATTAGATTTAATGATCGATAATAAGGCATGACGTTTAAGATTTTGACGTATACGCGGTCGTTTGATCGGTCGGTCGCTTACTACTCTATACAAAATCACCTTATGCACATGTCAAAATTAACTAAGCGAATTGATTATTCAATTGAACCCGTGTGTATCGGTGCAAAAGTGGATTTAAACCACTTAAGTCAGCTGATTATTTTTGGACGAGTTTATTTAACGAATCACACTGTTTTAAAAACTGGCTCTTGTTAATAACATTAAATTTCAGATAAGATATTTAGATAGAATACACATCTATAAAATATGACGTGGTCGACACGCAGAATTTCGGTGATGCTTCATTTTGCCTGGTCAAAAACCCAATTCGCATTTTCGCTAAATCAATTTTACACGATTAATTAATCAAAAGATTTGCACCCGGGTATTATACCGCTGTTTGTTTGTTTTATTTTTTTCAAACATATTATTATCGAACAAATTTGGCCACATGATGTAAAAGGAATTCATATTTTGTTGCTCTCTCTTTCTCTCCGTCTCTCTTTTCTCCTTCGATTTCTCTTTTATCCAAATATGATTGTATAATGAAGAAAATATGAATATGAAGAACAAGAAAAAAAAGTCAAAGCAATAAGCGTCTTGCAAAAAAAAAAGTGTTCTACTCACTGATTGTGTTGCTGCGGCCCGTTTCAAACAATTGGCAGTTCCAATTATTCCAGCAATTTTTCGATGGGCATGAGTCGGGGCAAGACAATGGGCATGCTTGATGCCATCGTTCAAAATCCAAATAATTGCTCAAACCACTGCCAACGCGTGCCTGTGTTATTGCCTCCCAATTGATCTATATGCCAAAAAATGGATCGATTTTTTTTGGTTGGTGTTTGCATATTAGCGGAAATTTAATGGACGATAAAAATATACAGACACAAAAATATAAACAGCACAAAAAAAACTTGATAAAATAAAAAGAAAAAAAAACCAACTCACGGTGTGTACGTAGCAAAGCATTGGACAATATCTAATCATGACATAGCCGCGTTGAATTTTTATCAATGAAGTGAGTCCAATCTATTGTGTGTGCAGAAAATAAAAACGAAGGAGGAAAAGAAGGAGAGAAAAGGAAACACAAAACCAAAATAAATAAAAATCGAAGCCGATCAGTCTGGTGGATGTAATTTACGATTTTACCTCGGTTAAATCGGTCATTTCGTAAATGATAAGTGCATAATGTGATATCAATCGCTCGCCACGGATCACCGTCAAATTGGGGAATAAATTGCGCAACGATTTTAATCCAAACACTCGAAACAAAAGCAGGTAACCGGTAATTTCTCTGCGATAAATGCAAGAAGACAAAAAAAACAAGATGACAAAAGAAAACGAAACGAACAAAAAATCACTTAGTCGATTAAATAATCGCACACACACACAGTCACTTTCATACCATTTTCGGAACATGTGTATATTTCAAACGAAAACGTGATTGTTTTTTTTTCTCTTGAAATGGATAAGCCGAATGTTATCATTTTAATATGAATATTTTGCTTGCGGCTTTATTGTCACTTGCATTACTTACTTTAATTCGGGGAATTTGTAATCGTTGAAATCGGTGTGATTGAATGTTTCTATTAGTACAATTGATATGCTGCCGATGATAGCGGTGCAATTGCGTAGTTTTAGCTCTAATTCGCTTGGATCGTTGCGCACATCGACATCCGAACAAATTCGGCCATAAACCACCGGAGGAGCGGTGGCTGTGATCAGTAGCATCACCACAAAACACAAGAAACTTGCCACACCGGTTTGCCGAACAATCCGCAAATTTCCACGGGAAAATGGCATTTTCTTGGTTTGTCTTTTTTTCTATCCGGATGCAGTCATCTAGACACGCGGCCGAACACTTAACAACTACTCTGCGAATGCAAATGAAAATGGGTTGTTTGCGGTATGTGTAAGAAGCACACACACGACCGTTGTCGTCGTTGTCGTTGACGTTCGCTTTGGATTTTTCACTTTAATTTCACTTTTATCCAACAGCAACAGCAACCGTAACAAGCAAAATCTGTGCAACCCGTTTCAATGTTATATCGACACCATACAGAATATGTATGCCCAATTTGAATTTCGGTGTTTTGTATGATTGCTTTTGTTTTGCCTCTGCCCCGTTGATTGCAAGTTAGTGGCTGAGGCGAGAATGAGTACGGCGTAAATGTGTTTGGTGTGTGCGAGTGACTAGCTGGCTGGCTGGCTGACTGATTGACTGATTGTATGGGCTCTTGTGTTTATGTGTGTGTGTATTTGTATTCGTTTGTTCTCCTGTTGCTCTTCTTTACGGCTTTTCTCGCCTATTCGTTCTTTGGCTCGTTTCGTTTCAATTAAAACAAAACAAAAAACAGCCAGAGGAGAGAAAAAACACACCAAATTGAACGTATGTATTGCAAACTCTCCGCAGTTGACTCAACCATCCAATGTTCTAGTTGTAAAATTTGGTTTCGTTGTCGTTTGCCTATTGTTGTTGTAGTTCGATAAGTTTTGATGGCGCGCAAGTTTTTTTTTTATTTGAGTACTGTTGTGGTGGTTCGGGTGTGAGAGAGAGAAATCGAAGCTCGATGCTTACCGTTCTGCCGATAAAATTTAACTACACATCACAATCGGCTACTGCTACTTCGATCGCAACTCTTTGCTGCCTGCCACTTTTGTGTCTCTGTCACTGACGACGACGACGACAACAACAACAATAACAGCAACGACTACGTTCGTGTGTTGTTAGCTGCTTGCAAATGTTCGCCTCTTTCGGCATATCATTTTCTATATACACACAAATATGTTATATACATATATTTTTTTCCGTTCGTTTTGGGTTCTGTGTTTGCACTTGGAATATGCATATACAAGTTTTTCAGTTGAAAGAAGAAGAAAAAATCACTTCTAGCGCGCGCCAACCGCCAACACCGAAATTGTTTGTTGTTGAATCGTTTTTTTTATGCTGCGAAAGGTTACATGATTTGCAAAAAAGCATATGGCACAAACAGACACACGTCTTACAACTGACAATGAGAGAGAGACAGACACACACACAGAGAGAGACAGAGACAAAGGGAGAGAGAGAACGGTGGCGATTATCGCATCAGTTGTCATTCTTTCGGTCAATCACGTCAAGAGAGTGAGGAAAACTATTCACATCTCTTAGCCCAACTCATCGGCTCTCGAAAATACATTGTATTCCCAGTCAAATAACAAAAAAGTTGCAAAATGAAGGAGCAAACAGATTGGAGAGAAGAAAAAAAAATATAACGAAACCACTTTGCCATTCTCATCTCGGCAAACATAAAGCAGGAGAGAAAAAAAAGGTGAAAAGTAATGTGAACAATTGCCGGAGAGACTGATTCATTTTTATCAGCGGCGCAGAGAACGAAATGGGAGCGAAAGAGTAAAAAGACACATGTGTTTAGTACGCGCACATGAGACGATGAGCTGTTCATGAAATCCAATACAACCAGAACGAAAATAAAATATAATAAAATACTACAGTATAAACTGTGGGGTTTAGTGCAGGTTAATCGACAGCTAGCAAATTACATGCCGTATCACAATTGCATTGGAGCGGTCTGCATGGAAATTTGAGACCGAATTTTCAAACCGGCCGAGAGGCTGAACCGCATTACATTGTTGCACAGCTCGGGTGTTTCTCATTGAGATAGCCTCCTGTCATGTCAAACCGTCTAGAGTCGGTTAATGGAAAAAACGGAATATCCGTCTTATTTCATTCATTCATTTTTCTCAGACACAATTAATAATTGGCTTTCAATGGAATGCAACTCAATTAGTCCAGATATGTGTACTAATATCTGTTTAGATATCTGTGGCTACGGCCGGGAGACAACGCTGTTGTCTCTTTTTGAAAGATAAAACTGGCACTTGCAGATTCCAAATTTCGGTTGAGTGCAGTTTTTATCTTCATGTACGTATGTATGTGTGTACTAAAACCGATTCTTTCCAGATTTGCCTTATGCAAATTGATGTTATGCGTCTTTTCACTCATTTTATTATCTGCGAATAAACGTTCGTTCGTTATTAGCAACATTTCCGTTGTGTTTCAGTGCTGCAGAAGAGAAAAATCATTAGAATTGCTGCACTGTTACCATGTGAGCATTTTCCTCATCATCTCCTTTTTTTTGTTTCTTGTTGCAATTCGAAAGAGATCGTTGCCGATTTCTGCATTTCGGAAAAGAGTGCGAACGTTTCAACCTTTTAGCAATTTGTGACTCTTGACGAGTGTTGTGTGTGTGTGTGTGTGTGTGTTGAACTCTCTATTCAATCTTTTTTCCTGCGTTATTTATGGTCCGTAACACGTTTTTATTACAGCTGTTAAAGCACCGACTCGCTAAATAAGATCAGCTGAATTCAACTGAGCAACGCGAATTTATGCAGAAAAAAACACACACTCACATGAAGAGAACAGAAAAAAAAATGCCTAAACATAAACGTGTGTGATGCCTGAGATTATGGCATTCGTTTTACAATAGCGAAATTGTTTTCTTGGCACTGATTAGCGTACATTTGGCTCTCGAGCCATTTCGAAAGGATCGTTTCAAGTGATTAATTCGCTTTTTCGTCGAACGTTCGTTCGTTCACTCTGTCAGAGTTAAAACATTTTGCGATTTGCTGCATGTTTTTTCTCTCCTTTTATATTTTCCCTCTCTTTTGTGCCTGCGTTCTACACACACTCTATGCCCCTCTCGGCTTTTTATGTCATTTCAGAAAATCAATTCAATTCTGACATTTGGAACGCGATGGCTAGAGAGTGATATATATATATATATATATATAAATAATTGTCAAGGTCACACTCAATTGACTCTTTTTGGGAATGATTCATAGCGATTACCGAACGGTTGGTGCGCGCAAACGTGCGCTTCGAACCGTTTTTTTTCTTCGCTTCAAATTAGATGAATGGCAACGTATTAATTAAATTTTTATGTGCTTCTGTCTGAGCCAATGAGCCATTGAGCCATTTGCATTTCACAACTCACAAAAGAAACAGGATACTTTTGGCATTTCGACACAGACAACACGTAGTTAAAAAAACACATTTCGCACGACGTCTAATTGCATTCTTCGACTTGAGATCGATTTTGTCGAATAAACGTCGTGGATCGATATCTTTCGGTATAGATCTATACATAAATGCAACAAAAAACGACAGCACTTCTCTCTAATGGCAAAGAAAATGACGAACGAAAAATAAAACGACCTTTACGGTCCACCATAAAAAGAGTACGAAACAAGAAGAAAAGCAACGGGAAACAAACACGAAAAATCGACACGAACAGAGAAAGAAACAGCAGAATTTGTGTCATTACAGATTTTATGCGATCATAATTTAGATGCGAGCAAGACTTTTAGAAGATATAAAAAGCAGCGTCGTTGCGCGCACGCATATACACAATGCAAACGAAACGTGGAACGAATGTGTGCACATTATATGAAAAGGGGGAAGCAAACAGAAACACGATTGCCGATTGCTCGTTGCAAGACCGAACATGATCACAACAATAGACGCTCGCGCGCGCACTCACACACGCATATACTCACACGTATGCGGAGGAAAAAAATCAACTTTACGAACCAAGCGAAAACCGCGAAGAAAAAAATAAATAAATCCGAAATTGTAATAATTGATGATATCAAAATTATTTAATCGAATCCGTTCGAAATGGAAAACACGAACGTGAAAACGTGTGTATACGCGCGCAATCGCGCGCTCTCACTGTTCTCAATCGGTGTTCGCGCGCTGTGTGCCGGTCGCTAGTGCCCGTGTGGTTTGTAGGTTTTTCTTCATTGATCGAAGCGCGTGCGCACAATTTCAGCACAATTTTTACTATCTTAACTTCTCTCGCGATTTTTTTCTGTTCGTTCCCTCTCTCTCTCTCCCTCTCGTGTCGTTTGTTCTCTGTGTGTGTCGTTGCTTCTTCGGTCTTTTTGTTCGCTCTCATTCTGTTGTCGTTATGTTAATTTTTGCGCGCCCGTTCGTTCAAACGTTTGACTCTGAGCTGTGTGTGCACACAAAACACGCGGCGTCGCGAGCTCACAGCTGTGCGATCAGCTTCTTTTTTATGATGTTTTATGGGTTTCGTGCAAATCTTTTGTTTCGTCGAATGGAACTATAAATTTTTCAAAGAATCAATTGGCGATAAAAGAATAAAACTACATAGCGAAACGCAAGCGAGTGACAAAGAGAGAAGTGGAAGATTGTGCGCACCCGCAAAATGCCATATATTTCTTTCAATGGGACAACATGCAGAATCGCGCAAAACCAAAGAGAAAACGAAACCAACCAGTACAACAGCAACGACAACAACCAAAAATGTGCATACGACACATCACATATGCCCCGTTTGAATGGCTGTTTAGCAGCAGCAGCAACAGCAATAGGGACGAAACTGTACTGAGTTTACATTGTATTTTGCTCTCTTTTTCTTTCTCTCCCAAATCGAACCATTGATGTGACGTACCATCTTGCTGTGTTTGTTGTTATGTTCTCGTGCGTCGTGGTCGTCAAATCACGTAACATTTTCATCGAATGCAGTAAATTCAATTTATTTTTATGGCTTTCGTGCCACAATTGAAGAGAGAGAGAGCGCATATGAATGCGCAAAACGAAAGAAAAATCTTCGGGTTGCTTAATTGGTTTGCACGCAAAATTCCGAATATATCGGCCTTTTGTTTGGTCGAGAGATCGTTTGTTGTTTTGCGCGCGCACTTGTGCCCGACCGAAAGAGATCGCTTCGTTTTTGTTTATTAAACATTTTGTACTTACATTGTCTGTGCATTGAATGAAGTACACTTTTTTTTCTTTGTTGTTCATTCTTAGTGTCATTCTTTTGCACAGGTGAATTATGTTTGTGGGGTTTTTACCGTGAACATGCTGTATTTTTACTTCTCGTTCTTTGGACTTTCGAAACGAAAGGAAAAAAAAAGATTACATTTCATTGCGGTTGGCAATTAAATCCAAAAAAAGAACAAAAATGAATACACGGAATTATAATGATAGTTCTTGTAAACTGAATGGTCAAACTAGTATATGTTTCGCGCGAAATGCCAAGAAGAAAAAACAGCACATAAAACTCTATGATGTGCTCTGAATTGAAGAGTAGTTAAATTTCACGTCAAGAGAGAGAGAGAGAGAGAGAGAGAGAGAATATATGAAAAATTACTTTGCAAACGCGGACGCGCTCGCGCGTCCAAGTCAGAGTGGTCGTTGAAAATGCATTAATTTAATTCAACAATGCAATGAATTTATTTAAAACAAATGCATAAAACTGGCCCAACGATCATGGCGACTATGGAATGGGCGATGTATCTACGCCACCGCCTGATTTCCCTGCCAGCCGGCCGCTGTGCTCGTGTTCGGTTTCGTTATGTGTGACTGTGTGTGTATGAATAAAAGTACTTAATTGTGAATGTCGAGCAAGAGTTCGCAAATCGCTGCTCATCAAATTCAATACACAAGCCGCCATTTACTTTACGACATTTTAATGACTTTTACAAACATGAGATATACCTAAAAATACAACTCTATTTCATTTACACGATCAATCTGGAATAATAACATATCAACGATATATTTCATTTTTGTCCCCCTCTTTTCTCCCATTCTGGTCGGCATGCTCATTTGTTTAAACTTATTTCAATTAATTCGGTTCGTGTCACTTCGAGCTGATAGCTTCATTGCCCCTCTTTGTATTTCCTTCTCGATTCCATTTATGAACCACTTCTGTTTCGATTGTATCTCTGCCATTTGCTCGTCCGATTGCGTATATTTAATTTGCCGATACGCAATGTCGATTAATTAATTGACCTCACGAGTTCACCGAAAGAAGACAAAAACTGAGAACAAATCATTCACTTCAATAAAATGGAACAAATTCGAATTGTAGCACGATGGATGGAGCTAGTGTGTTTGGCTATGGTCGTTTTTTTTTATTGACTTTATTCTTGATTAGCGGTGATTTCGAATAGTTTTTAATATTGTTCAAGATTCTATTCCCAAATTTTCAATTTTGTATTTTCTTCGTTAGGGAAAAATTCGATGTTCAACTTTTCAGGAAACAACATTTGAAAAAAAAAGCATATGATAAAAGATCAAATTATACAATGAGATTCTTTCACGATTTGCTACAAACAAGAAATTTGATGCAAATCTTTCTACGGCCGAGTTAAGAAAAACCGTTTTTTTTCTCTTCTATGCAACTGATATCGAATAAAAAACTGTTATGAATACGAATCAAAATGCTTCGCTGACAAAAATTGCATCGTATACTTCACCTATGAACCGCTAGATGGAGTTTCGTGCCAATCTATTTTTATTCTCAGTCGTCACATGGATGATGAAATGTGCACATATTAATGATTATATTTTTCTAGGTTGGACTGGTCATTTAGATGGATTCCATCGAAATAGATATAAATTAAGAAATTTTGATGGATTATGATCGTTTCTTTCCATCAATTACGATGTTAATACTAACTAATTGAATAAATTCACATGTTTTTCAAGCAAAATGCGTCTTAAAATCAAATATTTGTCTTTCGTCTTCTCAGTGCTTAATCAATGATTCAATAATTCAACTTCGATTTAGATTAAACATATTTATTTACATGAATTTAGCTTCTTCATTCTCTACTTTTCATCAGAGTCAATACGATCAAACGGTGCATTGTTGGAAAATACATCTGCCGACGCTCTATATGCGCGCGCGATATTCCGTTCATTTCATTCGGAGAACTATTGGCGAAGCACTTAATGCAAAATGATCGTCTTTAGACATGAAGCCCGGTTAGCTCAGTCGGTAGAGCATGTGGCTCTTAACCACAGGGTCGTGGGTTCGAGCCCCACATTGGGCGCTGATTTTTTTTTTATTTTTCCATTCTTTTTCATTTTAAAGGAATCCATTGGTTTCAATCATTTCAGCTCAGTTTTTAAGAAATATTTTTTTTCTTCTACAATTTTTTGTGAATCAAAATGGAATAGTGAATCGAAAAACATACACAGATTGCGGCTTTTTTAGTTTTATTGTTTGATGTATAAAACAGCCCATAAAGAAAGTAAAAACGTAAATGTGAATACGAATGCTGTTCTAAACTGGCAAAGATACTTGAAAAGACTCAATAGACTGTGTATATTTTTCGATTGTTTATTTTATCATGATTTATCACTATCATTATGCCAATGGCAAATTACCAAATGAGAAAAAGAAGAATAAGTATAAGAAAAAAAAAATATTTTTTCCAAACAAGTCGTGTGAATATCCATAAAATCATTAAAACCAACAGATTCCTTTTAAATGAGAAAGATTGGAAAAATTAAAAAAAAATCAGCGCCCAATGTGGGGCTCGAACCCACGACCCTGTGGTTAAGAGCCACATGCTCTACCGACTGAGCTAACCGGGCTATACGTACATTTCGGACATTTTACCTCAAAGCGTGTGCATTCCTTCACAGAACTGATTTCAGGACATTTTTCCCGCTCATTTTCTCCGTCATATGTCGTCAGCTGTCACAGATGTGCGTCAAATTGCTTGTATCATTTGTATATTCATACGATGAATTTGTACGCGTTGTGTACGTGATATTACCTATCCAAACATAATTTCATAGTCACATAAATCGAAAATCGACAAAGAAAAGTCTCATTTTGCTTTTCGTTGCGAACATCAATTTTATTTTTCCATGTATCAAATACATACTTTCGAATGATTCTCGCAATATACATTCTACATGATATATATTGGCTTTTTGAACTAAAGTTCTCTCTTCATATATAATCGTAAATTATATTTTTTGTTGTATAAAAGTTCGAAAAAAAAAGAAATTTCTTCCAATGATGATTTGAAAAAGGACGAAAAAACAATATCAATGAGCAGAAAATCGGATATAAATGTGATTCTTCTAGTAAAAACTATGGTACGGTTTTTTGTTGTTGTCGACTTAAATTCTAATTTACAAATGTGTTTTACAACAATGAGATTTTATGTTTTAAAATGGACGCAATTTGTTTTTCTATACCGCTAACAACACAGTAAATAAAATTAATGAAAGAAATTCTATACAACGAATATAAAATGAAACAAAAACGATTGCTCTGACATAAAGAAACGATTCGATATATAATATTAAAAAGAACAGAAGAGAAAAAGAATTTTGATCTTTTTGAAAGAATCCAAAATGAAAAAAAATATATGAATTTTCGAAAACCAAAATGATATCAATAAAATAGTTAGTGCACATTTCTTTTCTACGACTACGTTTCTTTTCTGTTCTTTCGTCTGGCTCGGTAAATTTGTAACTTTTGACTGATTCCAATCGCTTGTGTGTTGAACACATTGCGCCAGGCATCGTAATTTAAATATTGCATTCCGCTTAACATTTAATTCGTACGTTTTGTATGTGAATCGGGCAGTAAATGCATGACATTCCTTCCTTTATCTCGTTGCACTTTGTGCACACACGCCCATGTCTTTTCTGAATAAACTAATAAAGAATACTTCGTGTTGTGAAAAAAAATGAATCGATGATTTTTGTTTTGTTTCGCATTGAGCTGAGCAATTGCAGCGACTTAGTAGATCCAATTGACAGGGACCCATTGATGTTCGTGACTTAGAGCTTCCAGCGCTTCAATCACTTTTCTGAATGTGATGTCGAAATCCTCATTTACAATCACCATATCCAAATACTTTTCGTATTTTCGTTGAAGCAACGCACTCTCCTCCACTGTGGTTATCAAATCATCGTCCTATGGGTGGAATTACAAGATTTGGCTTTAATTGATTTTGCATTGAACAAAAATGGGTTCGGGTCGTAATTACCTCGTATAAGGAAGCCAAGGATTCAAGTGTACGTGCTCGTCGTGAACTGTATCTGATTGAACTTTGTCGGTCAAACTAGAAAAAAAACAGAGCAAATAAATTCGTTTAGTAAATTGATCAAAACAAACCGAAAGAGAAGAGGCTTCTTTTGAATTAATGCTAGGAATTTTTATCGACAAAAGAAAAGACTTCTCATCGAGATTTTCGTTTCTCTTTAAGACGTTCAAATTGTTCCGTTTCAAATTCAATACTCAATGAAAAACCACCACACATACCGCTAAATTGCGTTGAGAACCACCGGTGACTCTGCGTTCAGCATAGAGTTGCTTCAACTGTTCCATTCCGGGAGCAGCAATGAAAATGACATATGGCATGAACTCGGTGCTGTTGTGAAGCATTTTCAATGCACCTGGTGCACAGTCCAAAACGCACATTTTACCTGAAAAAAAAAATGCAATTTATTCATTTGGTGGCTAAAATTCGTCTTGAAGTGTTGTTTCTGTCGTCGAAAAAGTTAAACTTATGCTTAGATCGTCATTTTTTCTACCTTGTTTGATGATATCTCGAATGGAATCCAAATGTGTTCCGTACAAATTGCCATTGTATTCACCATATTCCAAAAAGTTATTCTCACTGATCTCACGTTCCATATTTTCACGGTCCATAAACCAATAATTCTTGCCATTTTCTTCGAGAACGCGCGGTGGACGGGAAGTGTCTGAAGAATTTGAATAAAATGTGAAAAATATGCAATAATTTGTAAGATATGATCCAATAAATCTCGTGGAGTAATCAAATAAATCACTTTTAACAATCGAATTTCGCCGAACTTACGTGGAATAATGGAGCCAAATTTGGTTTGATCGCTATTTATCAAGCGATTTTTGAGCGTTCGTCGACCCACTCCTTGTACACCAACCAAAACCAATGTCTTTCGCTTGAATGGTGGCATACGCGTCACCTCTTCATACAGAACCAAATCGGCTTTGTCATACTCGGCATTCTCCTTCGTTTTGTACAATTTCTTTAACTTTCTTTTCGAAATCTGCCACAAAAAAACGAACGAAAATTTAATTCACAATGAGTAATGGGGTAATATCACGAATGAAATTCCATTTTTTTGGCACTGATTCGATTTTATTTGATGTAGGTATGAGCAAAAAACACTCACCTTTGTTCCACAAATACTAATCGAATGGACGTAATCGGCTTCGGGTGGAACGAATGCCTTTCGCCGCTCTTCCAACTCTTGCGATGGAATCAAACCGGTCACTTCATTTTGACCAATATGCTTGGCTTGCCACCAATTCGGATCTTTTACATTGATAATCTGAAAATCGTGGACAATCATTTAAATTAGTTTTTAATTGCGGTACTCAATCTATGTTTGAAAATTTGAAGAAAAAAAATGGAGAAAATTGACACATTTTCACCGATAATTATTGTAAAATTATCATTAAATCAAAAAAAAACATGCTAAAGAAACTCACTTGCAAAATGTCACCATATTGGAAAGGTAAGCCGATTTCTTTGCATGGCAATAGGGTATCTTCCTCTGGTTCATATTCAAACAATGCCCTCATGTAACACTGCAAAAAAGAAATGGAAAAAAAACTCATTAATTTCACATTAAACGCCGGGTCTTATCTTAGAAATAGCTTAAGAAGATTTGAAACTGTTTGCGATGTGATTGCAATGAAATTGCTTCTTCTTTAACACAGTTTCTTTCTCCTCTTTACAAATTTGTCTTTAAACTGTGAAAGTTTGGCAATTCTTCTTCAATTTGGGTCTAGTTGAATATTCTTATTTTATTCAGGTTAAACTTTTTTTGTGCAAGCCAGATGTTGTTGTTTCTCATCATTTTCAAATTTTTTACAAGAAACGTTACCCTAATATGAATGTTAATGTTATGACTTTGCAATTGCAATACATCGCAAACGACTAATGAATTCGGTTGACAGAGGAACAGTGTTTCTTTGTTGGTATTGTGCAACACAGTGTGTATGTGAATGGAAAAACAGACAGAGGACTGTGGTAAAATGTGTATGGTATAGAGACTGTCACCGTAATTTAAGTAGTGGTTGTACGTCGAATAAATCTTTAAAAGGTGTTGTATCATTAAAACATATAAATTATGTAACAATAACATACCATTCGATTAGTAGATACATGGTTGGGTGTATGTGTATTGGCATACAAATGAATCCTGAATATCCATCACCATTCGAAAGGGGTTTCGTGTGAGAAAGAATTTTGGTTGGGCCGATTTTGACTGTGATGAATCACACACAACGCAAACAAAATAAAACAAAACAAAGCGAGAAACCAAAGAAAAGCATAGCGATAAAATGATAAAGTATAGCGCAGTGCCGAGTTAACCAAATTTGGTGCCCGAGGCAAAAATGATTTTGGTGCCCCTTGCAATTTTTTCCCGTTATATATACTAATAATTATTGATAAAATGAACGTACATATCGAATGCGAGCGGTAGCGAGCAAAATTTTCTTCTTAGAAATACCATTTTTGGGGCACCAAAAACATATTTGGGCCCATTTTTGGGCCCACTTTTGGGCCCACTTTTGGGCCCATTTTTGGCTGCGTGTTTTCTTTATCAGATTATTAAAAAAAAAATCCCATGTTTGTGGTGCCCCCAAGAACGTGGTGCCCGAGGCAACTGCCTCATTTGCCATATGGCTAACTCGGCACTGGTATAGCGGCAACACAAAATTGAAACGAAAGACTCAATTCATTGCATGCCACAAAGACTTAAAGAAGCACATTAGGGAAATAATTCATTCGAAAGTTGCGGAAATTAATCGCAGGAATTAAAGAGTTTGTGAGTATAAGAGAGATAGATGTTAGTGACTAAACAAACAAACAAACACACACACACGCACACACACACAGCTAAGTAAAATGATTATACTAATGGGTAATTTGGGCGTTTCAACTACACAAGAAGCCATAAAATGAAGACAAAAGCAAGTGAACAATTGCAATGGTGGAGACACAAGTGCGAAAAAAAACAAACATTAATTTTCAAAAAAAAGCGTAACTTACCGTCAGTTTTTTTCCTGTGTCTAAATTACGAGCATTTTTTACCTGACCACCAGACATCATGAGTCTGCCGGATTTCATCTCTTCATCAACGCTCGGTCCAATCTTCAGGGTAATCGACTCTTTGGCCAGCATAATTTGATCTTGCAATGCTTCAGGTGATGAAACTTGTACGCCATTCACCTCCAAAATGACATCGCCCGGCCGAAGCAACGCTTGACGATCAATCATTCCTCCGGCTAAAATTCGTGCCACTACCAATTGCTTGTGTTCATCGACTTCGACGGTCATGCCAAGTGATTCGTTTGGCTTTCGTCGAAGACCGACCATTCGAATGGTTTCAGCTCCCGGCATTCCGTATTCGGTTGCTTCAATAAATTCCTTAGATAATACTTTTCGTGGGTCGATTGGTGGACGCGACTCTAGAGCTCGTGCTCCAACTTCGTCGTGTGTTTCGATTAACGCTTTAAAATGGGTTTTACTCAATAGTCGGGATAGTTCGCGGGCATCAGTGTTTCGAGCTCGACTCAATCGTTGCGCAAGACTACGGCAAAGACTTCTATTGTCCAATTGAATTGGCTTTAATTCTATCTCCTCGTGGAACTTATCTGGAGTCTGTGTGTGAAAGAAAAGAAGAAATAAGAAATTAGTGTGAATCATCGCATGAGCATTTCAAATGAGTCATCTTAATTTATGCAGAGAACAAAGTACACAAAGATCTACGCTTTAGATTCTAAAGTCAATAAAATCGCTAGACGGAACACCACAAGGCAAATTTGTGTGATGCCCGTTCAAATGAAATGAATTGAACCGATTTATGTAGTGCAAAATGCCAACTGAACTTAATTAATTTAATAATGTACATGTTGCGACATTCACAAACCGAGAGTATCGGGCCGACAAACCCAACCTTTCACAACGCAGAATCGACTAACGTTTGTCATGTTCCGTCTTAATTGATTCAATTAAACACATCATCTGTATGAAAATCCGCCTCATAATTCATAGAGCAGACGATTGATTGCGGTAATAATCGCTAGAAGACATAGGAGATGTCGCTATGCTTAGTTCAATCGAAAGCGACGCTCTGTTAAGTTCAAGACAATAATTGTCAACGCTCCGTTATAATGAACTCAATCATTCATTCATAGCTTGCTGAAAATGCCTTATCACGACTTCCAAGCACGTACGCAACGAAGAAAACGAACGAATGAAGCAGAGCGCAAAAGTGACCTACGATGTGAGGCAAGGCAAGGCAAGGCAAGGCATCGCGTCTAACATAGATATATTTATATATTGAGAAATGAGTCAACTCATTGCAACACGCTTCTCATACATTTGTTGATTCATTGCACAGGATACGGATTCAATGTTCGCTTCCTCTTAATTATTTTATGCTGTCGCCGTTTCTATTCTTAGGCCAAACACTCCGGTAGATGCCAAGCAAGAAAGAAATATGCCAAGCAACAAACTCTATTCCGAACTGGCTTGTGTTCTTGTTGTTTATACGTTGAGGCGACCGTGCCGAATCGAATAAACTTCACTCCAAATGAATAATAAAATCCGAAAAAAGTATGAAAACTTTATCTATTTTTCTGTTCCAGTAGTCGTCAAAATCAATGAATGTTAAATCGATGTTGGTAGACATTTGATGAAGAAAACAATGTCATGGTTTAGCTGCCATTCGGTAGCTATGTTTGTTATTTTGCCATTCGAAGAGCACATTTTAATGTTTGAACCATTCGGAAAAGCCATCACAAAACTCAACAATAAACAATAAAAATATTGGTTTGCTGCTGAGTCAGGTGCGCCAATTTTCCACTTGTTTATGTTGCGGTCGCGTGTAGTGGCATGGAACACACAACAGAGAATATGGCAATTTTTTTTAATGGGCGAACCATGAAGTTTTTTTTTTTCTTCATTCAATCCATATAATTGTCTTTGAGTATCCGCCGGGAGAGGCCGAAACACCAAAACAAAGCAAAAACAAACATTATTTTTGACGAATGGCAGCTGATGTAACATCATCCTGCTATTTTCAAGTCAAAATGCTTTTGTTCTTGTCATATCTCGAAAGCAATTGAGTTGAGCTATCTTTGCTGAATTCAAACTCGATAGAAATTTCGCAAATAAATTTTGTCCAAGAAATAAACGTCTTTTACAGCGAAAGAGAAATGTTTTAGTGAAAATAAAACCATTTGTTAAGCAGAAAAATGGAGAAAAAGGGAAAGAGACATCGTTAGACAATAATAATCTTGAGAACAAAGTTTTCCCTTTTTCGGTTGCGTCTGTCGCATTGCGTGCACAAAAGGCATGAGTACAAGTACGGGAAAAGAAGAGAAATAGCAGTAATTGTTGTAGAATTTCAGTGAATGTTACACATTGCATGCTCGTCTACATGCCGATGGAATAAATTAAGTAAAAACGAGGTATTTGAATGTGTGAATAAATTTTCTGTTTGACAGGTAAAAATAATGAAGAGAAAAAAAAATTGTTCGAGAGAAACGTGGTTTTCTATTAAATTTCGATTCCCATGCATGGAAATTTTCTGCTTTTCTGGAGCATAAAAACCGATTTAATCGAACAAACCGCGCGGCTGATGCTAGCATTCTATGGTGCTACATGGATGTTTGCATAGAAAATATTTGTATTTTGTATCTGTTAGACCACGAGTCGTGATGGAGATTGCAAAATCAATATTAAGATTGACATGCTATGAACGAGATGAATGAAACTCTATGCATAGAGTCAAACTTGTAATATTCGAAACGTTTTAATTATTATGTTTACTTGATCTTTGTCGAGCCGATTGTAATCGGTCAACGAAACGCCAAAAATGTTGGCAGCGTTTGGGCGTTGCCATACGCGTTGTGACTTCACCATAACAATGAACCCATGGGCAGAGAGAGCGTGGCTATGAGTAATACACTCAACCACTTAACACATTGATATCCGGAATGCGAAAGCAAAATAACAACAAAAAGTAAATGCGTAGCGAAAATCTCGTGGTAAAAAAACAAGTCAGTCACACATAAACCGAAAAGACGTTAAAAAGTCGCCGTTGTTATATGCTTTAATGCCTTGATTCAACGATGATGATGATGATGATGGCGAGAGAATCAACGCTACGAATAGAACGGATGAAGCATATAACGTTCTTTTCCGAATTCGTTCAACTTCTTTTATTTAACTTCTTATTCGAATAACATTACATTCAAGTCAGAACACACACATATTTTGGTGTGAACAAACACAAAAAGAAGATATTGGTCGTTGTTGTTTACGAACGAACAAAAAAAAACATAAAATAATCTTGACATAAATACTGAGCGCGCGCGCGTACAGAAAATGTGACTTGAATGCCATAGCAGTGTTTCGATGTTCCATGTGTTTGTGTTCTACAGGTCATTTTGATCGGCGGTGAGTTGAGTTTAAAGTTGGATGTTGGATGGAACACAGTTAACTCAGCCAAATTCACTCATACTACACAGTACACACACGCTCGATATTTAATCATCGTCGCTGATCTCATACACCGAACCACCCATACACACACATCGCCGAGAATAAACAAACCAAAAACTCGTTTTTTCTGAAACAGAACAACGTATTGCACATACAACAATGATTGCATTTGGAAGTCGAAGAAACGCAAAAATGTAATTATAATTTCCAGTGAACTTTCTGTCTGTGTGTATGTGTATGAGGCGAACGGCAAGCAACGGTGAAACGACCAACCGACCGAAAGAACGGTCCAGCACAGAGAGCCAAAGAGAATAATGAGACAGAAAAAAACAAAACCATATATTATAAACACAATGAGTCGCTTTTTTTCGTTTACATCTCTCTCTTTCACTCACATCGCAGGTGACGTCACTTTTTGAATCGTCCAAACAACGAGCGCACACTAACTCGTGAGCGCGATGATGAAATTTCATTTTGCATGTATTCATCAAGATGGCGCAATGCACTGAAGCGACCGTATTTACACACTGATTTACATAAACAATTAACGCATTTGTGGTTTGACTGCCTGTGTCGTACGACATGTTGATATAATTGAACACTTCGGATTTCCTATTTTTGGTGATGGTCACAAAAATCGATAATAATTTTATTTTCGTCGGTTGTTAGTTCCCGTGCGCTAAGCAAATAGCCCGTATTCGTGTGTAGAAATATCGAACAAACAAATTGACATTCACCAATACACATTCAGCACACGTAAGTCACAAGAAACACACCTTAATCTCTGGAAATTGGATTGTAATTGCTGTTTTCGAGGTAGCTTTTGCTATTGTTCTGCAGTGCGATGCAGATTTCGTTATATTTCTTTCAATGCAATGAATACTTTGTATTTTTCTGCTTAATTTTGAGATTTTTGGTTTTCATTTCCAATTCAGATTTTTTCTGCGTTGAGATTTTGGGCTGAGTATTCACATCAAGCCATATCAAAGGCAATTTTTCGTGGATTTGTTCCACATCAAACGCTATTCACAAACAGAAATTGTTGAGCGTATCTGCGATTTCAACAAACGTGATGATATTCAAATAACTTTTACTTGGGAATGATATAAGATTGGTGGGCTCCCCAATAAATTCCAATCGAGTGACTTTCAAAGGTGATACACCACCAAATTGTACGCAAAATTTACGCTTGATAATTAAACTGATAGCCAACTAGTAAACAATAAACAAAACAAACGATTGTTTTACCCGAAATTTGTAAATTTTTTGTGTTCAGAAATTCCAATTGGGTTTGACTGCGACGAGTGCTATGGATATACGCGTCTCTATCACACGATCGAATTGTATACTGAACAAGTGGTCGAAGTTGAACGTCGTTTAAGGTAAAAAAAAACCAGAGAGATGGGAATCAAATACATGTACGAATGAGAATATGTGTGCTGTGTATATGCTCAACATGTGTACGATACGTACATGTGAAATTAATGAAATCAAAGAAACCTACAGTGTCGATTCATACAGCCAAGCCATTCAAAATATGACCGCGATGAGTATAGTTTTGAAACCACACGAAACAAAAAGCGGGCGAACGAACGTACACAGAAACGTGCTCATCGATGTGTGCGTGTTTTATTTATCATTCATTTCATTTTACCTTTCGTTAGTTTGAGCGCGCGGTTCACCTATAGAGGAAAAAAAAATACTGTTTTGCGCTTGTTTGTATGTTACCATGACAAAGTCGGTGTATTGGCTTTTCGTTCGTATCGCTAGTAGTCACTTTCAAGCCAAACACTCCACGCCACATTTTTCGTTCCTTCACTTGCATTCGTGTTCAGCATTTTGTGTTACACAATTTGTATACACGTTTAAACGATTTCTACATTTTTTCCTCTCTCTCTCTCTGTCTCTTGTTTTCTTTGTGTCGCTTTTGTTATTGCGATGTGACCGATGCATATTTCTACAAATGTATAGCAAAATGTTTTTCATGTATAGGTTAAGGTGTGTACACCGTGTATTTGCCTGTGCATAACGTGAGCTTACTGCGATCCATTTTGGCGGTAGCCATTAATTCGAGTGGAATGAAGAAGAAAATATGACGAAATTTTGAGATGAAACCGAATTTTTTTGTCACATTCTATCAAACATTAATTGAAACCGAATCTATTTCTTTGTCAAAATTCAAAAATTCATCATAACTTAATCTGCAGTCGGAATATGAATCAGAAACAAAGTTGAATAGACACGAAGCGGTAGCTTGAATTCAAAATTCACTGGAAATATTGCATTTAATTCCATTAGTTGGTTCAATTATATTGCCAGGAATGCTGACATACGTCTGATATCGGCTAGTTTTGCTTCGATTACTTGATTGGCATTAAGCTAGCCCAAATTATAAACAATAAAGCAACGAAGCAACACGTCCATTAAATCAACTTCATTTAAACCTTTCTGAAATGAGGAATTCAAGCTAAGAACTATTCATTAGGACTTAAATGGAAAACTGTGATGGAATAAATAAAACATAATCTAGGTACCAAAAAATACAGCTGCCATGCTGTATCAAATCTCAACTATACCATCGAAGACCAGATGAAAAATTGTTTAACTGTGGTAAGAATAATTAAGTCACCTACCTATTTTCAATTTCAAACATTTTTGAAAATCATGTCAATAAAATCGTAATAAACAATTTTTCTATTCTTTTCCTTTGATTTTTTAGCCCATTGCCAGAGCTGTACCTCCCCAATCACCATGAATCCACCGGCACAAGTTTCCCCAAAGTTCACATGTTGGATGTTCTGAATGACGATTGCATTCAGTCAATCTTCCTTCAAATGGAAAACTTGCAAGATTTCCGGAGTGCAGTTCAAACCTGTACTCGATTCCAGGAAAATGCGGAGCTCACATTTCGGACGCATTCAGATTGGCCACTTATTCGATGATCCATCACATATGATGAACAAACAGTTACTGTAGATCGAGTGCACACTGCACAGTCTCCTCAGCAAAGGTTTGCAATATTAGAAAAGTGTTCGTCGACATATGCGTTGAATGGACTTGATTGTATTGAAATCTTGCCAAGAGTGCAGCACTTGTGTGTAAATGAAATACTGAATTTGGATGAATAACGAATAAATTGGCTCAAAGAAGAACTCCCTTTTTTACTCAATTCTTGTTTTTAAGGTTCAAAATCAAATTTGATGCAGACAGTAAGCTAAAGAGGATCATGGGTTTGTATAAACGTGGGTAATTCTACAATGTAAAACTTCTACATGGCCCATCAATGCACAAAGTTGCTGCAACAGCAATATACCACAGGCGATCCTGGTGGCACCGATTGTAATGTGTTGAAAAATACATTGTAACACACAGGATTTTACTATCGGTGCCACAAGGTGTCGCTAGTGGTAATGCTCTTGCAGCAACGGTGTGCAGCAATGCTTCTAAGAAAACGATTTTTAATATGACCAATGCGTGCATATGTAAATTCGACTGGCTGCAATGTGTGTGTTAGGTGTGTGCGTTTCATCGGTGTCCGCTGTGTTCATCATGCAGAGTGTGAGCATAGCAGTGGCGATTTGCTTGCTCACCCGTACATTATATACAGGCTAAAAAGTTACAAACGATTACATAGCGTGCAGTCATGTATGATGAATCATTCACATCAGCCGAGAATGAAGTGATATGCGCACACAAATACCTGCCGTCATCATCATGCAAATGCATTCCAACGGAATGCAATTCGAATATTTTGAACAATAGCGTCGTGCATTTCCATTTTATCTGCTAATTAATGAAAATGCTACGTTTTCAATCCATTTGACCTTTTTCGATACGGGCGCCAATTCTCATTTACTCTTAGTTTCACTTCGGAATCGTTGCACTGCAACGAAAGTAAAATCCATAACTGGTTTGGCATCACTTTTTTTCTGCACTTTATCATGTTTCATGTTAACTTATGATGGAGGTGGTTCGAAAGCAGCATTCTTTTTTGCGTGTTTCATGGTGGAACACGAAAATTTTCTGAAAGAAACTTACTTTGAACCTTTGTGTAACGGCTGGACTGTCTAAGATTCCCTTCAAAAATACCATATCTGTTTCATCGTTTCCTTTTGTACCATTTGATTCCGAATATTGGAAAGCCTCTGAAAAAGAAACAAAACAGTAATTTTTAATGGTTTTCAATTAGAAATGTGACGCTAAAGATAGCTTTCGCTAGCGATATAAACCAGCAATAAAAAAAACTTGCCTAAATTATGTTTGATCGCTTTAGAGATTTATCACAATTCACATTTGTATGAATACTGTTTTTTAAAGTCATCATTTCATGATTATTTTGAAACATTCCACTTCTTCGAAAGATATTTCGGAATTTGGCGAATGCTATTGATATTTACGACACAATTATTCTTAATGAATGCCGCTTTAGAATGGGAAAATAAGTGTGATTCTTTAGTGTTATTGCTTTGTAGGCGGCAATTTTTCAACATGAGTTTAAAAACTTGACGACTTTGTCCTCTGTGTTTCGGAGAAAATGTCAAATTATGAGTAAATGACGAAAACACTCAAATTGCCATTCGATCGAAATACTTATTCGAGCGTGTATACCCAAATTTATTATACTCAAGAAAATTGCTTTGAATTATCCACATTATCCACAGGTCATTTGAGAATTTCAAGCGCCATCCAAGTCTATTGTTTTTCCGATGAACCTCCCATTCGGACGTTATTTAGGAAATTGAAAATTCAAACTACTGTCACATAGGAAATGGTCAGAGTTTATTAACCCTCTAATACATTAATTTTTCCCAGAGCTAGGAGTACTGGTACTTGGTTGATTTTTGGCCATAGATAATTAAAAAAATATTCATAATCCTGGATTCCTCATGGTTTAGTCAGAAATTGCGATTGACATAAATCATAGAACAATCAAATCCATTGTTTAAAAGTATCAAAAGTGTGTCTAATTTAGAGTTCGAATAATTTATTTTGTCAAATTTTTGTTTTTGCACACATTTTTGTTTATAACTTTACAATCACACTACATAGACAAATATTGCCAGACAAAAATGAAGAGAAATCATGGACGAATAAAAATTCTCTGAAGCAATGTGATCCGATGTATGGTTTACGTTCTACAGGCGTTCAAATGTTGCCCGCATTAGAGGGTTAAGTGTTGAATATATGGCGCGAATTTTGAAGGGTAATTGTTCAACGGAAATAAAGGAACGTAATTTTTCTTTACTGTAATTGAATTTTTCGCATAAAATGAACGTTTGTTGTTAACGAACAAAATCGCTATTCAAATCGTTCCAAATCGTTATTCAGAGAGTGTCGAAAACGGAAATTTCAAGCAATTTAATTATGTGTTGAGGTACGTATTTGGTGAATTGAATGAACGCGTTGAGTGAAAAATAGAAAAGATCTTAGCACATCTTGGAGAGAGAAAAATGTTCACATAAATAAACGTGGCACGCAACGCGAGAGGCATTTACTTTTCTTATTAGCTTCATTACCAAAGGAGAATAAAGGCGAATGAGAAAAAAATATAAAAGAAAATGCCCATTGAGCATCATGAAATCGAGCCAACAAAACCGAACAAACGTAAATGATGTGCTCATTTCTGGTAAATGTCTCGTAAAATCGTCCACAATCCCTGTGATGCTTTCAAGGAGCCGCGATTAAGTCGTGCGTGTAGCGCAAAACAGTGCAAAGTGTCATTCGCCGAAGCCCTTGCTCCGTAAAAACAATTGCTAATATGGAAATATGGGTGGAGAATTGATTGTGGCACGTGTTCATCTTATTGAAAAAGGTCGATTGTTATTGATTGTGGTGCCAGGCGCAATAAGCGACATCACAGCTGCTTGTCTCATTCTTGAATGTTTCATAGAAGAAGCTGTCGCTTGTCTGACTCTCGATTGTCCCATAGTCATATCGATAAATATAGAGGGATTTTCGCTTTCTTACAAGCGTGTCTGTCGCTATCTTATGCCCAATCTTTGGTTCTGTTATGGCCGGTATCTCACTCGATACGGAAATGATTCATTCAATGAGCTCGGGGCTCATTTTCACATGATTTACGAAACCAATAACCATGTTTCTTCGATCACATCATGTCCCGTTCGCACTGAATAAAAACACTTCATTCACACACTTTCAATATTTGTGGGTGTATCAGTATTATCCTCTAGTGGCATTAAATTGTAGGCAATTTGGCTTTCGGTTCGAATTACGTCATCATGAAGCATAGTTTTCTAGCTGAAGCGCATAAGTAGCCGACAGTTTTCTGCATATGAGAAAATTGCCCTAAATGTGGTGACACTCAAGTATATTTTCAAAGCTGTTAAAACTGATTCAAAAAAAAATCTGAAAATTCATACAAGATTCAGCTGCTTCATTCTATTTTGGATTCGATGCCGGTCGAATATGATTATGGGACCGACGTCGAATGTGTTTCTGAGAACCGAATTAGTAATTTATAGTGATTTCGAGAGAGACGTTGTTGTCAAACCGAGAAAAAAATTACATGTTTGCGAAAATTGACAGTTTCACCATGAGTTATTATAGGAACAATGGCCGCAAAAGACAAAATGCTCAATATTTATTTGAAAAGCCGTCGACGTATGTTATTTTTGTAAATGATTCGATTCGTGAAATGCGACAAAAATGCCAGTTGCGAATGGTGCGTTCGTTGTGTGGACAAATTACGCGACCAATTTATTTGAATTTCATGAAATTATGCGTTTATTTAGCGCTGGTTGAAACCACACACCACTAAATGAGGTGTTTATTATTTCAGACGTACTGAATGGCCCAGCCAATTTCACTTGTCCCATGTAGCTTGTAGAATCGTGCAATTTTACTTGTCGTTGCGTGACTTTTTGCATGTTCACGAATAAATTTGTCAGCAGCGACTGCAACAGCATCCAACGATAAAGGCTTGTGAGTTAAAAATATCAATGTTATTATTTCTACTATATGCAAGTGGATTAAATGAGTGCCTGTCCAACGAATATTTACTGAAAAATATGAACTCCATAATAAATGTAAACCGTAGATCAGATCAAAGGAATCGTTGTGCTTCACTTTCAATGGTTTTATTAAATCCAGCTTGAATTATATCTGTTGTGAGCACAATGACAGAAATGCGCATTTTTTCTGTAACCATTCATAACGCTGTTCGTACAAATAGTCATTTCAAAACGCCCGGAATGACAGCAGTAGTCAAAGTGTCATTAAAATTAACATCTCCCAAGAGGAAAATGGAAATTATTACAAAAATGCACATTCGAAATCACTTTCACAAGCAGACACAAGAAAATCGTATAAAAATGCGTTGCTATTGTGAGGCTTTCATTTGATTTTCTATTCAAAACACCAGAACAAATTAGCAGATCCCTCTGAAATCACACTAAATTGGTAGTAAAATCGGTTTTATTGAGCCAAACACAAACCGCTCGAATTGCATTGAGCCGTTAATGCAATGTTTGAGCCGTTAATATCCAGGCAATATCAACTCGATTCCGTTTAATATTCAGTCTGGTTCAATATTGCCCTTATTTTACGCTAATGTGTGACTTTGCGTCTCAAAATACCCAGGCAACAGCAGAAAAACCACAGCCAGAGAGAGAGAGAGAGAGAGAGTGTGGAAGAAACATAGACAGACTGAGAGACTGAGATACAGAAAGAAATAGAGGAAAATAGAGAGATTCTCTTCGAAAGATAGACATAAATCTGTTGAGAGCGCCGATCAACGGTACATAATATCCGATTGATATTTGTTTACCGATGAAAATGATGAGAATCGTAATAAAACCAAACAACAGAAAAGCTGCGATATCAATACCGAGCTAAAGTTTGATTTGATTAGATTTCAATCAATTCGCGTGCATAAACTGAGAAAATTTATTTGGTTCTGGGCCAGCATAAATAAACATTTTGCGGTACTTTCAATCATCTGTTGAAATGTTCAATGTAAAAAAATGTGCGATAATCGTAATGTTGGTAAATTGATTTTTCCAATTTGATTCGAAGCAAAAGCGCAAACCATTTGTGGTGGCACATCAATGAAGCATAAAATCTATGATAGTCATCGATTTGTGGAAAGAGGAAGCGAAATAAACAACTAAATCGATGCGCATATCATATGGATTGGAAAAGATGAAGAAGAAGTGAAAGAAATTGTTCACGCCGCCCGGAATCCGTTGAATGTTTAATGCTCGGATAAGCGTACATTTGCCGCTCGGTTGAATGTGGCATGAAATCAATTAAAATGCCTTCTCTTTGGCCCATAAAATCTAGATTTCCCGCCGAATTGTTCAAGATTTTTTCAACACATTCCTCATTTCAATGAACGAAGGAAAAAAACACAACGGCCAACACTGAAAAATCTCCCCCACGAGCAATTTTTCGAGAATACGGGAACGAAAATGTACTTACGATTTTCAACCGCATGCTTTGAACCGATGCTATTATTCACATGATTCAAGCTCGAAAGTAGCTCACGTTTGTCTTGTTGTTGTTTCCTACTTAATCGAGCCATCACTTTCAACGTCGAACTTGTTTATCGCTTTACACTTGAATTTAATTGTCACAATGTATTTTTTCTACTGTTCGTGTCTCACATTCAACTTTGTTGAAAACACATCACATTATTCATTTTTTTCGCAAACACTGCACTTGACGCAATCTAGATTTTCGCGAATTCAAAGAGAGAGAAAAAAACGGCGTTATTCGACAGAAATTTGCGCCGAGATGCGTTCGCATCGTTCCCGAATGAATTTATCAAATGAACTGATTGTTTGAATGTTTTTTCGCCGCACTTCAAACACACACACACACACTCGTATACGCTCGCGCGCTTGACCATGCCGCGTACGAAATAAATTCGAATCAATGATGTATTCATCCGTTCACAATCAAATACGGGCACAGCGCCAACAAGAGGGAATTTTCGACGAAAAAAACCATTGGAGCACGCGAAAAGCAACGAAACATTCCTATCTATTAAGCCACAACAATTTAAATTGCTCATGATTTCGGTCGAAGTCAAACAAGACCGCAGAGCTTCGCTTCGCTCCGCTATGCGTTCTTGAGTTTTTAGTTACTTAATCTATTTTGTTGTTTCACAACAAACTAATTTTTGGCGCACTACATGAAATGTATTTCATCAAAGTAACTTTGAAGTAATATATTTATTTGCAAAATGAATTACAAGATCTTGGTTTTATTTCCTTTTTGAAATATACTGCCTTTGGTTATTAAATAAAAAATATGAGCATTGAATCTAAAATCACTTTAATTCTGTTCAAGACACAGAAAATATTATACGAAAAATTAATGTAATTTTTAAACAACATTTGATAATAAAAATTTGATTGGCGCTTTGAGATATTATGCACCTATTTGTCGTTACTGCCACTGTTTTAAATTAAACAAAAAATATGAGCATAAAATTCAAATTCACCATAATTTGTTTCAACACTCAAAAAGTATCTAGACAAAAAAAAGCAGATTAGTAGCTCTACATTTCATGTAGTGCTAAAAATGTGCGACACACTCATCACATTGGGAAAGAGGAAGAGAGAGAGAGAGAAAGAGTAAAATATCGATGTACCGCGGATTTTTCACACTAAACGCTCATAAATAAGTGTGTTGATATAATAACAACGACGTTACGGTTGTGACGACATCCGAGTTTTTTTCTTGGTCGTTTTTATCGTGTTCTACGCTCAAAATACGTTGCAACGCGTTAGAACCGTTTTCAAAAATAACATCGCATTGTCTCGAAATCGGTTGGCAAATAAACAACACACACCATTTGACCGCCGAATCGAACACAATTTTGCTTGTGCCGGCGAATTTAGTCACGAATTCCACGTATATATTTGCACAATCATCATGTTTTCACTGTTTTTCCCATGCAATACTGTCGATACTCTATTTTTTGACGCCTAAGCGCCTAACACCGGGATCACGAAATTACAGATGTAGCAATTAATCCGACATCATTGTGATTAACGACTAAACAACATTGGACAGCAACGTGTTAAATGAAATGATTTCAGCGAAAGTGCGAAGGCGTCCATTTCCATCGAAGCATGAAAACTCATCAAATGCCCCGTCGAATCGCATCACAACGCTTAAATCATACCAATTCATTGATACAATTTGTCACATTGTTTATATTTGTGGATACTTTGAATCGAAGTGATGTGGTTTTTGGTCCAAGCAACGGCAAAGCAGACGCTACTTAATTAAGAGAATGACCGGCGCGTTATCGATTCACCTCACACCGGCACATAATTTTAGGCTCGTTGCTAATTTACCGCGCTCAAAATACCCACTCTAAATTCACAACAAACTCACACCCAAATGGCGAAACAAAAAAGAATCTCAAATATTGGTTCAGAATATTGTTTTTGTGATTTTCACAAAAAGATTAAGGATTTTGTTTATCTCTTCGGAATGAAAAATGAATTTAATTTGAAACCTAGGGGGTAAGAACACAAGCGCTTGAGACGAATCCGTACGAATATTTGTGAATTCGTGTGACTGTGTATACGAGACATTCGCAGCGCAATGAGTGTACAACAACAATAATAAAGCCACGAACGCATGAATATATGCGAATCTATGTGAATCTCACAACTTGTTCCTAGCCCCTAGTTTGAAACATTTGCATTTTTTATGAGACAAATATTTTCACATTTTCAACATTTCGGTGATAATCCCCCTTTCGAGCATAAGTCACGAATGCACAAGGCGTGAACAGAAATGATTCATTCTATCAATTCTTGGTTAAGTTGGCATCCTCTTAATCAATTCGGATCATCATCAGGATAATCAGTTCGAATTAAATGTGCTTCAACTTGAAGTTTTCAAGCAATTGACATCTCAATGCTTCATTTTTCTCTCTCTCATCCTCTAGCATACTTTATTTCTCTCTCCCACCCTCACATTTGTTTCATTTCACATTTCATTAATGAGCGGAAACATTTGTTCACTTTTACTTGTTTCGTTGGAATTCACATGAACTATTTTCTCCGGTCACACCGTAAGGTCCAATTATGTGTCGGCATCTTGGTCATTAGCTTTTGTGTTTTAATGAAATTAAGTGATTTTGGTCAGTAAATCCGTTGAAAGTGAGTAACGTGTGTGTTTTCGATGTTAGTGGGTCGATATAGAAAACCGATAAACTGCACGAATGGAATGTGCATGAAGTGCAGCACAACTACATTAACACGGCACAGCAGAAAGAGAGAGAGAAAAAAATGCAAAATAAGCATTCATTCGAATCAAACACCAATAGAGCGATATGTGAACCGTTTTCAACATACGTTGTTGATCACTGAGAAACAAAAACCGGTTTTCCATATAAAAACACTTTTGGCTTAACCATTCAACGACTATTTCTTTATAAATATTAACGAATTTTATTTCATCTTCGCATGTTGTTTTTTCTTCTGTTCACTTTGGTACGATTTTGTTTATGCTTTGGATTTGTTTAGCCGCTGATTTTGATATTCCTTTCGTTAATTTCAGAAAGATAAACTGTTTATTTAATCGAATTTTATCTCACTTTATAAAGAATCTTGATATGTGCTGTTTAGGGCGATATAAAATAAAAGAAAGAAAAAAGCGCCCAAAATCACAAAAAAACTGATGGAAATTTTGAAATTTTGCGATGACTTATCGCGTTGGTTGATGAGGCGCGCACAACACACTCCGGTTTTTGTTTATGTAAAAATGGATGTTGCGTCACCAACAGTGCTGTTAAGACTGGAAACACTATCCCGCGTATCTTCAAACCGAAGTCCGTTCGCTGCGGCCGATGTCGGAAAAGAAACAGAGAGAAAAGAGGCACAAAATGTGCAACAAGAAACTGTCATCCCGCCGTACATCAACCATACACCAATTTTTATTTTATATTCAGTATTCCGTTCGACACTCACACAGAGAGGCAGCAGCGCTGTTGCCGCCAAGTATTGGCATGTGTAACGTTCATCGAAATGCCGATGGTTCGTGCTATTTCACTCACGTTCGCTACTTTGTATATAGGTAAAATAGGCATATGTGTGACGATGCGTCGCTTTTTTTTGAACAACGGGTTTTCATGTGTAGCGACTTTGTTCCGTTTTTTTTAATTTGAATAAACAATTATATGCATGACGATGTTGTAGGCCGAATTTTGTGCATTCGACCGCATAAACCTAAAGCACAACCGTTTACGAACAACATTGGAGAACGAATGATAAACAAAATATAAACAGATTTTGTCATTTGGAACATACTCACTCAGCGAAAGCCCATTTGTTGCTGATTATAATTTTAATTTTTTTTATCGGCCCATTGTCTCTTGGTTTTAGGTTTTATATCGGATTGTTTGAACATGCATCGAGGATTTTTTTCCATATTTTTTGTTCATTTCTTCATAGAATTTTACTTCATATAAAACACATACCGACCATGTTGACTTCGTTTAACACACACCTTTCGATCTGAAACCATAAAAACTACCGATCTTTCTTTCTTTCATCGCTTTTGTATGCAGCAAACGAAATATATGGCAAGAAAAGTCATTCACCGTTTATTTTTCAACACTTATACTTCAGAAATGATCTGGTATGAAGAATGCTCGTTGTTGTTTTTTTCACGCCTATTGTCATTTATGTATTTTTGGGCTTCAGTAGATTTGATCCCATTTATTTCAGCTTATTTATCCACTACATAAACAGATTCTCTCTTTCATATTCAAACAATTCTTGCAGTTGAAAGAAAAATTATCATCTTCTATGAAAATTCTCTGTTTATATCAGATTCTCTTCTCTTCCATGGCTTCGCCTGTGTAACATATACACTTCATATTGTTTTTACTTTCCGTTTGCGTGATCAGTTTCAAAAATATTTATTTCATGATTATTTAGACTTGACTTTGAATTGTTTTGGCTTTGACTCGGAATACGCCTCTAAAAAAGGTTGAAAATATAATTTCAGCTCTAAAAAGATGCAAGCATTCGATATGGACTCACAATTTAATATCACATTAACCAAAGAATTTTCCATTGGAAAAAAAATCGGAAAAAAATTGCGTGAACTTTTCAAAAACTTTTAATGCTTCGCGATGAACTGATTTGATTGTTATTGAATAATAAACATTGATTAAAGTCGGCAAAATGGTCTGGTGCAGAGAAGATTGATTGACTGCATAGTATGCAGTGCATACGAAAATATTACGGAGCGTCTATAATTCGGTTGAAATTTAAATTGTGTTCAAATCATCTCATAAATATATTTAGAGTGTGATATCCATTTTTGTGTTACTGATCTCAGCTAATTGTTGAATAAAACCCAAGTGGTTCCCTGTTGAAATACATATTTTCGATGGAAATAAATAAAAATAAAACCACGCAAAACCTTCAAATCTTCGTACGAAAAAAAAGTTTGGTTTATTTTTGAGAGGTTTTAAAAATCTTCATCAAATTCCAGCTAACGACAGCTGATACAGTGCAATGGTTTTGACTTCGAGTCGATAAGCGCCTTTAATGGTGATTTTGGTTGAAATTTATAATGATAGCACATAAAAAAGACGCAAGAGTCATGTCTGGCTAGTGCAATTTAATGCTTCAATATCCAAGTAAATTTCCATTAGCAAAAAGAATTGCGTACATTTTCCAAATATTTTTCATGTTTCGCAATGAAAATTGAATATTAAATGATAAAAAATGGTAACATTTCTCTGTGCACCACAGATCAGAGATTAACTTCATCCGAAAATATTGCTCGTAAATTTCATTTAATTAGATTTTATGATTGAGAGTCCAATATACGAGTTACTAAAACAATCAATTTATTTCTGAAGTAATAATCTCAAGAGTATGTGCTCTATACGTACTAAGACATGAGTTTATTGTTTAAACAGTTGTAACGGAAACAAAATAAATAAAGCCATAATAATATCAAACAAAAGAAAGTGCTAAAGACACACAATCTAGTCTATTTATACACACATTCACTTGTGTGTTTGAAATTTCAAAGTAACGCATTGAAAAGCGCATGAAAACGCATTGTCCAACCCTGTGCGGCATTGAAGCACGTGTAAACATTCATTTGACAGCAACTGTCAACCATTTGTTGATGTTTTTATTCCAGAATTGGTTTTTGTATCGTCGACTAGTCGCATTGAATAGATTTTCACAATGAAAATCGCTCGTTATAAGAAAGCACAAAAAACATTGAGTTTTTATCGAAATAATTTCGGATTTCGGGAACCATATCAAATATTGATCGACGCTACATTTTGTCAAACAGCATTAATTGTACGTATGTTTGTGTTTTGTCATTTCTTTGCTGTCGACCAAACTTAACCTTTATATTGTTTTTCGATTTTAGTTTCAAATTAGCATCAAAGATCAAATCCCTAAATATTTCCAAGCCGAGACCATATTAGTAACAACACAATGCATCATTTTGGAAGCGGAAAGTCTTGGTGCGAAAGTTCAAGGAGCCACAAATATTGTCAAACAGTTTCTAGTGCACAAGTGTGGCCATGAAAAGGCACCCAAAAATGGCATCGCTTGCATTAAATCGATGGTAAGAATCAATGGATTCATTTCGATTTGGGAGATGCTTCCTATAATAATAAATGAAACAATCAATTTGATTTGTTTGTATTGAGAAATCTAGATTTCAAATTCCAAAACAAATATTCTACAACAATCTCAACCGATGGACTCATTCTTCAAATTGTTCACAACTTTTTTACTACTAATTCATGGATTGATCCATTTTTTTGGAACCATTTCAGATCAAAAATAACCGCTATGTGATTGCAACGCAAGACCGTGAACTGCAAGATTACCTCCGCAAAAAGCCCGGCCAACCAATTATGTATTTGCACAAGAAAACACCAGTGTTGGAGCAACCATCGGAATTAAGTCGCAAAACGGTGGAATTTAAATTGAACGAGTCGTTTAAATTCGGAACGGCTGATGAGAAGAAACTTGGTAAGTTGTTGTTGGTGGACAAAAGTGAGGTTATTGTAAGAAACCAATCAAACTAGTACTAATTGATGATTTTTTTTCTCGCATTTGTTAATGGTTTCTTTACATTCTTGTAGTTGCCATAAAGAAAAGTGAAGGCATCCCAGTTGCGGAAAGAGACGCGCAACCAAAATTGAAGAAGAAAAAGAAGAAGCAGCCGAATCCTCTGTCGTGCAAGAAAAAGAAGAAGAAACCTGGTTCAAGTGCCGCACCGAAAAAAGCAAGCATCGATTCCATTCAAGACAAAACCATTGGAAAGAAGAAGCGTAAACGTGTCAAAGTCCCGACTCATATCAAAGAAATACTGCAAAGTGACAAATAAATCGATATACAAAAAATATGATAAGCTCAATTTTTATTTTTCAAATAAGAAATGCAATTTTAATGTAATTTATTCAATAAATTTTAAACTGTTCACAAAAGTTGATCATCGAAATATAATATAACAATTTGTGTGTATGTGTGTGTGGATTTCGAATCGTTGGAATCAACTAAAAAGAAGACGATAATATTGAATGAATGTATTTTGTTTGTTTTTTTTTGTCGTAATTTTTATGAGTACGGAAACAGATTAAGAGATTTGTTTTTTGTTTTTTGTTTTTTGTTAGGGATTTGAAAGGATGTGGACAAAATATATGTGTGTAGAGTAAGTTATGGTAATGTTGTTGTGTTAATTAAGCGCTTCTTACGATCGTGTCACATGAAACTGATGCCAAATCCTTGAACAGCCATGATGAGCATACGAACGCCAGTGCTGAGCGAACTGTGCGGATTGGCTGACACAAAGTTTTGACAATTCAACAACAATTCTTTGAGAACCTTTGGCGCATGCTCTTTGGTGATGGGATCGCGCATATTCAAATTGATTATGGCATCGGACAAATACTTTTGCTTCAGATCAGTGTGATTTGACATATCGGCGGAGATTTGTTGGATCAATGACAGCAACACGGTTTGTTCCAGTGGACATGGATTGAATACTTGATTGTAATCGGCACGCTCGAGTGCGTATTCAACCAAATGCAAATCGTTTGCCAGCAATGCCTGATGGAACGCTTTGTTGATTTGACCTTGGTTCAACAACGTTTTTATTTGCTCTTGCACATCGAACAGGCTTGGTGCTGGAGTCTGGGCTTGCGAACGCACCGCCATTATAACCGAATCTTCCAAGCTCGCTGCTTGCGTTTCGAAACCTTTTTTGATCTGGAAGTTGATTGAAAGTTTTTAGGTGAATTCAAACAGTTTGGATGGAATAATTGACAAAACCAATTATAGAAATATGACAAACCTCCTGTTTGATGTTTTCTTTCAATGTTTTCAACAGGTTCACTTGCATAACCTTGATATCCTTGTTGATTTCGCCGCTCACACGTTGTGTGCACATATTGACTGTTGCTTCGTTCAAACTACGCAATTGCTCTGGAACAGCTCGCATCAAGTTGGCCAATTCGGCATGAATTGGCTCGTACATTTTTGTGTAGCTTGCAAGTTGATTTGTATCTGGAGATGCAATTCAAAGTCATTTAAAATCATTTCTATTGCTTATTTTCACTTCAAACAGAAATTGAAAATTTTCAAGCGATAATTACATGCAATGGTTCCCTTGTTGAATGTGTCATAGAGTTGCTTGAAGAGTTCAGCGTTGGCCTTTTCGTAAGCCGGCAATACGATCGATCGCATGGATTGAATGTATGTTTCTTGTAAACCACCTTTGATTCCATTAACAACCGAGTGACCGAAAATGTCCATTGTTTGCTGAAATTGAAAATCATTTTCGTTATTCGTTCAAGTTTTGCCAAAATCGTCTATCAAGTGATTGAAGTGTTGACTTTTTTCAATTCTGGTGTCAATCAAACCTAACCTCAATTTAGGTTTACTATAATTTTGACAGATTGGCCAATCAAACAAAATTCGTCGATTTTCCCTTACCTTACTATTGCAAATGTTGGAGATGTTTTCTTTGATAACTTTGTCGGTGATGGTGAGCTTCTGTGCGATCTCGGCTTGAATTTGTGCTTTGATACCATCCAAACGTGCTCCAACCACTGGCAACAAATGTTTCTGTATTTCGTTTACAAACAATTGCGCCAATTGGCCGCTCAACTGATTGCACAATACGGGACCCAATCCAATCACAAGATTATCACGAATATCACGAATTTGATTGTCTCTGTATAGAAAAGAGAAAACTCAATTAATTCATTCATTTTCGGTGGAAAGAAATGCCATCTCATTCCCCTTTTCTTCTCTGTTAGAACTAAATTTCATAAAATTTACTCCAATCGAGTCGTCCAATACTATTTAAAATTCAAACCAAATGGAAACGACATTCTTACCGTGCCATTAAGAACGCTTCAAGCCGTTTGCTGTGTTCGCGTTCGTAGCGCATCAGATATTCTTCGATTAAACGCGACAGACGAAGTTCAAGTTTTTGTGTATTGATTTCCGTGTTTGAAACGGTTTTTGATGCGGTTGCGGCATTGGAATGAGATTTTTTCAGTTCAATGACTTCGTTGCGAAGTTCTGAGAGTTGGCAATTTTGCGTCTGAATGATTTCCATCAACTGATCAAGTTTGATGTTAATATCGTTGATTGGTCCAGCCGATGCTGGGTTGTGGTTGAATGTTTGCATTACAGTCGGTGCATCTGGCCAATCGGTCTTACTTGATGCGGTGATACCGTTGTTTGCTTGGTTCGTGGGTTCGGTCACTAAAAATCGGGGTAAAAAATTTGAAAATGTCTAAATACTCATCATGATGATGATAAGCCGGTCAAAAAACTTACTGTTATTCAAAGTGTAAGTTTCATCATCGTCTTGGTTGCTGTTCTTTTCTTCGTCGTTGCCATCGGCCACATCACCGTTATTTACGCTTGCGTCTGTGTCATCTTGAATGTCAATGGAGTTGCTGTAAAAGTCATTAATGCAATCGGAGCCTTTTTGTGATAAAATCTCTTGAACTTCCCGGCTTGGACTTGATCCGCCCGAAACGCCTGTGGTGAGCATCGATGCTGGTGGCAATGGTGGAACAATTTCTGGGCTGTTTTCAATGGTTCCATTACTTTCCTCCGAAACTTGTTGCAACAATTGCACGTTGTCCGATTCGTCGCCGCTTTGTTTGTTGTTCACCAACTGGAGAAGTGGATTTGGTGCACTTTCCACGGGTTTTTCGCCGGCCAACATGCGCAACGTCGAGTAAACTTCGTTGCTGACGCCTTCAGGTGTGAGTTTACCAGATGAATGGAACGAGTCTGGAGTGAGTAAATTCAAAGCTGACGATGGTTTATTAATCGATTGTTGTGAAGCCGACTTCTCACCCTTGGTCAATTCAGCTAATTTGGCACCTTCATTGCCACTGGTGCTGGAATCAAGCAATCCACGCATCTGAATGCCCGATTTCGATGCGCTCGACAGTGAACCGCCTGATGAGTCATCGTGTGAAGACTTGATATTCAAAATTGTTGCCAAATCATTTGACAATTCTTCTTCGCGTTCATTATTCACACCTTCTGACAATGCCGACACCGAGCTGCCAACATCAACATCTTCGGTCAACGATGGCTGATACAGAACATGACATTCTTGTACGCTCTTCGGTTGCACCAAGAACAAATGGATCACAACACAATAACGATTCAATGTATCCTCATCGTAATCTTCGAGATCTTCGAGCAAGTACATGTCATTGTATGCGCATTTGTATTTGCGAACCGGCGCATCGACAATGCCAAAGCTTAGAATTGGCGATGATACGGGAAATTCGGTGATCGATTTGATAAATGCAAGTGGTTTCGTTCCATTCGAACTACTTTGATCGTTGTCGCTTTTCGAACCGTCGTCCGTTTGCACGATTTGCATGACGTACAAGTTTCGATTCTTGGCATCAGTCAACACGAGATACGATGATGTGGGATCGATTTCGGTTTTGAAGAACATTGGCTTGCCATCAGCCGCTTCGAAACGTATCGTTTGCATACATTCCCATGATGCGCAACACCAAATTTTGTATTCGGTATTGTTGTCACTTGCGGTGATCGCGTATTTCCACAGTGAAGTTCTAGATGGGACGAGGGAGAATAGAGATTGAATTGAAAAATGGGCGAATAGAACCTACTGAATACTTCAGCTGAACACTTCAAGTGAATAAAATCTGTCTGAAAACCCAATCGAAATAACATAATTTGATGAACTGCCTTTTGATTTCAGAAGTAATTTGGAGAACCGCTTTTCAATTTATTTTCAATGTTCATTTTTGACAAATAAAATCCAATTTCAACTCACCCAGCAGCCGATTTGGTATGATCGTCCAAAAAAAATAAGCCATTAACTGGTTTCTTGTCATGTGGCGTCCATTGGTGTAAGAGTCGTGGTTCGTCTTCATTGATGTGGAAATAGACTTGGTAAAAGCGAATATCACCATCTTCAAGTGTTATGGCCAATGTGGTGCCGTCTGGAGACAGCGAAGCATCTGTTATCGCAGACACCTCATCAAACTTCAATGAACCTTCAGTTATTTCGTTAGCATGATGCGTTCCGATCTGAAATAAGAAAAATCATTAAGATTAACTGATGTACTTTAGGTTACTTCGTTGAATATTCAAACGGTTCAGAGCTGTGTTTCTAATATACTTGCACGTTTAACCATTTTTAACCTAAATTCTGCACAGAAACATTCGTTTTTTTCGATATTCGTACGGATCTGTGCAATTTTTCAATGACATTAATCAAAGCAATTTAATTGGCATTTTCAAGATGAAAATTTGGTGGAAAAATATCTAATTCTTGAAAAAAACACAAAAAATGACTTCTGAAAAGAAATATATTAGTCTGAATAACTCACTCCATAGCTATCAACCACCGATCCCACGTTGTAACACTGAAAACTGTTGCCTCGTGTCCAAACCAAAAGTTTGCCGGCATCACTGTCGCTTTCGGTTTCGTTTTCGGGCACATACGGACACCAATTCACTTTGTCGAATCTCGGTACATGACCCTCAATGGGATCGTCAACTTTCAGAAGCAACGTGCAAATGATGCTGTCGTTGACCGTTTCAATTTTATGGATATGAAGAGCGGTATTTTCAATGGAAGCCAATATAATTTGCGATTTAATATGGGCAAACTGTAAGTCAAGCACTTCACTGGATTTGCCACGAATGAGAGCTCGTTGACCGGTGACTGGGTTTGTAACCCGAACCATTCCTTCGATATTACCTTTTTTGCCAGCGACTGCACAAATGGAAAATGAAAAAAAGAGAAAAAAAGCAGTGATAAAGTGTTTTGCTATCAGATTATATATTATAGATAGTTACCTTTAATTGCATACGCAACGTATTTGCCTTCGAGATGCACAGCAATCAATCGGCCAATGTAATTTTTCACCTCCCACTTGTAATCAACGATGTTTTTCAATTTTATTTTCGAGCTACCATGATCGTGCGAACCAGCACTGCCCACAACCACTATGCTAGCACCATCCGTTTCGTGTGCACTTTGTTCGCCACCCTCAAAAATACTATGGAAAAAGAGATAAACGCAGAAATGGAGACAAAAAAGTGGAAAAATGAGCAAATGTTCGGACATTCCGTCACAATTTGAAATGAGTGCAAATACACCATGCAAGTGGATATTGCACAAATACGTACACTTTTTTGAAGGTTATGTCGTTCTCAGTTGTAACCATTTTTGATGTATCTATCACTTGTTTTCGAATTGATTTGTAGAAATTGAACAGTCTGAGTAAAAATGAATTTGCCGCTGAATCAAAATACTTTGAATGTACTAGTTCGGATATTAAAAAAAGCAATGGCATGCCCCGAAGAACGAGCCGATTTTTTTCTTCTTTAGATTGGAATTGAATCGACTTTCTGTTTGCAATGCGAATGTCAATCGAATGTTTTTTTCACTCTCTGTCTTGCGCCATTAACAGTGAATTTTATGCATTTTCACTGCACAACACCGGCGTCCAATAAGAACCAAAGAAAACCAAATTACCTCTAACACACAACGCACACGCAATTATTCGATGCGAATTATGATGAAATGATGTTATTATCGTCGAATGTCGGCGGCTAAATAGTTTGTGCTCATGAACTTACGTTATAAATATACAGGAAAACTTCAAAGTTTTTTTCTCTATCGTTTCAATTCTGTACGGAGAGCCTGTTGTGTGAAACAAGCATCACTTTTTCATGATTTGACAGTTTGATGATGCGCCTTGGTGACGTATAAAGGTCGTCTCAGTTTTCAAACCGTTTCAATGTGGCCATCTGTGGTTGCGCTCCGAACTATATGTCAAATTCACCGGCTATATCAGCTATCGCACTAGTTTTGCTTGTAAACAACCACAGTTGATATTGTTTGGAAATTATTCCTCACTCAAAGCGATTCTTCTTGCTCAAATCGATAACAATCGATGTAAACGTTGAATGCGTTAAAAAATACGTCAAAATGAACTGATCAAAATTCAACACGAACTGATGTCTTGTTTCAAACAAGTGTTTGGTACTCTATTGTGACGTATAACCTGAACCAATTCGCTGTCTAAAGCTTTCATAGACAAATATAAACTCAATCAAAATTGCGCCTCTTTCGAATTGGTAGGAATAATTAGCATTTCCGATTTTAGATCATTATTATATTTCACTCAAACCATAGAATTATATATAATTTTGCGATTTCAAATGCAAATCGAGTGAATGAAAATGAATGAATTTTGTACTGTTGTTTGTGCATACATAGCGATACGAGATTAGATTTATGCGCAAAATTCTTCCGGTTGGATAATTTACACCAAAATCTCTGATAGACATTTCAATCAGAGATGACGTAAATGTAATATCAATACCACGAACCACCAAATAGTATACGTTTTAGCATAGCCCGCGGTAAACGACGAACCATCTCTGATTTCAATCAAACGATTTTATATCGATAACATTCATGTCTGAATTGAATTGTATTTAATTGTAGGCAAAATAGCTATCATGTTATTGTGAGCAATTGTGCACCTTGAATATCAAAAGTGCCTATGTGCTAAAGTCAAAATCCGATTTCTATCTGAATTCCGTATTAAAATATTCTCAAAACATTGCTTTCAATTTTTCGCCAATATCTCAATTAAATTTCGTACATTTATCACATCTATTTATTTTATTGTTGAACAATTTCAACCTAGGGGGATTTCTCACGAAAAAAATGAATGAATTCTTATAAATTTTGAAAAATTCCTTGAATTCGGTCAGATTCGATCAATTTTTGTCAATGCGTGTAAATAAATCTAGGGGTTTCACGCAAACTCGAAGGCCGAAGATTTTACTAAATATCTGGAAATAAAACCATTTTATGTGTAAACTATAGATATTGCTTCTTTTTATTCATAAACTCGAATTTTTTTAGAATTTTTTGAATCTAAAAATTCTGGAAGTGGGTTTTGGTGGATCCTCAGGATTGTTCAAAACCGCTCCTGGTTCTGGAAGTGGATCCTCAGGATGGACCAGGGCATTGTCAAACCCAGTCTGATCCATCCTGAAGATCCACCAAAACCCACTTCCAGAACCGGGAGCAGTTTTGAACGATCATGGGGATCCACCACTTCCAGAACATTATTTTCAAGGTGAATGTTGGATTATTTCGAAATAATACGGATTTTGGTGAATCCCAGAGAATTTTAGAGAAAAAAGAGAAATATTGAAATTTTAGATGAATTTTAAGTTGCGTGAAACCCCTAGAAATAAATGTACATTTACACTGAACTTTTGAATTATGCTTCAATGAAATTGTTCTGGAAGTGGGTTTTGGTGGATCTCAAGGATCGTTCAAAACTGCTCCCGGTTCTGGAAGTGGATCTTCAGGATGGGCCAGGGCAATGTCAAACCGGATCTGGTCCATCCTGAGGATCCTCCAAAACCCACTTCCTTCTGGAAAAACCAATCGTTTGCTGAGCGCAAACCGGAAGTATGTATCGTCGAAGTGCCTTCCATTGTTATTGTTATTGAAACAGGTTTTGGCTATTACACCTATCCGATGCTGGTCATTGAAACAAAGATGAATGCTGAAATTCGAAACTGGAGTTCCGATGTAAGTTTGGAGTATTTCAACATATAGAAGTAATGTAATGTGTAATCTATTACTTATTACAGCCCATTACAGTAATGGCTATTACATTCATCCTATTACAGGTCATATTACAAATGTAATATGATATCCTATTACTATTACTTTTACTATTACATGTAATAAAGGGTGTTTTTTTATTCAAGCAAAATCGTCATTTCAGTACATTTTCATACAATTTCAATAAAAAAAAAGAAATACTAGAAATTTTTGCACATTTGCTCAAACTTCTTGTGTGAGAAATCCCCCTAGATTTCAACAGAAATATTATGAGTCAGCAAATGTTCCCTTGATTTTCAATTTTTCAATTTTTGGACATGAAAATTAAATTCATCACATCAAATCATCTGTTTCTCTTCTTGACAGTTTCAGTTACAGTGCATTCAATTATGAAACAAACTATCATGCGTTTCTTGTGGCGTATCTTTTTGATGGGTTTATATGCTTTGAAATAAACAACCCACGTGTAGCCACTAATGAATGGTACAAGATCTAAGTAGCTAAAATTAATGGTGGCATTCGTAACCCTGACTAAGCCTTTATTGAGTGGACATTTTGCTCGCGGTTGTGTGTGCTCCACAGCGTCGCTCCAAATTTTGTTCTTTTGACCCAAGATTTCACAAAAGTTTGGTACAATGTAGGTGGCGAAATGACTACACTGATTCATTGCGAGGTCACATCGTTCGCCAAGAATTTGAAGCTGAAAATTGGGAAAATTTATGTGAAAAATATTAAAATCACAAATTGTTTGTATCACACATACTTCAATTGGCCCGTTTACGGTTTCGTCTATCGCGAATTCTGCATTCACTCTATATTTGCTGTTAGCGAAGTTTGTAAAGTTGACATTGAAATGGATTGGATTCTTTTCGTCGCCTGTACATTTTCCATGTTTGTTTATGATTAATGTTGAAGCTTCCAAGTAAGCGTTCTCCGTGAATAACTTGAATACGAGCACCATAGTCAAAAGGAATCGATGTCGCAGCATTTTAATTGTTGAACAAAATAGACTCTTCTTCATTCCGAATTGATTGACTATTTCGAAAAGACAGAAGTGATTTTAGCGACGCTTTCATGTATAAACCGTTCCCTGTCATGTTTCTAAGCAAATTGTTATTTATGTTTCCGTTTCCGTTTCCGATTTCAGATCAATATCGCATAATGAAAACGTTGAATTAAATAATTTTGCCATTCCAAATGCAAATTAAATGAACGACAATGAGTACACCTACATTAATAGAACAAAACAAGATGAGATTTATTTAAAAAAATCCTTTATGCACGTCCATTTGAATCATTTCATTCAAAATTTCTAATCAAAATGTCAATTAAATAATTCAATATAGGTACAATTTATTTCCGCTTCAAAGTTTTTGTGCCAAACTCGAATTTCGATTTTGATCTGAATTACAGATTTAAGTGTTTTCTCATGACATTTTTGAACTATTAAAAACAATGATTATGCATACAGCAAAGTATATTTTAATGTCATTACGATGATAGCTGAAATACGAAGAATTCGTAGTAACAATTTTCGGCAGATTCTTCAGATTGGCTATTTGCTACAGGGTAATAATAGTCGAAGCCATACAACTAAATACTAAATTGAACGGATGACACTCCAAACAATTTATTTCTGAATCAGTTACTTAAAGAAAGTTGCTATTTGGAGATTGCATAAATAAATGGGCTATCGAAATAAATAGATATGAAAACAGAAACGGATTCAAAACTCTCTTTTTTCTTCATTAAATCTTGTATGAAGACATTTTATTTGCATGTATTTAATCATTAGTTTGATATTTAAAACAGATTGCAATTGCTCCGAATGTGGTTATTCAGAAGTTGTAACTAATTTATCCAAAATCATGTCCTTTTCATAACCTACGGTTCATTTTTGCGAATCAGTATTCATTCACCACTATTCGCACCTTGTTCCCGGTTGGCTTTGGTCACTGGTTCTTCTCATATCAAGCATATTAGCTTTCGTTTCTTGTGTTACACATTTGGAATAGATTTAAATGCATTTCCGATAACTTTTCATGTAAAAAATGAACTTCAAGTGAAAGAAAAGCTCCATAATTTAAGTCAATGGTAGCATTTGTAAGCGTGATTGTGCATTTTTGAGTGGACATTTTGCTCGCGGTTGTGTGTGCTCAATGGCATCGGTCCAGATTTGGTTTTTTTGATCAGCAATTTTGCAAACGTCAGGAATGTTGAATGTTACAAACTTCGTGCATTGCGTTATACTATCCGATTTGAAGTCACATCGTTGTAAAATCCATTGGAGCTAAAAACAGAACTAAGAATTAAAACATGCGATGAATTTAAAGAAGTTTTCACCTCGATTAAACCGGTTATAGTATCTTCTATATAGAATGCTCCATTTAAAACGTATTTATTAAGGGAAGCTCTTGTGAAGATGACATCGATGTGAATTGGATTCTCTCTATCCTGTGGACATTCTGAAAAGTTATTCACAGTTAATGAACGAGCTTGGGAACGGCCACCGTTCACTTTATCAAGGAACTTGATAATGGATACAAGAATTAGAATAATCTTGTGCGGATGCTTCTTCCGTTTTTGGTATAAATGAATTTTGCACAAATGAAGTTTCGTCTGTCGAAGTGATAGCACACTTTGCAAATGTGGGAAATGTTGGAATAGATTTCGAACAGTTTAAGCATCAGATGGCATCATTATATGGTACAGTGAATAAATTGATATAAATAAATCTGATATGTTCCGTTTTAATTCCGTACAAAAATTAATTTCCATTTTTTTCAATGTTCAAAAAGTAAATGTTCACAAAAGCATTAGAAAATAATTAAATGAAAAATCTTATCATCAAACTAATTTCGTTTTGATGTCGATTTAATTGTGGGACTTTTCGGTAATTTACCATATCAATGACGCAGACCGATTGATGAAATGGTTTAGATTTCGACGGAGATACGAGGCAATGAGTAAAGAAGCGATACAGAAATAAATTCGCTGGAGCGTAACATAGAAAAAACATTCGCTCCATAGAAACATGAGTTTTTAGTTACTTAATCTATTTTGTTGTTTCACAACAAACTATTTTTTGGCGCACTACATGAAATGTATTTCATCAAAGTAACTTTGAAGTAATATATTTATTTGCAAAATGAATTACAAGATCTTGGTTTAATTTCTTTTTTGAAATATACTGCCTTTGGCTTAAATTAAATAAATAATATGAGCATAGAATCTAAAATCACTTTAATTCTGTTCAAGACTCAGAAAATATTATACGAAAAATTAATTTAATTTTTAAACAACATTTGATAATAAAAATTTGATTGGCACTTTGAGATATTATGCACTTATTTGTCGTTACTGCCACTGTTTTAAAATAAATAAAAAATATGAGCATAAAATTCAAATTCACCATAATTTGTTTCAACACTCAAAAAGTATCTAGGAAAAAAGAGCAGATTAGTAGCTCTACATTTCATGTAGTGCTAAAAATACGCAGCAAATGATAAACTTCCAAATACGCAAAAGTGAAACTAGCTAATTTTATGTACGTCTTGATCACTTCACGTCTCAAAATATTTATATTTATTATTGATTTAAAATAATGAACAGTGGATTCATATGGATGGTCATATTTATTATTACATATTTTAAACATTTTTATTTTACACATTTTCCTTAGTTTTAATTGTCTTGGTCGATACACTGCTTGATTTAGTGGCAATTGATTCGGTCAACAAACAGAAAATCATTTGCTTTTTATACCGAATATTCGGTATAGGTTTGAATATTTTGAAAGTAAGTACCCATGCATATCCGCTGTTCATTGGTAAATGAGATAAAAAGGATAAATCGAGTGTGGCATTTACAATATTCATTGGCACCGCTTTGATTGGACATTTAGCTTTCGGTTGTACATGTGCCATTAGATCGCTCCAAATTTGGTTCTTTTGTTCAAGTATTTTGCAAATGTCACGAATGACAAACGTATTGAAATCCTCACACGTCGTCATGGCAAAATCACATCGGCTGCCGAAAATTCTCAACTGAAAGGTTCAAGCGAATTTATGTATCAAGTGTCCATAATGTTTTAATCGGAGATCAACGTATTACCTCTAATGGACCTTCGATGAATTCCCTAATCGTCACCTCTCCATTTACATTATATTTGTTTAGTCCCGTTTTAGTGAGGTTTCCTCTCCAATGCACCGGATTCTTTTCGCTTTGTGGACAATCGGATATTCCCTTGATGTCGATTGTTGTTGGTTGAAAACGAACACCAAAACAATCGATAGAGTGGTTAGAAATCTCAACAAGTAAAATTGAGATAAAAGGGAAAAACATTTTGGACAAATTTAGACAAAGCTAGCTTGGTGTTCAACGCCCAAATTCAAATTGAGTGTTATAGTTGAAATCGTTTTAATTAAGAATTTGAAACATTCATAAACTGATTTTAATTACTTGCTTCTAATTAGCTTTTAAGAGTGGAAATACATTACAAAGCATTCATCAGTTTAATTAGACGAAACCAAGCTCGCTTCCGAAAGATATGAAAATCATGCCATCATTGAAATGATTCGGATGAAAAGAATCTATACCATAGTTTTTAATTCGCAGCCTTCTTCATCCGTGTGTACTTTAGTGAAAATCACAAAAAAAATAAAACCACGACTGAGATTTCCATGAAATTTCAATGCTTTTTATTCATTTTATCTCTTTAAATGCAATTGATATTATGAATTGTATTGATATTGATTTCGTTGTGCGTAATATGGTTGAATGGAATTAAAAGAATTTGATGTCATGCGAAAAAGCGCCGCAAACCCGGAATTCTTCTGGTTTCAGGATCACACTGCGAAAATACGTTCAAAACAATTGACCAGTTAAAGAAATCTGCAAGAGAATGATGATTTTTGTGCATGTAGGTGAGACTTACCGCATAAATTGAGGACCACCAGTGCCAATTGCATGAGTAGTCTGACCACAAACACGCAACGTGAATTCCTTTTCCACTGGATCTGGCAGAGTCTTTTGAAAAAAGAAATGTAGTTTATTCAAATTTCATATTAATATGGGGTATGGATAGGAGAATTGCAGATAAAGCTTGTGATCAAACTTACAATCGGAATATTGTCCAGATCTTGAGTTTGTTCGCTTTGTGTACGCTTCACTTCAGTGAACAGACGTAGAATTTGCTGCGACAGCATTCCAAAAGCGCCTTCATCCAGCTGAACTTCGTGTCCACTCAATAGAGTCTTTAAGATATTGTTTTCCTGCAGAGAAAACAATTGAATTTCATTTTTATTTAGGATATGTGCAAATTTTTTTCTAATCCATGGCTAAAACTTACATCAGCTCCCAAATTTTCAGCATTCGGATACAATTTTCGGATGACACTATAGCATTTGACCACCATATATTCCATATTCGTAATTTCCGTTAGCATATTCTCCCATTTTTGCCTGGAGTTTCCTATGAATAGACAATTTTTTTTATGTGAACATTCGATTAATCTTGGTATTTCTTCTTTTCAAGATTCTATTGGACGATTTTCTTCATTTCTTCATTTCTTTGAACATTTATAGTGTTTTAACATTTCACACAGAATATTCGAACTCAAACCAACTTACCTTTAGCTGATGTTGTATGAACGACCCAAGCCTCTCGTGACAAACGGCAACACATGGTTAGCAATTTTTCCATTGATTGCTCAAAGTTTGGAATAATTGAAGAAAATTTAGCACTCTCCTCCTGGAAAGTAATGGAATCACAAAAAATGTCAATGTTAGAGCCAACTAGCGTTTGAAACATAGAAAAATTCAACGAAATTTTTCAGGTGGAAATAAAAATTCAAATTTTTTTTACCTTCACACGCAAAATGGAAGCATGATACAGAGGGACGATGGTGAGTTGAACGATTTGTCCGATATTTCTGGTTTCAAGGAAATGCAAAACTTTCTCCGCTTCACGTGTATCGTCGAATAAGCGTCTCTAATATGGCAGAAAAAAAACAATAATAAAGGCAAAAAAAATCATTAAGCGGAATAAAAGGAAAAAAATCAATTCATGGGCACTAAAAGCGTTAGAAATGAAAACGATTTCTGACCATAAATTTGAAAAAAATTACCTGACGTCGTGCAGGAACTGGTTTAGCAGTATTCCAAACCGTTTGCCATGTATTACCGGGTATAAGCATGCGTGAGCTCAATCGGCCTTTACGCGGTTGGTTGTTGTCTTCGCTACTGCTCGAATCTGTGTGAAAGTCAATGATTTGTGTTCAGCTGTTTGTGTGTTTTTATTTTTCCAAGTTGTCAGTGCACAGAAAGCAAAACACCACTTACCATCCGTTTTGGTGATATCGTCTTCAATCCAGTCACGTGGACTGTACCACCGTATGAAATCTTCAAGTTTTCCGTTCGGATTAGCCGCCTTAAAACTTTCCATATCCGATAATAGTGATGCACTCATTATTTGTGTTCGAAGCTCTGTTGGAACATCAACGGGAATTCCAAGAGCGATTAAAAATTTTAATCAAGAAATAGCGACGAATATTTTAGTTTGTCTTCGACTATGCATTTAATCTCTTTGAAAACAAAAAAAAATAGTCGATATACACACAGCCACAACATTGTCTTACCACTTTCTGGACCTAATTTCAAAAGAATTTCGGCATCGTCTTCGAGTTGATCTTCCGTTTTTGGTACGGGCTCTTGTGTTATCGGAACGTATAAATATTCATCGCTATCGATTAATTTCATATCGTTGAGTTTTGACAATCGACCTTCCGGCTTGTTCCATGGCAAATACTCTTTTGCCGGTTCGCTGCCATCGTCCTCATTCGCAGCGTCACAATCGAAGAATTCATCATCGGATTCATCGGAACGTGAGTCCATGTTGCGTTGATTGCTGTTGGCCATCGCGTGTGACAAATTTCCCTCACGAATACGCCGTCGATTTATACAAATGTTCAGCATTTGTAGTTTTTGATGTAGCAAACATGTTCGTGGATCAGGGAATCCTTCTGCGATACTGTAACCGAAAAAAGAGAAAGAAAAATGAATGAAAACCAACTGCATGGAAATGGAACACAAGTGCATCTCTTAAATTTAATAAATTTCTTTTCGATAGAACGTTCAATACGTATATATCGGAATGCGCAAAAAGACAGTGCGAAAAAGGAGTAACAAAAAAAGAGATACAGAGATCGAGACACAGGGACACACACACACACAGAGAGAGAGAGAGAGAGAGAGAGAGAGAGAGAGAGAGAGAGAGAGAGAGAGAGTGATATAAAAAATTGCTTCATTTATAACAATCCATGTGGAATTTAAATTTCCCCGTTTGCCATGTGCATATATACGGTGGAGTAATGGCGAATGGATCGGGGCGTCATTGGGAATGCTTTTGAAAATCGATGTGCGTGTACGAGACACGATGCTGCTTTGCGATTGAAATACTATGTTTTTAGTAGAATCCGAACAATTTGTAGCGGTTGAAGCGCTAGCAGCATAGTTCGATAATATTTTATACACAATTTTATGAATACAAAAAGCACTGAGTGTAAGTGAGGATGAGTAAGAGAGTGGGTGTTTTTCGGTTCTTTGTAAATCGACTTAACCGGAAAATGCACTTTAGAGAATTATTCAAAGTCAATATTTTGCAGTTGAATGGGCACTCGCAATTCTCGACGCATCCACCGAATAGCTCCTCAATTCGGCTGTGAGATAAATTGCGTCGTTCGTGTGTTGTTGCTGTTGATTTTCCCTACGTTTTTTTTTTCGAATACATTCAGCCACTTGTTATCCGATGGAAAACAAATGCTTGCCGAAAATACTTAGAGCACTTTGCTAGTAATGTGTATGCAATACATAAGCACATATGTCACACTAATAGCCGAAAAAAGAGATCTGGAAAAAATGAGAGAGAGAGAAGAGTTTGGGGGAAAAAGTATTTTTATCCCAACTGAGTAATTTTTTTCGTCGTTGTCGGAAGGTTGCTTGAGTTGAAAAAAAACCTGCAACAAATTGCAATGTTCAAAGAGCATTGCATCCGAACACAAAACAACAAGAACGACGATGAACAACTTGATGGAGATAAAGTACAAGTGTGAGCGAGAAAAATTAAGTCGCCTGGGGCATTCGCTTGTTTGATCATGCAAAGCTAAACTTTTCAGTTTCTCACATAATTGTCACATAAAGCCGTATGCAACAGATCGTTTTTTCTGCAACTGCGCCCCGGCTCTGCCTCGAGGTAAATACACCATATCCGTTTCACCGGCTACTTTGGCTCCACATAAATCCCATTGTAACCATGGGTGTTGAATGTCATTCAACGCGACTAAGCTGTAGACATCTCTCTCCGGCAATACGGCAAACAACAGAACCAACACTGAACATGAAAATGACATGTTCAATTGTGTTTGTTTCGTTAGTTTCAACTGTGCCGCTACGAGAGGTCTCTTTTGTCGTTTCTTTGTGTTATTTTACATGTAAAATCAATGGTATTAGACGAGGATGATTATAACTTTTTTTTTCGTCCTATTTTGCTTCTATTATCATATTCTCAAACGCATTCCGGCATTTTTTCTTTCCTGTTCGGTATTCAATGGGTTTTCCTGCAATTTTCTCCGTTGTTCGGCTGCGCTACGCTCCAACTTTTGGATGCTTCGAAATTCGGAAAATGTTCGATTGTTTAAAACGTTGCACACTGCATGCATATATACACTTGTCGACGAAATGCAGCATTGTTTCGAATTTTACGCTTGATTCTCTCTTTAAACTTTGCCTTTTTATCCCCATTTTCGGATCTTTGCGTGATAATCGTCGGCAATGCACAAGACCATTTTATTTTTTACCAGCAAACAAAGAACAATGCAGCTTATGATACTTGAGACTATGTGAGAGGCGTATTTCGCCTAAACAGAGATAGGGAAAAAATCCGGTCTAAAAATATTGGTTTGATGCAGCAGAAAGCATCTTCTGAAATTTCATTTATTTATCAATTCTTTTTCTCTTTGTCCAAAAATAGATGTCGGTGTGCACATGGTCTGCAGTAAAGCGGCTTTACAATAACAATAGATTCAAATGCATTTTCCGTGTGTTTCTCATATATATCAAACCGAAAATATTGGAATTATATGCTGTGAAGAATAGAAATTCCACGAAATACAGACGATATTCGCACACAGACATCGTCGGCGGCATTCACCTGCTTGTTGAAGCGGCGAATGAGAATTCCGACAAGAATGGTCTTCAAATTATTTCTGGAAGCACATTCTTGCTGCATTGAAGATTGCATGAAAAAACAACAAAATGCCAATTTTGTTTGTTCGGATACATTGTGCAAATTTCAAGAGATAAACAAACGCCTGAATGCGGCTGCTGCGTTCGATTTAGGTATTCAGACAGAACTGTTGGTCTAGAGTTAAACGTTGCGTGGTATTTAGTTGAATTGCTTTTTATTTATATGAATAACAAGCGCTTAAAATGAATCCTTAGCAAGTGGAATAAACACAAACTATATGTACCGTAGAACACGAACAGGAGCTACTGCTTCTTCTGCTGCCAGGGTGATGTTGAGTTCACCTTAAGTTTAAAGTAAAACAGCAATATTAAACATACACACAAACTTTCTCAGTTTGATTGTTGTCTTTGGCCAAAGACTGTGCGTTCGTTGTTGATGTTGTTATTGCTGCTGCGGCTGCAAAGCTATATATTTATATTCACATGTGTTTAGATGTGTATGCGAAGGTATACGAAACGATTAGATGGAATCGTTTAAGGTGTTGTGGGTGATACATGGTTCAGAGAGACTCGGTTCACTCTTGCTCTCTGGCTTCTCTCGCTTTTTCCTTATCTTTTTCTTTCTCACTTGTTCGTTCTTTCTTTCTCTCTCTCTCTTTTTCTCGCTCGCTCGCTCGCTTTGGGTTGCATCTCTTTGGCCCCTCTCCACGTCTACATCGTTTTGGAAAAAGTTTTTTCTGTATTCATTTTCATTTTTAATGTTTGCGTTTCCGTGCTGCAGGTTTCATTTGTTGTTGTTACTGCTTGACTTGTTGTTTATCAGCGTCCTGTGGCTCACATACGTAATTTATGGTAACCAACTATCATATCGATTCATTTTAAAGAAGCATTTATTTTAATGTAATGTCATTTTGCCCTTGGTTTCTTGGAATTGTGCGCGTGCCATGTAAGGTTGCTCTTTATCTCTTTCTCCCTCTCTCTAGCCGTATTCAGTTGAGGTTTATCGTCATATAACATCTAATTTCACTTGTTTACAGAGCGATGGCTTTTTTCTTCTGCTGCTGCTTCTTTTTCATCATCATCATCTGATCCGAACATACATTTACTTGAGGGCACATGTACAAACAGCACCCGATTCGTATTTCCACAATAGACGCTCTTTATAATTCAACCGAACCCATAATGTAATGCAATGTGACGTTTGTGCTTCAGCTACGCAAATATATTTATGAATGTAAGCAGAAGATTTTCTTTACACGACTGCATTCATATCGAATGGCTTGGTTAGCTCTCATATTCGGTTCTTTTTTCGGAATTGGATGGGGAGAAGGTGGAGATGGAAACACCTTTACCGGAATTCCTTGCGATAATTTATCATGCATGTGTGGCAACAGCAGCGATGACGTCATATTAACCAACCACCACCACACCAGTTGAAAAGCTGAAAACTTTTGTCGTCAGCCACATTCATACATGCATATATATCGCTTGATATATCATACATTTTTCTTTCGTGTATGTTACCATCGCATCGTAGTCGTTGTTCATCGTGTTGTTTGGTCGGATACATTCTTCGCGTATATACATTAAATTGTTTTCATTAATAAACCTTTCTGTGTCGTTTTCACCCAATGGTATATTGTGGCTGGTGTGGGTGGATTCGGTTGGGGCAGAACGATGGGGTGCGAGAGCGCATTTTCATTCTCTTCCGGGAATTAAAGCGATTTTCCATCACAAAGGGAAATAACTTTGTGCTTTGTAATAAATACACAAAAGAGAGCGCCAACGCAAGCGTTTGCCGTGCAGCAAAAATGAAACGAAAAACTCTGAACGGCATCAACGGTTTTTTCATATTATGAAAGTCCCACAGTGAACACTCCAACAACGACAAAGGCGACGAATTGAAAAAATCGACTCGAAATGGGAAAAAAATCGAAGAGAAGAGTGTAACAAATGCCATGCCGAATCAGCTATAAAACGGCGAATACAGCTGACGCGATGAGTTTATATTCTGGCGGAAAATTGAGTGATTATGTAATGAAAGTGGAAATGGGCGCGCACAAATTTTTATTCGTTAGTTTTCATTGAAAAGTGTGTGCTCCGCGTTCACTCGCTCACTCACTCGTTCGGTCGCCTCACTCCGTCAGAGCGGCACTCTCACATAGATTGAGAACTCATTCATGACTCTTTCGTTTTAAGCGTATTCGCGATTGTGTCAAATTTCATTGAATCAAATTGAAAATCAGTTTATGAAGGGAAACGAGAGCAGGCGCGCACACACTTTGGCTAGAAGAGAGCAAGCGGATGGAGCAAAAAAAAAAACGGTGATTGAAATTAAAGATGATCGACGACGAGATCGAACAGCAACCAGTTCCAATCCGATTTCAACAGAGTTTAATGGATTACACACGTACGGAACGGTGCGCATTTTCTCTCTTTTGGCGTCATCGCTGCCGCCGCGTTCATTTTCGTGCCCGGGGAATTTTTCACACCGACTGCCTGTAATTAACAATCAACGCCATTAAATGTATTAAAGAACGTGAAAATGTAAAATGCGCGGCGAAACGAAAGAGAAAATAGGTATTTGGCGTAAAGTGTCGACGACGACGGCGACGAATACGAATAAAAAAAAGCAGAATCTTTTTTATTCACACTTGATTTGAGAGGTTGCAGCATTTCTTTCATTCTTTACTTTCTCATCTCGCTCGCGTATTGTTTGTAACAGGCCAAAGATTCTGAGCACTTTTCTTCTTCTCCGTTTTGCTACTTTTATATGCTTGCACACAA